GAGGATGATAGTGGACGCGTCGAGGAGACGCGTAAAGTGGGTGGGGTGGTAACAGACTTTTGGAACCCCACTGTACCTTCGTTAGAGCTCCTGCTTCTCAGAGTACTTGTTCTCTGCTCTCCTTGGGTCTGCTTCGGGAACATATCCCTCCAGATCCATCCACTCGGCCACAAACGAAGTCATGATCCTCGCCCAGTCCCGGATGGTTGGCACGTCGAGATGATCCCCATCGTCGTCCATAGTATGCCAAACCGCCGGGAACGGCGTGGGTATGATGTGCAGAATGTCAACGCCCCTCTGCATAAACGGGACATGATCGTCCTGCACAAAACCTCTGAAGAACTGCACCCCTTCCTTGTCGCTCTCCGGCAGGAACGGCTTCCTCGGTTTCGTTTCAAGCACGCCCAGCTTCCGCAGTCTTCCCTCGATCTTGGCCACATGCTGATATGCCCAATGCGTGCTGGGAAAATACGACGGAATATTCGGCTCTGCCGCGCCAAGCAAGTCCAGCAGAACAAACAGGCTGATGGCCTCCAGCGGTGTAGAGAAGCTACTTCCCGCCTCGTACCGCGTGCCCTCCCACGCCTCAGCAAGTGCCCTGCCATGTATCAGCTTCCTTTCCGGTCTCCACAATCCAAATCCCATCACAAAAGGGAAAACTCACCTTGATCCGTACAGACTATCCACCTCACTCCACTCCACCCAGGCCTCCTCCCCATCCAGCAACAGAATCTGCACCCCCTTCTCCTCCTCCAGCCCACCACCATCGCTCTCCATCCCCTCCCACCGCCTCGTCAGCGCCTCATCTACCGCCTGCGCAACAAAAAGCAGCAGCGCGCAGGGCACGGCGCTATCTATGGCGCCCACGAACCCCTCGGGCCGGTACAGGCTGTCGTAGTGAGCCGCGAGCGTCAGGCGCGCCACCTCGCCCTCTCCCGCGTCGCTGGCCCACGGCGGGTCGCGCCGTAGGATGAGGTTTTGGAAGGGTACCTGGCGGTCGCCCGTTGCTGGAGTCGTTGACGTGGTGTTGTGCCATAATACTTGCCATGATGGGTGCAGGCGGTTCCGGATGAAGGAGGTAAAGTGATGCTGGACGGCGGCATGGCCTGGTGTGCCTGGCACGCGCGGTTGGAGGATCGGCGCGAGGAGGGTGCTGTGGATGGGGTCGAAGTCGGGGTCTGGGTAGGTGAAGGGCGAGAAAGGGGGCGGTGGAATGAGATGCTGCAGCGACTGGTTGGAGAGCAGGGTGTAGGTGAGCGAGTGCTGGACTTGCCTGGTGAGGAGGAGCAGGGAGGTGAGAAGGGACCTCATTGTCGGGAGGGGGTGCGCGGTGCTAGTCTGCGCAGATGACCGGAGAACATCCTTGAATGACACTAGTCTCCCTGGTGTATACCGTCTTGGAGTTCATTTCATGATGATCTTGGCAAAGTTTGAGGGAGAAGTGTCCAGAAAGTGTCAAGGGTAACGTGTACTCTGCATTGTTTGTTTCTAATATGAAGTGATGGAATTTCGGATAACTGTACCGTGGCTAGCCGTTTACGTACGTAAATGCGTGCAGGGACCCCTCCCCATCATCTCTCGTCCAACCATGGTTTGTTTTCGGCTCGAGTTAAGATAGGGGCAGAAACCCAAGAACAGGAAAATGAAGAGGACTGGGGAATAGCCCAACGCTTGCAGACAACAAGGTGTCTGAAATGGCACTCTGACGATCAGGCACCAATCAAGGTCACGGATACGGACAAGTATCTGCAGGATGCCAGAGTCGGATTTGCACGTAAAAGTTCCCAGTGTAACCTCTCCTGAGTTCCTCAAGGACCAGCCCCTCCAGTCAGAGAGAAAATAGTATACTTGGTGTCTGTCCAGCTCTATTGACGTTCTTAGGTCTCCTATGTTGTTGTGCCTCAAGCCGTAGAGAGCGGAAACCGAAGATAGGATGGAAACAAAACGGAAAGGAAACTGAACAGAACTGTTTCTGTTGTGGCCTTGTAAACACTGTGCAATCACTATCACAGCACTCGACTATTTCACTGCTGAGATTCTTTTGAAACCCCAAACTTCCATTTTTGTCGTCCTCTTTTTTGAACGAGCAGATCCGGTCACAACAGCCTTCTGGCCCGCCGGAGAACCTGCAACGAGCACTCCCCAGCTACTCAAACTCTTCTTCTTAGCACCATTCAAATCTGGTCACTTGTTGTGTTTCTGACTCCTGGCAACCCACAAGAAGCGATTTTGTCACCAACCGGTTTATGCCCAATGACCAGTTCGTTCTTCTCAAAACCCCACCACCACCCTGCAGTCATTGCTGACAACCAGTCTACCTAAAGAGCACATCAAGAGAGAGAAAAGAGTTTTGAGGACGGCCGGATTTGGTCCAAACCAGACCACCAACTTCCTGCCAGATCCTTCAACTGGCTTCATGCTCGAGCCTTGGCACTGGTCATCAGTCATCGTCGCAGCAGCTCATCACGAACACGGCACTCAAGCTCCCCGTCCAAGCGGAGGGGTAACTCTCATTCTACGAAATCTACTCGGCTTCCATCACCTTCATTCATCTTATTAAATCATTACCTTTAGCTGTAACGAAAGTCCTCTCGCTGCCAACATCTCGTCTGACAGAAACTTCCTCTACGAAGTCGACTCTCCTGGCCTGCCCTCAAGATGGCGGAGCGCAAACGATTTCGGCAGCCGAAAGCCGAGGTGACCAACGAGAAACCAACTGCAAACCTATCGTCTCAAAGTCTCAAAGCTCTTCGAGCAGAATGAGCGATTTGGCACTCCAGCTGTCCGACGCCCTGACCAGAACGTCCCGTGAGCTTCGACAAGCCCAACAGTCAATGACTCGACTGTCCGACATGGTGGCACGCGGTGGCGAAGAATCAGCAACTCGAGACTAGCTCTTCGAGGTAGTAGGGCAGTTGAAGCGACAGCGGGGTTCCCTCACACCTTTCCCGGTTGTGCATTACCAAGCAGACGAGAAGGGCGCGGCCCGTGAGAGTGAGAATTGGGAGTCAATGTTGCAGTTATCTCTGGCCCGGATGACCTGTAGCGCTATTTGAAAGAGGACATTCCCGGGCATAAAAATGAGGCCAATCGCGAGCAGTGGGAGATGGATCGACGAGACATTGTCGAGCTGATGGTGGCATCAATTCGAGGTACTCACGTACTCGAACGCATTCGGTGTCTTGGTTGGTCCCCCAAGCACATCGGCCCAAGGTTGACCTATCAGGTGATCCTCGACACCTTGGGTAACGAATTCCGCGCCCGGTCTATACAGTTGGTCTGGGAATTCCACAGCTTGGAGACCAATAAGGATGCGCGTTACGCCAAAGCCTACCTCCAGAAGTTTGACTCCATCTACAAGCATAGCCCGAGGTTCGGTTCTTCTTACGACGCCAGAATGTCATACTTCTCGCGAGGCATTCGCACCTACTACCCCAGGTGGTACGATCGCCACGTCCGCAAGGTTGCAGACCAGCCGTTCCGTTGGGCTCTTTTCTTCCGGGACGTCGCATGGGAGGCCATCATGGGCAGATTTCGTTATTATCCAACTGAAATTGCGAGAGATGGAGGCCTCAGTATTCGAGATATACGACGAAGTCGACAGGGAGTGGGAACATCCTGCACCAGAAGGTCCACTCCATACCGTGCTCGGCCCTGAGGTTGGGAAAGATTGCTTGTTGAACGGAAAGAGGATCGCTGATATCTGAGAGTCGGTGGCTGAGGACGACGACAAGGAAGAGACATAGGCACTAAGCCACAAGTCAAAAAGGTATTTGTTGCTGATAATCTAGATATTTCATCGGTCCTCACTAACTCAACACACCTCAGTCAACCACGGCCTCCGACGACAGCCATGGCCGTCAACCCACCAACCAACGCAACTCATCTGAGCTGGAGGAGGAGCAATACCTGACTATCACAGAGGAATCTTACAGCAACAAGCATTGGCCCTTGAGCCGGGGGAAGAGGAATGTGAGGAACAGATTTTGTGTCTTTGCGGGTATGTATTTCAAGAACCTGGCTTGGAATTTGGCGGTCAGCATCGGCAGGTGGAATTGTCGGTTTACTTGCACACTCTCCAAGGAGACTCGGCATATGTTCTCTCCTTGCTCTTGGCTACTAGCCCATAAGTACCATAGGTACACTCGAGTCCCCCGATGTCCTCTTTGTTGCTCATGGATCGTGTCGGACCCAAGCTGTATGTTTGGCGGTTCATCAGATCACCCTCGGAATGAGAAGGCTAAATGACGAGCAGATGTTCGGTTGATCATATAGTGAGATGGCACCGAGCTAGTTGTGCTCCGTACCTCATCGGAGTTCATTAGCTATCAACGGCGTCGAGGCATTTGGGGGGGTGTCCATCGGCGATAGCATGAGGTGGACTTGGGTGCTAACGCCGGTGGACCTTCTCAACAGAGAAGCACAGGCCACCATCGGGGATAACACTTAGCCGTCTACGGAGGTACTGCAAGTGCAGGTACGTCCGGAGTTAAGAACCTTAGCAAGGGAAGAAGTCCGCTGTTTGTGACACCAGTACACTTTCTTCGCGAATTCTAACAGGCTCTCTTTTTCCCGCTAAGGGGGATATCCCCAGATAGGTCGTGTTTTCTCGGTTCTCCAGAATTCAATTATCACCGCTGCATGCGAAAGCACCTTTGATCAAGTGTTCTTGGCTGCAACTCTGCATGTCGGCGACAGCATCACGGACCTCGACCTCGGATTTAATCGCACTTATGATTCACTGGCATTCGCCAAGGACAACCATGATGCGACAGCCAAGTCCGACATCACCAACGATGATGGGTATAAAGACGCTGGGCACGACCTGGTACTCATGTTCGAGCATCATCTTCAAAACCCAGCATCCACAACACTAATACAACAGAACTCGACCACCTTACCTATCATCACTTCCCATCGACCAAACACACTGTCCTCCATAATTTCATATTATACTACCTTACCGTAGCATTCTCACCGCTCATCATGTCAACCACAGCTACCACCCCTGTGTTCCTCATCACAGGCGCCTCCTCAGGCTTCGGCGAAGCCATCGCCTACGAAGCGCTCTCGCGCGGCCACCAAGTCATTGCCACAGCGCGCAGCGCATCCAAGCTGGGCAAAATTAAGGGCGCCGGTGCCGCCGTGCTCGACCTGGACGTGACTAGCGACGAGGAGAAGCTGGCGGCCGTCTTCAAGGAGGCTAACGCCATCTACGGCCGGATTACCCATGTCGTCAACTGCGCGGGGTATCTATTGGAGGGCGCTGTTGAAGAGGCTAGGTGAGTATCCTCCTTCCTTTCGCGGAAGACCAATTCCAAAATGTGTTTTGAGACTGACAGTAAGGGGAACAGCAATAAAGAGGTCTTTGACACATTCAACACCAACGTTTTTGGCACGGCCAACGTTGCGAGGGCAGCGGCGCCCTACCTCCGCGAGGCGGCCAAAGTGCCAGGGGGACAGGCGGCGCTGGCGACGTTTGGCAGCCTCGGGAGTTGGGAGTCGGGCCCGGCCGCGGCTTATTGTAAGTTATCCGCCTACCCACTACATACCTCTTCTCATCCTCGAAGACCATGTTGCTGACCCTCTCGACAGACTGCAGCACCAAGTTCGCCGTGAGCGGGCTGACTGAGGGCCTGGCGGAGGAGCTGCGGCCGTTTGGGATTACCGTGTGCTGCTTCGAGCCCGGGTACACGCGCACCGGGTTCTTGGCGTCCGGGGCCGGCGGAGACCACCGGATCAAGACGGCGCGGCAGATCGAGTTGTACCACAACACCGGAGCGGAAGAGATGCGCAAGGCCATGGACGCCTACAACGGGAACCAGCCCGGCGATGTGGTCAAGTGCGCGAAGGTCATTGTCGACGTGTTGACCAAGGAGGGCGTGGCCAAGGGGAGGGAAATTCCCGTGAGGCTGCCGCTGGGGTCGGACTGTCTCGGGGTGGTGAGGCATAAGTGCGAGAGCGCGCTAAAGCTGGTGAAGGAATGGGAGGAGGTCATCTCCTCGACCATGCATTAGATGCATTAGCATGAGGGATGCTGACGTCGAGTGATTGGACAGCGGATGGACGGAAGATCAAGTGATAGAAATAGACCCATTTTGACCCCTCATCAGAACCCCTGTGTCTTTGGGCTAAGCTTTGCACTATCTGGCTATCTCACTGCAGCTGCGGGCATGGGTCTTATCCAGACCCCATTTGGACGGTTGCTCAATTCGGTTCCGTTAGGTTCCAGGTTCATTGTTTCCAGAGGAAAAAGAAAGGGAGTTCTCAATGGTTGACGCTAGTTAGCTGCCTTTGAAAACCAAACCAGCATATCACTATGACGAAAATGAAGGGTGTTGGAGCGAGATGCCGAAGTCCGGGAGGGCCGAGGCCTGGCAATCCAGGACGTCAGCCCCACGCATGTCGCTGGAAGCGCGCAATCTTGTGAAGGCGGTGCATCGGCGTAGGATCGTCATTCCACACCAGATGAGATTGAAATACGCACCTTATGCTGATGCGTTTCCGCGGGCACATGTCCTTTCCTGATCGCTTCGTATCTACGAATTTCAAAGGGAAGGAAGCACTGAACCCTTCAGATACGATCGACTCGAGCCGTGGGCCCACCATGGAACAGCCAGCGACGTCATTTGCTACCCCACCGTCACCAGAAAGGCCGACACAGAAAGAGCGCCCTTCTTCCAAAGGTTCCATCGACTCGGCACTTTCGTCGCGAAGTCACCAAGTGTATCTGGACTCGCTTGTAGTCCCGACAAAAGATCAATTTGATCACATTGCCGATGTCCAGTCCGAGCGGGAAGCCGAACAGAAACGCCTCCAGCGCGAAAAGCAGCGGCAGAGCATCGACGGTGCCCTCCAACCCGCATCCCCGCCGACGTCGCCGCAACACAATAAGCCTCGCCATGGGCACTTCTTTAGCAGGCTAGGCGCCGGCCACCACATAGCAGACACCGAGGACCGCCGGCGCGCCAAGGCCGCAACTGTTATCCAGCGCACCTACCGCGGCTACCGTGTCCGGCGCGAGATGAAGGGCCTGGGTATCGACGCATCAACCCGCTGGATACATGCCGTTCGGGAGGCGCAATGGAGAGAGATGACCAAACCTCGCGCTCGCGCTGCCTTTCCCCATGACTGCCTACCGTCGCCCGGCCTGCCCGGTACCCGTCCATCTCTCGCACGACAGAATTGGAAGAAGGTGTCCACCATTGCTCGTCACGCTGGAGGGGACCTAGACGCCGACGATACCGACTCAAGCAGCAGTAGCTCGTCGTTATCCTCCATTTCCGTTTCCGACTTGAGCGACCACAAAAAGTCCGAAGAGAAGAAGAAGCGCAAGGAGGAGGCCAAGGCGCGTCGCAAACAAGAGGCCAGAATGATGGGCCTTCAATATTTTCTCGAGATGGTCGACCTCAAGCACCGTTACGGCGCTAACTTGCTTGTATACCACGAGGTTTGGAAAAGCGCCGACACCAAGGAGAACTTCTTTTACTGGCTCGATTACGGCGAGGGCAAGAACATCGACCTTGACGCTTGCCCGCGAGAACGCCTCGATCGCGAGCAGGTGCGCTACCTTTCGCGCGAAGAGCGCCAGTACTACCTCGTCAAGGTCGACGACGAAGGCCGCCTCTGCTGGGCCAAAAACGGGGCGCGCATCGACACCTCGTCGAAGTACAAGGACTCCATCCAAGGCATAGTGCCCAGCGACGACCCGACCCCAGCTTACTCACCCTCTTCCGAAAACCAAACGAACTTCCTAAGCGACACAACCACCTTCTCACATTCCTCCCGATCCTCCTCATCATCCTCCGCATCCTCCATCGCCTCGGCCGACGCAGCGCGCTACACCTCCACTGCCCCAGCCACCCCGGCCAAGAAGCTCTCTCACCACCTCTCGGGGACCACCATCGTCAACAAACTCCTCCGCAAAACAGTCCGCAAAAACACCTGGATCTTCGTCGCCGACACCTCGTTCCGACTCTACGTAGGCATCAAGAACAGTGGTGCGTTCCAGCATTCGTCCTTCCTACAGGGCAGCCGCATCTCGGCCGCGGGGCTGATCCGCATCCGCGACGGCAGGTTGACAAGTTTGTCCCCCCTCTCAGGCCACTACCGACCGCCAGCTTCCAATTTCAAGGCCTTCCTGAAGTCCCTCAGGGAGGCCGGCGTCGACATGAGCCGCGTGAGCGTCAGCAAGAGCTATGCCGTGTTGGTCGGGCTCGAAATTTACGTCAAGGCGAGGAAGAAGGCCGGGGATGTGATGGACAGGGTCACAGGGCACGGAAAGAAGAAGAAAAAGAAGGGGGAGCTAGTCGTGCCGAAGCCGGCGGGCGCGAAGCAACGTGCAGTGGGGGGGGAGCGTGAGAACAGAGTGGACGGAGTCGCGGAGAAACAGGCAGGCGCATCAACGGAGGATCCAGAGCACAACTACGGGCAGCACAAAGAAGAAGAGATGCGTCAAGAAAATAAGCTCGTCGTCAAGGTACTTGGGGGTACTGGTATTACGGAGCCAAAGGGCCAGAAGGGGGGCGGGGACGCCGAGGAGGGAGGCGCCACCGCTCTCAGTCCCGTGATCAACCAACAGTAGACATGATGATCCGAAGAATTGGAGTTGGATGATGCCATTTGATATCGTATTCGGGGTTACATCCGGAGGCGAAGGGCCAGGATTCAGGGATTTGGATTGTTGTACATTCAATTGCGTTAAATGGTTTAAGTATGTGACGGCTTAATGATATACCTTAAAGGCGGCTGCGACGGCCGGCGGTAAATAGAATACCTTGAGCTTCAGACAAACGGTCCACTCCTCACATCGCTCCATCCGTCCATATACTCTGTACCAAAGCTCCATAGTCGTCGCGCGGAGATAAAATGCTGCCTTTGCTGCCTTGACCGAAATCCATCATCCAACTGTCACATCACAGAAACTGACCGACTCTCACCGCTCCTCATCCAGAACTGGGAAAGAACAAAGGGAACCACAGATGTCACGAGCACAGCAAAAGCAAACATTCAAACAGCCTCAATGAATCCTCCTCAGCCAGGGGAGCCATATGTACATACCAATCCCCAGGCATTTTGTGTTCCTCCAACGTCGTGTAACCTAAGCCAACTCTAAGCTTATCTATTTTCCTCTGTTTTAACCCATCGCCGCTTTTGCAACTGTGGCTTGGCACGTCTAACCTGAGGTGTTTCACCCACTCAACCCGACGGCTTTCTATCAAGACTCCAAACTCAGCCCACTGCTAAGCTAAACCCACCTACACCTACAAATCATCCCCAGCCTCCCTCCCGATGTTCCATAAAAATCATAAGAATAGTTTAGCCAAACACTTAGTCGTTTGCGACAACAAGCAATTCCTGACCGGGGTAAAGAGAAAAAGACGAAGATGGGAAAGATAAGCGCCAGAAAAAGCCCATGTCATAACCCATAACCTCAGCCCCCCGAAGACGACCCCTCTTCCTCTCCCTCACCAGACAAGTCATCATGATACCGCACCGTTCCCCCCAAAACGCCCGGCTCGCTCTTGGATTGCACCCGTCTAGAATACCGGGGATACCTCGGCCCCTCCCCTGCATCCTCAACCTCGTCCTCCTCTTCCTTTCGATCACAACCCATAGACTCCTCCGACCCATCATCATCCTCCCTCCCCGACCCGGTCGACCCCGTCGTCCTCCTTGGCACTTCCTTTCCCAACAATGGCACTAATGCTTCCAGCGATGGCATTAATGGCCATCTTCTCACCTCCGCCGACCTCCTGTACACCTTTCGGTCTTGTTCAACCGCCACCCCCTCAGCAGAGTCAACACTACTTTCAGCCACCTCCAATCTCCTCCCCACCGACGGCGCCGGCGCCGGCCGCTGCGGCGACAACCCGGGTTGAGAAAACATGGTCGGGTGCTGCGCAGGATGAAACAAGGTAGCGTAAGAAGCCGGCATCATGACCACCGGCGCAGCAGCAAAGAAGTGGACATGGTGTGGCGGTGGTATATGGGCCAGAGGGAGGACGGGCGTAGGCGGTGGGGCGTTCGGAACGGGTAACGATGGCGTCGTAGGCTGGCTGTCAAAGAAGCCGTCCATGGAACGATGGGGAAGTCTAGTCGGGCTGGTCGCGGCTGCCGTGATGGAGCGCGGGGTGAAGGCCGGCGCGCCCGGGTTCAGCTGCGAGCCCTTTTTGTGAGGTGGTTATGGTTAGAAGGAGGCAGCGGAAGGGATAGAAAACGGTCAGGGTATGTATGTAGTATGTGGATAATAATACATGCATGCCATGACGGGTTTCTATCGCTCATACCTCTTTCTTGTGCGCCGGGGTGGTCGGGTTGCCATTCGTTTTTGCCGAGTCGTCGGAGCCTTCGGCATGCCCGTTGGCTTGCCCATTGGCTTGCCCATTCGCCTGACCGTTTGTCGGAGCTGATTTGACCTTGGCAAGCTCTGAGCTGGTTGCCTCCGCACTCAAGTCATTGACAATATTGGGCCCTTTTCGCCCTTTGGAAGCTGCCTTGTCCTCGCGCGACTCCTTGTCTTCTTTGGGCTTCACAAAGATCTGCTTGGACCAGAGCTCCGCATACTTCCCATCCGCCCGGATAAGGTCATCGTGGCTGCCCTGCTCGACAATCTCTCCTCCGGTGACAACGATGATGCGATCGGCGTTCATAATGGTGGACAAGCGGTGTCTGTGCTTGTTAGCTTGTGCTTTTCCGAGAATCTCAGACCCACTTACGCTACAATGAAAGTCGTGCGGCCTTCGCAAAGCGTTCGCAGAGCCTCCTGGATCTTCTGCTCAGTCTCCGTGTCGACTGCACTGGTCGCCTCGTCGAGAAGAACGATTGAGGGCCTCTTCAGAATCGCGCGTGCAATCGCTACCCTTTGCAGCTCTCCGCCGGAGAGCTTGACGCCCCGTTCGCCAACCTTGGTTTGATAGCCTTCCGCTTGTCAGTTTGATTCTCGCATGGGATCGGGAGTACCCACCGTCAGAAAAGGTCAGGATCTGCTCATGGATGGCGGCAGCTTTACAAGCCTCGTAAACCTCCTCGTCGGTCGCGGTGAGCTTTGCATACCGCACATTGTTCATGATCGTGTCGTCAAACAGGATGGGGGCTTGCGGAACAACACCGATCTGCGCTCGAAGACTAAGGCGTATTAGAAAGGACCTCAATGTGATGATTCGCTACGTCCATACCTGTAAAGATCAACATCTCGGATATCCTGATTGTCAACCCGAATTGAGCCCTTGGTCACGTCGTAGAATCGATCCAAGAGCTTCAGGATGGTAGATTTGCCGGCACCAGTAGCCCCGACAAAGGCAATTGTCATGCCTGGCGTCGCGGTGAAGTTGATGTCCTTGAGGATATCCTTCTTCTTGTCGTACGAAAAACAAACATTCTCGAAGCGGACCTCCCCTCCCGTGAACCGCAGCGGCGGCGCACCCTCTTTGCTGACGATACTCGGCTTGGTCTGCATGATCTCCAAGAGCTGCTCCGCTTGAAGAAGGTCCCTCGAGATGCTCTTACCCAGACCAGCAAAAAAACTGAGAGGAGACACCATCTGGGCCCAGTATGTTAACAGCATAATGAACTGGCCGGGGGTGCCACCTTCATGGGTAATTTGGTATACTGCCAAGAAGGCGCCAGCGAGGAGGCCAGACAAAAGCACGAGGAATTGAAGGGCGTATGCAAGGACATAGCCAAAGTAGACCTTCTGTGTTTTGGCTACGCGATCTTCAACCGCCGTGGAGTAACGGTCTTCCTCGTGTCCTATCTGGTTGAAGCTGGCGACGGTTGACCAGCCTTGGATTCCGGCCTGGCGCACATAGTGTTCCTTGTACCAAGCGCCGACCTCGTTCCTGCGTGCGGACTTGAGTGCAGCGATCATGCGGGTGGCAATGTACATGAAGACGGCGGCGGTAGCAATCGTGATGAAACCCTCGTACGGCCCGAGGGTTGCCGAGAGATATAGAAAGGCGACCACCATGTCGATGAGCATCGGCACAGCGCGAAAGCAGATCGACTCCAGGATATTGGAAATGCTCTGGCCGCACGAGATGGCCATCATGATGTCGGAGGAGCTTTTGGAGTCGTGGAAATCAGACGACAGGTTCAGCACGTGCGAATAGGCGGCCGTGCTAATGGCGCCGAAGGAGTAGAACTCGACGGGGATCCAGAGCCATTGTCGTAACAGCGAGAGCCCTGCCTCGGAGGCGACCAACTTGAGACCTGCAAAGAAGAGAACCTCGTTCCAAGGGTTTCTGTCGTTCCTGCCACTGAGACTGTCCATGATAATGCCCAGCTGGCGCGGGATAAGAAAGTTGATGAAGTTCATGGCAAGCAGACAGAGCCCGACGAGTACGACCCGGACCTGGAGCGCGCGGTTGTTGACAGGCCAAATATAAGGGAAGAAAACCTTGTGAACTATCTGTCAGACAAGTACACAGTTAACACAGGGGTGACTGGAAACATACCATGAAACTCTTGGCATATGTGACCCAGTTCCCCTTCTCCTTCAGCCTCTTCTCCATCGCCTCGCTGGCTTGCCGCTGCCGCCTCTCATAGGGGTTCTCGTCGTCGTCCGTGTCCGAGGACTGGTTGCTGTCGGTCGAAGAATCCGAAGTGGTTCCATAGCCGTTCTGCTGGGCTCCGTCGCTCCGAGCATCCGAGTCGGAGTCATGATTGGCATGAACATTCGATTTGAGCAGACTCTGCCGTTCGGAATCAGTGCCTTTATCTTGTCGGGCGCTGCGGTTCCCTTCGAAGAAGAACCCCAAGGCCAGTATGACCGCGAGATATCTGGCAGCGGCGGCAGAGATATCGAAGAAGCCTATGAAGTCAATAGGTCCTGGGGGCCGGACCATCAGAGCGACGGTAGCAAGGACCGGCTCGAAGACGAGAGCAAGGCCGAAGCAACCCATATATGGATACCACACCGGGTTGGTGGCTTCCGAGAGGCCAGCAAAGACAACGCCGAATACCAGGGCGCATGACATGAGACCAATAACGGTATCCTGGTCGGCGAATGGGAAGATGTGCCGGATTGCGCCCTGAGTGCCCAGGGCGAGTAGCTGGGCGAAGTAAGTGAGGATGATGAAGGCGAGGGACCATGTGATGGCCCGCCGGCGGGGGTGAGCTTGTTCCGAGGAGATGGTTTGCAGAGTGCAGACAGCAACGGTGGATGTGGCCATGTAGTAGGCGAAGATGATAGTCGGATAAGCATAATGGAGGCTCATCAAGACTTGGCGAAGGGGCAGACCGGCGGAAGGGTCTGCGCTAACTGTGTCGTACGGGTCTGGCATGATGAAAATCGGCGCGGTGTCGATGTCGAGAAGGCCACCGTCAGTAGGAGCTGGAGCTGGGATCGAGGATCGCGCCGAATTCTATTCAGAGCTCGGGGACGCTCTTCGCCCTCTTTCTCGCAAAGTGATGCAATGGTGGGAGCAGTGGTGGTTAATGATCGTCAACTCTCGGGATCCTAGCTGGGCAAGCCGAAAGAAAGTTTGGAGTCGCCGGGATGCAACTTGTGCTGTGTTGGGAGTGCCAATGGAAAGTTGGTGGAGGTTTCTGAGATGTGAGACACTGCAGATAGACGCCTTTCTCTCCCACGTTACTCGCCTCCAGAGGTGCCAAGTAATCACCAGCAGCAGCCGGAGTGCTCCTTCCAAGTTGCTGGTTGGAGTCGGTGCAAGAGGAATCTGGAAAGAGCAACGGTCTGATAGCGGCGGAACTAGTCCCTGTAGGCAGCCAGGGCAGCAGAGCCAGTTTCGCACGTTCAAGCCGTGTTTGTGATTCCTCTCTCGCCTTCCCCCAAGAAACTAGGCAGATCCGTTCAGGCACACCTCATTGGCACGAGGCACCGATCGAGGGGATTCAGAAACCACCTTGAAACCCCGAAGGCCCTCCTCCCAGGATCTTCCAGTTACCAGGTAACCACCGTGTCTTCGTGTCTTCAGACAGCGGATGTAAGGTTGTGTGAGCCTGAGCCTTCGTTCTGGCTGGGAGTCTCTCAGAGATTCTTTCACGAGGCTGCCAGTGCCCCACAAACTGCCTGTTGTGGTCGTCACTGAGCTCTCACAACCAGAGACTTTCTGCTTAACCTGCCACAGTGGCCTTTGTATGCGAGATGTCAGCAGTCATAGCGTCGGATAAGGATTCTGGTAAGACCTAACCTAATGCTCCGTCGAATTTGGAAACAACACGATAGCAGAGACCCCAGAAAACTGGAAGCCTAGAAGCAGAAAGCGAAATATAGATGGCGTCCTAGGACTGAGGAACCATGATATGGATTGGGACACTCTTCAAATGGCTTTGTCGTGGGAGGATGCAGGCAAGGCTAGGCGTGAGGCTGATCAAAGCTGATGCACCCAACTTGTTGGTTGGTAGCCTCCCATCCGAGTGGCCTGAGAATTGGTCTTAAGGAGCAAGGTGCAAGAGAGTAACTACCCGACCAACAAAGTCAACTGCCTGTGTGAAATGGTCTCAGGATGGTGGTGGTGAGTGGCACAGGTTTCACACTGCCTTCACACTGCCACGCTGCTGTCCCATACAGCCGGGTTCGTCAAGCACCACAACACGACCAATGCGGCCCAGCAGCTAACGTTTGGGTCAGCACGGGAGAGGGACACGGTATGTTCGTTGGTCAGTGGTGGTGTGCTGACTGATTATGCTGTCAATGGCAACGTCGGGCCTACTTAAAGACGTGGTTTTCAGCCGTCCAACGTGGAACTCGTGGAAGAATCTTTACATCTCGTGATCCATTGTTCGCTGGCCGAGTGGAAGAGACGGTGAGGACTAGCCGCCAAAAGGCGTTAGGAATGGCGTCGCTCGCGTCGGTAGTGCAGGGGTGAGGTCCCTTGCAAAGGTGCCGCCATTGTCTTGCCAAGAAAGGAAACTACTTGGTTTGCATGCCCTTGTCATCATGTGGGTTGATTCACACACATGAATGTAGGAGGAGTGAAGATGCATGGTGAAGCCGATTTTGGATTCAACATTGGCGGTGAGAAGGGATCCTTTGCTGCACCATACCGGGGCCGGCATTTTTTCCTGAACTCCCCAGTTACGGACTTTCCATTGCCCCCCCAAAATAATCCAGACTTTCAAGCAGGATGCCTAAGGTGGCGTATACTACAAGTACCTATCTCCTGAGAACCTTGGTTTCTGATTTGTTTCCATAGCGGCGGGCAGGTGCCTGCCTGCATTGGGAAGTCACCATCTAAGTCGCTGCATGAGACCGCTGGCAATACGGGATTGGCGAAGTGTGTGCAACCCCACAGAGTAAGACGCAGAGTCGGGTTCGGCTGGCTGAAGGGACATGAGAGCATCGAGAGGTAGAGACGGGCTGCTGGCTTGTGCGTCCTCTGCTCTGCAACATACTATGCTATATCTCGTGCAGGTATTTCCACAGAGTAGGTGAGATGGTGTCCAGCCCAGGTGCCCATCAATCGTGAGCGGAATGTTGGAATGGAAGGTCAGCTTTGAGGCCGCGGGAGTTCCCGTCCAGAAGAAGCCCGCCATGCAGGGGAGCAAGCATGGACCGGCTGCTATAATCAAGCGGCGATCATGCCGGCGGCCCTCCTGCAGTTGATCTATGCAATGCATCCCGCCGCATTCACACCTGATTGTCCCTGACGATGACGCTTGTTGGCAACTTGGATCGGTCCTTCGAAAGCCGATGTGAGTCTCCGGACCCGGCCAGCCCTTGCTGGTATCGGCTCCGATCTCCTCCGGAGGTTAGGTTCTGTTGATGGAACAGGTTCACCGGCGCCTTGGAGATAACTATCGTGGTTACAAGGCTCAGATCGCGAAAAACTGCCGGAAGAAATGCAGAACTGGTAGTGCCGTACGCAGCCTCAAATGTGTGTGCTCCTCCCAATAGGTGGCTGGTGCCGACTTCGCACCTATGTATGCCGGGAAACTTGCAGCTGCATGCCAGCTATCTCAGGGGTCTGAAGAGGTGGCTAAAAGCATGTTGCCGGCGCTTTTGAAAGGCGGGCAGCTGCTGTCCCTGTCTCGTCTTCCAAATTCATGAGTGCCAAGCATGGTGACTGCTGAAGTAGCGCCAGGGCCGTATAATGAAGAAGATGCACCATCGGCAATGACAGCTCTGCAGAGTTGCAGGTTTCTTGAGGTTTCAGGTCAGTGGAGGACATCAAACATTGGATCTGAGTCATCTGACTTATGGATATCAGCTCCTGACTCCATCTTGACCCAATTACAGCCCCACTCTTCCGGCTATTCCCTTGCTCTTGAAGATGTCCATCAAATACGGATAGCCTTCACCTTTGACTTCCAAGTTCACACAACATAAGGTACTTGTGCAGATTTCTTATTCTGAGCGTCAATTTCGCAGTGCCTCCAGGCTTTACTCTCCATGTACTCATGATTCTCACTTCTTGTCCTTTCTGCTCTTCATATCACATGCATTTATGCCGCCTCCTGTCTCCGTAGACCACTCGGAGCCTCTCCTCCCACTATACAAGCGTTCAACCGGTTTTGGCAGGCACCACCATTCGTTCAGCAAGCCAACTCATCACCACAGTGCCATACAAGGATGGGAATGGATGCAGAAACTCATTTCTCCTTGGTCCTTGAGTCACCGGCCAGTTCAGGTCAGACCGCAGCCGCTAAGGCTGTGCTCAGCCACAAGGTCAATTGCACTTCACTGTCGACATCATGATGATTTTTATATCCCACCAGTTGTACCTCACTCAGACTTGCTGGGTTTTCTTTCCGCTTAGTCTTTCATGTCCTGCCTGACTTGTATTGTTTACTCTCCCAATGCCGACCAAGCGTTTCAAACCCCAACACCGAGTGACCAAAAGGGTTTTTAAACCCGCCCCCAAGACCACCACCGCCAAACCTCAACCCCAAACCAGGGTCGACAGCCCCAATTCACCAGTCTATTTCTGGCGTGAGACGGAGCCTTCAACGGGCTACCTCTCGCAATGGTACCCGTGCGCCTTCTCGGACGATGCCAACCCATCCATTGTCTACCAAACCGCTGAGCAGTAATCACCCCCACACCCACTTTCCCCTCCGTCCATTTTTCTCTGTCCATACCGAAACAATATATTGATGCTGTGTTCCCCTTATAAACAATAAAGCTACATGATGTACCACAAAGCCATGCTCTTTTCGGACCCGTCCGTGGCCGCTCAGATTCTGTCCTCCTCCCACCCGCGCAAGGTGAGAGCCCTGGGCCGCAAAGTATCCAACTTCGCCGACGTCGTCTGGAACGCCCACCGCGAGGCCATCGTGCGCAGGGGCAACATGCTCAAGTTCACGCGCCCCGTGGACGCCACGCGCGACGGGCGATGGATCGTGCCCCTTGAGGTGGAGCGAAAGGACGGGACCGTAACGGAGGAGCGGAGTCTCCGGGAGCTGCTGCTGGGGACCGGCGAGGAGGAGCTAGTTGAGGCGAGCCCGTTCGATAGAATCTGGGGTATTGGGTACGGTGCGGACAAGGCGAGCAAGGTGCAGAGGGAGAGATGGGGGATGAATTTGCTAGGGAAGGCGTTGATGGCTGTGAGGGCGGAGCTGAGGAAGGAGTTGGCGGAAGGGGAGAGCGGAACGGGGGCTGTGGATGAGAAGAAGACTGACGTAAGTGAAGGGACAAAGGAGGGGAAGGAATCAGGTTGAGTTATTTGAGTTATTTGAGGTTCGAGTTTTCTCGTTGTTCAAGGTTGGTCTCGTATTACCCAGATTGTTCAGGTTGTTGGGCATGTTCGTAGAGGTTATTATTACAGTTCATTCCCGATGCATCACTCTCGGTGGTTGAAGATGCTGTCCACCCACGTCCCTTATTGTACAAAGTATACTTTTCCCTTCGCGCGCCTATCCCCAATGGGCTCCGGCAGAGTGGTGTTCGTGCAAATGCATCAAGGCGCCTGCTTCCCTTGCCTCTATACCGCCAATCCCAAAACTCCTGCAACCTTGGGTGGTAAAATCCCGGATGCCGTATGATACACTTCTGTGACAGTAGAACACAGTGAATGAAGAGGAAGCCAGCAGCTGAAGCTGGGCGCCTGGACGCTTCCCTCTTCCTGGGTGATCGGGCAGCACGCAAAAGGCTGGTCAAAGACACAAGCTGCTTTAGATGTAATCGCGGCCGCTCTTTTGCATCTCTATCAACCGCCATCCCCTTGTCTCGGGGTTGTTGACGTCCTCTGCAATTCGGGTGATGCCAATGGCATAGGTGACCAGCTGGACCTTGTCCTCCATGCCGGCCGCCAGTTCGTTCGTCTTGGCGTTGCGGTAGACGTGGACCTCCTGTGTCCTGCAGGTGACGATAAAGACGGGAATCTCACCGGGGTCGAGCATGCGAGCACGCAGAATGTCCACCCCTCTAATATCAAGGATCTTGCCATCCGACTTAAGGCCAGCTTGCAGGTACTGTTTCGTCAGGGCTTCATAGACGGAGTACTGGGCCTCGGACAGCCACAGCTTCAACGTCTCGACGTCGCCCTTGACGTAGGCATCCAGAACCTCGGGGAGGATGTACTCGCGGAGTTCTTGGAGGAACGGCTCCAGCTTGAATGATGGGTCCATAGTCCGGAGCTTCTTGATGACCATAGCTGTCTCGTTCTCGGCAAAGAAACCGGCAAACTTGTCGGTAATGCTCCGGGCAGTCGAGATCAGGGGGTTTTCTGATTCTTGGTAGACGGTTTTCATGCCGAAAAGGCCTTGAACGAACTTGTTTTGGTCCCTGAAATCCCGCCACGCCTCCTTCCACGCAGCGTCCTTGTGAACTGTGACATTGGTCCCGGCACTACAGGCCCAAGTCAGTAATGTACTAGGCATTCGTTTTGTAGAATCACTCACTTAGGGTTTTCTTCGTAAATCGGGGTGTTTACCCCGTCCTCCTTGTTCATCTTCTCCCGCAATTCCCTCCGCCTCCTGCGCTCTTCTTTGTCGACCCAACCGCCGTACCTGGAGCTGCTCCCGTCATCAATGACCTCCTTGACGTTCTTGTACGCCTCGGTTTCCCGGATCGGTTTGGTGGCCTTGTCCAAGACCTCACCCGTTATATTCGCGCCCTTCCGCACGCCCTTCACAACGGGAGTCTCCCACGTGTACACAGCGCCCTTGGCAATGGCACTAGCAGTGGTCTTGACCGCCTTCGCAGCCGTGGATGAGACAGCGCCCGTGGTAGCTTCGTAGGCTTGGCGGGCCTTTCGGACAGACTCGCTCTCGACAAACTCATTTGCCGAGGAGGCCAGGGCCTTAGTCGACTCATTCCACTCCTTGGACTGCTTGAATTCGGTCTGCATCGTGTCCAGGAACACCTGCCAGGGCGTCTTGTCGCCATGGGGCGGCGGCGGAGGGAGGTCCTCCTTCTTCTCCTTCTCTTTGTCCTCGCTCTTCTCGTCGCCCTTCGCGTCGCCCGCCTTCTCTTCCTTCGGTTCTGATTCCCTCTTTTCTTCGCCGTCTTTTGTTTCTGATTGCGCCTTGGCGTCCTTCTCCTCGGCTGCCTTCTGCCGTGTCTGGGTGGAGACGTGGAATGAGCGGGCGCTGCGCTGTGGTAGCATGTCTAGCCTAAAAGCGCTTGCGCGGATCGTTGAGCGTAGAAACGGCTGTTGTAAGAGTGGTGTAGATGCGCTATATGTCGCGTTTTCGGAGACAGCGTACTGCGATGTCCTGGAGGAGAAGGACCGGTACCGCGAGGATGGTGTGCAGCCGGAACTCCTGAAGCCCGAAGCCCTCAATGGGCCGCCCGGCGACATCTTCCGGATTTGCCGCGCTGAGTTCATGGTTCTGTAATAATCAAATCGCCTTCGGCGAGAGTAATAACAGGCGCGACAGAAGATGGAGAATGGATGAAAGGGAAAGGCGACGGCGTTGGGGTTCGGTTGATAAGGATTTTGCGCGCGATGGCAACTGAGTCCCTGCAATTCTTTTCCATGCCGGCCAGAATCGTTGCCAAGACCCGGCAAATTCCCCCTGCAGCGACCCCAAAAATTCCGATGGGCCGAGCGCTTCAGTTGACTTCACAGCAACGCCGATTCTCGACACTTCGAGAGCGAAGTTCGTCTCGTCCAACCTTCGACGACAGCACCTTCTCCCCGGCTTCAGGTCGCTTTGAGGACCGGTGCCTGGTGGAGATGAGCCGATTCACAATAAGTCGCCTGCTGGCGCCGGAACTGGCCCGGCCGCTCTCCAGAACCGTCTGCCCGACCACCACAGTACCACAATGGACACGACTCCTGTCCCAGTCGCACGCCGCCAAAAACATCTGGACCCCTCCGCAGCCACCAACTCCGCAGCAACGCCCGTCCAGCGGAAGCATTAGCATGGATCGTCTCGCTAAGAGCGTGATGCGGGGCGCTGCGCTGCCGACCGAATCTCTCTCGGCCTCCCTCCCCGAGCAGCTGGAGGTCGAGGAGGAGGAGCAGGGCGAGGAACCCTACCACTTCCACATTTACAGCCACAAGCACAACACGCACATCACGCTCACCAAGCCGAATCGGGACGCCCTCATCTCGCTGTCGTGCGGGAACATAGGATTCAGGAAGTCCGGGCGCAAGCACTACGACTCGGCGTACCAGCTCGGCGCCTACGTGATAAACAAGATGCACCAGAAGGGCCTGGTCAAGAAGATCCACAAGCTCGAGGTGGTCCTGCGCGGGTTTGGGCCCGGCAGAGAAGCCGTTGTCAAGGTGCTCATGGGGAATGAGGGCCAACTGCTGCGGCCCAAGATTACGCGTGTGTCGGATTCGACGAGGCTCAAGTTCGGTGGTACTCGGAGCAAGAGGAAGAGGAGATTGGGCTAAGGGGTTTTCGTCCGCTAAGCGGTATTCTGGGCTTTGGGGAAAAGGAGCGAGCGTGGCTCCAGGGGGTTACAGATCTGAACCGGGCAGTTCAAGTTCCCATGTACATTGTATACTACAAACAAATGTTCCTTTTACTAGACCCGTGGTGCTATATCAGAGGCAGACTCAGCAGAGTACCGAGTTTGTCCCGCCAATATCTCTCAAAGTCTCGACCTGTCATGGCCGTTCCATATTCTTCCGTATGCGAAGCGAAGACCGCTCGGGATTGGAACGCCCGGACCGCTGGTCGGACCCACTAAAATCTCAGAACTCGGGTCCTGTCCCCGTCATTGTTCGGCGGCAGCTCCCCGCCATCCACCATCAACGGCCGGAATCCGCCACCTACATCTCCGGCGCAAGCGATGTAGCAGCCAACAACAATGTTGCCAACAACCTCAGCAACCGTTCCCCAGCCCGCTCTTCCATCCCAGGCAGCATCAATTTCTACACCAGCATTCCCAACCGCACCTCCAGCACCACTCATCCCACTGTCCACTCCCCCTTCCCCCCACTCCATCCTCGGCCTTGATGTGCTTTTCACCAACCCCGTCTTCGCAGGCGGCATTGGCCTAGCGGGTCTAGGCGCGGCCGCCGCCTTTGGCCGACGCGTCCTCATCTCGGGCGCCGCCCTCCTTCGCCGCCAGCTCCTCGTCAACGTCGAGATCAGCAAGCGCGACCCGTCCTACAACTGGGTCCTCGCCTGGCTGGCGCAGCCGCGCGACAACCGCGGCTTTCTCGCGCAGCGCCTAACCCGGCTGCGGAACCTCTCGGTCGTCACGAGCACCAAGTCTGTGAGTCCGCGAGGAATAGCGGAGGAAGCGGGCGGGGAAGGTGGTGGGAAGATTCACGCCGACTTTTGCGTTCAGCCGGGGTTTGGGAGGCATATCGTACGCCATGCGCCGGGGGTGTATATTGCGGTGAACAGGGAGAAGGCCGGGACGGCAACGACGGCGACGGGCGAGCCGCATGAGACACTGACGCTGACGCTGATGTGGATGCACCGCCACGTGCTGGCCGACGTATTTACGCAGGCTCACGCGCTGGCGCAGAGTTTTCAGGAGGGCAAGACGGTCGTATACACGGCCCGGAAGATGGAGTGGGCCGTGCTGGGCAAGCCGCGGTTGAAGAGGCCGCTGGGGAGCGTGATCCTCGACGAGGGGGTGAAAGAGGGGCTGGTGGCGGACGTCAAGGAGTTCCTGAAGGCCCAGCAGTGGTATACCGATCGTGGCGTGCCGTACCGCAGGGGGTATCTGCTCTATGGCCCGCCGGGCACGGGCAAAACCTCATTTATCCAGGCGCTAGCTGGAGAGTTGGATTACAGCGTGGCCATGATCAATTTGAGCGAGGTCGGCATGACGGATGATTTGCTAGCGCAGTTGCTGACGCAGCTACCCGAGAAGAGCATACTTCTGCTGGAAGACGTGGACGCGGCGCTGGTGAACCGCCGACAGAGAGATCCGGACGGGTATAGTGGGCGGACAGTGACGGCCTCAGGGTTGCTCAATGCCTTGGACGGCCTGGCTGCTGGCGAAGACCGGATCGCTTTCCTCACGACGAACCACATCGATAGGCTGGATCCTGCCCTGATTCGGCCGGGGCGGGTCGACATGATGGTACGCATCGGCGAGGCCACGCGGTACCAGGCGGCTCAGATGTGGGATCGGTACTACGGCGATATTGATGAAGACCACTCGGGCCGCGAACGCTTCTTGAAGCGGCTTGACGAGCTGGGCTTGTTTGGTGGCGACGCTCAGAACCCCAACATCCCAAAGAGACACACCTCGACCGCGGCTATTCAGGGCTTGTTCCAGTTCAACAAGGGAGATATGGAGGGTGCCATCAAGATGGCTGACGGCCTGATCCCGCGGACCTTTGAGCCTGAGCAGCCCTCTGCGGAGGGAACCATAAAGGCCCCAGCGTAGCGAACGGGCCGGGTAGTGTACAATATTGTGGGAGTATAGTGTACGGTTGGTCATGTTATAGATCGCTGATACCCCCTATTTACGTTGCAGATGGCTGGTTGTGTGTTAGCCATCGATAGCCGAGTTATGCTACACTTCCGCGAATGATTTAGAAGCGAATGCCCTTGGATCTCATATTCTGTGGATTATTACAGTATGTTACGGATAACCCAGCACTCTCGCGATGAGCTCTTAGATGGTCCAGTGTGCGTGTCCCTCTCTATATCCTCCCGCCCCGGCGCTTAAGTAACATATATAACAAGCGTGTTTCCCTTGCGGTTCTCGGATCTCCAGTCCGGTAGCTGGTTGTCGAATGATGCCAAGGTTGAGGCTTGGTGGCTAGAGCATGGTCTTCAACCTTGTCTAGGAGCTTGCGCGAACCAATCTCTCAGGCTTGCCGTCCCCAAGTCGGGGGTCTCTGCAGACTCGTCATCAGCCTAGCCGGTAATAAAGGTTTGCCAATGTCCCGACGTCCGAGAATCTGACCCGGCACCGCTTGTCACTAGCCGAAAGTCGGATCGAGAGGCAGGCCGTAGTCCTCTTGCTGCGCCAGGGACGCTATCAGTGACTGTCCAACGGTTCGACCCGCAAACCCTGCTCATAGCTCAGCTACAATCCTTCGTGCCTTCAGAACCCGCCGCCTCAGTTTTGGGTTCCCCTTCGGAATCGAAGCCTAGCGCATCCAGTTCCCGGATGAGCTCATTGATCTTGATGACCTTGGCGATCTGCTCCGGCAGCAAAGACCCTCCGCCCTCTTTCTTCTCCTTCAGCTCCTTAGCCTGCCTGAGTTTCTTCTTCAAGGTCCGCACCTTCTTCTCCTTCTCCGCCTCGAGGTCAAGCTCCTCCTTCTTCACTTCCTCTGCGGGCGCATCCTCGGGAGACTCCCCAGCGGCCTTGGCCTTTTTGCGTGCCTCGCGCCGCTTGGCGTTCTTGTTGGCAGCTGCAGAAGATGGCTGCGCCGCTTTGTCGTCTTTTAGGCCCTCGGCGCCCGGAACAGGGCCCTTGCCACGATTGCGAAAGGTCTCAGCGATGCGGTTCTTGTAGACCTCGACATCCTCGGGCGGGCGGTAGCCGGGCCGAATCTTGATGGCTTTCCTTGTGCTGCCGTCAGCTCGTCTTGACTCAGGAATGTGTCGCTCGCCGCTCGCCTCGTCGGTCACAATGCCTGAGGCGGTGGGCTCTGAAGGCATGATGGTGGGGGGTTGTGATGCCGGTCGGCCAGCGGGAAGATGTTAAACGAGAAACGAGGGATTGGTTTGAAAACGGCTTGGAAGGGTTGTGCTCCGGTGCTCACTGACGCCACAAGCACAACAATCCGCCTCTAGAACATCTACGCGCTTATGTGGGTTCAAAATTGCAGTCTCATCAAGTTGAGAGCTATCGCAACAATCCTGTTGATGGTGGGGCTCGCAGGAACAAAGCCAGCGCCAAGTATTCACCTTGGCCTGACGAGAGCTTGGGCCCAATCACGAGCAGGCCCGGATACTTCCGTTGCGTGCGTCCTTTCGGGTTCACTCACAGCACTGGTCCGTTTTTGCAGCGCAAACATTCAACTCTTTTCGCCAGCCTTGGAACTTTCCGCACTACGTCAGTCCCGGCTTCGCCTCCAATTGGGATTTCAATCGGCTCAGAATGGTGAGTCTCGGGCAATTTGAAATTGGTGGCGAGAACAAACGAAAGGCAGACTGACTGACCCGTTCCAGGCCAGCAGCGCACTCTACAGGCAAGCCCCCTTCCCAGGACTCTCGCCAACCCCAATTCGACGCTAACACTTATCGCCAGCGCCCTCTTCCGGAGGAACTACACCATGCTTGCTCTTGTCTTTACTGGCGCCTTCGCTTTCGAAATGTATGGCACATCCGAAATTGGCAGCGGTGGAGGAACTTCAGTACTGAACTTCAAGCAGGGGCTACGACAACTTGATGAACAAAGTCTGGGACAACTACAACCGAGGGGTACGACGCTCCTAGGCAACTCTCCTTCCAGAACGATATGCTGACACCACGGGATAGCGCCAATGGAAGGACATCCGGCACAAGTACGTCGAGGGCGGGGATGACGAATAAGCAGAGTTGGGGGAGACGCCACGAAGAGGCACGAGGAACTGGGTCGATTCGAAGCACGAGGATCGACGTGTATACTGGGCGCTAGAGGCGGTTGTAGAGAATAGAGCTTTGCTTGGCGACAACCCTGCAGAGAATCTGCCCACCGTCTCAACTTAGGACGGACTGGCAACCCATCACATCAGGCATTGGCAGCACTTGATCAGGAGCCCAGATGAACGATCAGGGCTTGTGTGCTGAGCTGGCCTCAACCGACTGGCTCCATCTACGGGACGTTGGTTCCAATCCCTTCGATGTGTGGTTCTCCCTAAGATAATCTTTGCAACTGCTTGTTCTCGAGCTCATCTGGACTACTCTCATCAACATCCTGGTCCCTATGGGCTGCTCAGGTCATTGGACATGCTACTTTCCGCTGTCGAGAGAAAGAACTCTGGTGGTGCAGCGATAGTCACACAACTGAACTGGACGATTACCATTCACATTTTCAGTCTTTGTAGCCATATCAGTCCATGGCTCATCAGGATCAGCTATGCTGAAATCATTGTAGAACTGCTTGCGCCTATGTTCCTATGGCCCGCATGCCCGTAAAATCGGGCTCTCGGGTGACTGCACAGGCAGCGTGCTACAAATTAAGCGTCTTGATTATCATCATCCAGCCTGTCGCTGCTTCTCGGGATTCCGCGGAGGGATGGGGGTTCTGAGAACACTGTTGCAACCCTGTTTGGCTGGAACAGACTGTTGGTAGAGGGAATTGAGTGGACCTGGGCCTGACAGACTGGAAACAAGAAGTTCTTACCAACACCCCCAACTGCCTTCCCAGACTCTTCAACCAACAGTGTTCCAATGCAAGAACAGCTCTCTTTTGGCAGGTTCAGACTTGCCAAGACCAACATTCTGTTCAGTATACAACAGAATATCTTAGGTCATTCATGCTGTTTTATCGTGCTGTCAGCGACCCTAGATTGGGGTGAATAGACTGCGACTTCCTCCTCACTCTTGCACATCGTTTCCCTTGATTTTAGTCTAATGTGATTGACTGGCATTTTCTGGATATCCGTAAGGTCCTATATTCAAATATCTCAGTTGTTCCTCTCTCTTTCCAATTGTAAAAACCCAAAAAAACAACAAAACGGAAAAGAGAGGGAGTAGATATCTCCGAAAACTGGGAGTACGAAAGTAACCCTAACCCTGTTTCTTAGCTGCCTAATACAGCCTTACTAGCAGTATGTTCTTGGTTGAACAGCCTGTTCTTTGAACAGCTTTGTATACATCATGTTGCGAAGACATTCTGCTATGGCATTTTCATACTGTTGTGTCTACTCAATGTTGCCCCCAAGAGTTGGGTCAAACCTACCGACAGTCTGTTCCACATCCACACTTGCAAGGCTTGCCAGAACCCCGCTTCCCTCCAAGATCAGCCAGCCAGCTCCTTTTCGCGGTAGGCGATGCCAAGACGCCTGCAAGGATCTCGATTCACAAGCATGTTCCACCGCTGCAGCGAGACTCGGCATCTTTCCGTGGTCTCTGGCCAAAAGATGCGTTTCAACCTGATCTTCGAATATCTAATCTCTTCATTCAAACAAGCAATAAAGAGATCGCTATCTCTGTGTTCATTGCTTCCAGCGGTTGGCTCCCATCACGCCACCCCTTCCTGCTCTGACCCTCGGTGAAGCTCGCTCTTGCTGCGCAGCCAAGAAACCCACGATAAAGTTCCCCTCCTCCGTCATCTCTAATCAGAGGACGCGATTCGATAAACCGACCAGAAATCAAAAAGAAGCCCAACCGGTCTCTTCTGCCTACCAATTCGCAACCTGTTCCGTATATGACGTCCTTACGGCGCTTCTGAGACGTCTTGCACACATGACAGCAAGGTAGCTCTCTCCGACTGTCGACCCCGATGGAGACACCGATGGAGACGCCAATGTCGACACAGGAGCGGCAGCTCTGCCAGCTTCTGTTGGAGCTGCCCGCTCGCCACAACTATCGATACACCGACGACGCTGCCAACGAACTGCTGGCCGCTCTCTTCTGGTGCATGGCCGCCGGCAAGTCCGATTACATGAATCTCTTCTTCCCGACCGGCGGTCCGGCTCGTGGTGGAACACTCAAGCTCCGCGAGGCCCAGGGTGCCGTCGAGGGTGCCGAATACACAGAAGCGGCCCGTGGAAAGGCGTGTGGACACATCTTCAAGCAGGGCGAGGCGTCGTATGGGTGTAGGACATGCAGCGCTGATGACACCTGCTGCCTGTGCAGCAAATGCTTCGACGCCACTGACCACACCGGCCACATGGTCCGGATCAACATCTCGCCCGGTAACAGTGGCTGCTGCGACTGTGGGGACCCGGAAGCCTGGAACAGGCCCATGTTCTGCACGATACACTCGATGTGGGAGGGCGAGGGGAAAGGCAAGGCCAGGGAAACGCCGGGGCTGCCTGAAGACCTGGTTGCCAACACGCGCATGACCATCGGCCGCGTCTTCGACTATCTGTGCGACGTCATTTCGTGCTCGCCCGAGCAGTTGCGCCAAGTGAAGACGGTTGAGTCCATCGAGCAAGACGAGAGGACGTCAAGGTTATCTTCCATCTACTGTGGCGGTGATACCGAGTCGCCTGGAGAATACGCCGTGGTGCTGTGGAACGACGAGAAGCACACAGTCATAGACGTCCGGGACCAGGTGGCTCGCGCGTGCAGCACCACCCTGGCGACTGGATTGCAGAAAGCCAACGAAACCGACTCCATCGGCCGGAGCATTTTAATGTACGACAAGAGCATCGAGAAGCTCATCGAGGTTGCCACCACCCTAGAGAGAATCAGGGTCACGGTGACGATACGCTCGGCTCGGGATACTTTCAGGGAGCAGATGTGCGGGACAATGATTGAGTGGCTTAGGGATATCTCGGGATGCACCGTCGGCGAGGACCACCAGCTACTGAGACAGATCGTGTGTGAGGAGATGCTCAAGCCGTGGCGTAAGGGGAGCCCGGCGACGCATGCCATTGTCGGCAAGGGCGGTATTGACGACGAGGATCTGATTGAGCAGGAGGATAGGGAAGCTAATGACTTCTACATCCAGCAGAGTAGGATCCTTCTGCAGGCTCGCCAGGCGGCCCGGGCTGCCCGGCGGGAGGCCGCGGCGGGCGAGCCGAGCCAGGATGAAGGCGATGACGACGAGGAAGACGGAGGCCATGATACCCCGGGGAGCGACATGGATGACGACGGCGACGACGACGACGATGTGATGATGCTTGATGGCCGCGAAGAGGGTGAGGGTGACCTGCCCATGCAAGACTGGCAGCAGGACGCCGCGCTGGAGGAGGACGAGGCCACAGTTGCGGGTTATCCACCTCCGCCTCCCCCGCCCCCAATTCCCCGTCGAACCGCCCGCGAACGTGAACTCACACCATCCGACTCGGATACCGCAGAGCCCCTCATCGCTCCTACGGTGTACGCAAAAGCTCATTTGGAGATACCCAAGACCCCTGGTCAACTAGGAAGCCAAGGCATGCCGCCCAAGCCTGGTGATTATTGGCTTGCTACTCCCGCCGGCTACGTGGAGCAGGAGAACATCCCAGTCTCGGAAGATCTCTTTGAGCGAGTCCGCCTCGACTGGATGATTCTCTTCGACCTGAGGATGTGGAAGAAGGTCCGCAACGATTTACGGTCGCTCTACATTTCGACCGTCGTCACTATTCCCGAGTTCAAGCGCGTCCTTGGCCTACGGTTTGCCGGGCTCTATACCACTCTTGCCCAGCTGTACCTCATTGGTGATCGGGAACCTGACCACTCCATCATCAATATCTCGCTGCAGATGCTGACCACCCCTTCCATCACCGCCGAGATTGTCGAACGAGGCAACTTCCTTACCAGTCTAATGGCTATCCTGTACACTTTCCTGACCACCCGCCAAGTCGGACACCCTTGGGATGTGGCGTCAAATGCAGTGCTGTCCTTTGACACGGGTACCGTCACGAACCGGAGGATGTACCACTTCTTCCTGGATTTGAAGTATCTCTTTGGCTCCCCTCACGTCCAAGAGCGGCTCAGGACGGAGGAGCGGTACATGATGCAGTTCCTTGACCTCGTCAAGTTGCATCAGGGCATCTGCCCGAACGTGCGTGCAGTGGGCGAGCACGTCGAGTATGAAACAGACAGTTGGATTAGCGCCTCACTTGTTACGCGCGAGATCAACAGGCTTTGCCGACAGTTTGCTGAGTCGTTTCGTAATGTCAAGGAGCAAGATTCGCTCTATGTCTCGGGGGCGATCCGTCTTGTGGCCAAAACTGTCATCATCAACTCGATCGGAGCTGAACGTGGCAGATTCAGCCAGTCGGAAATCAAAGACGAAGTCCGCTTCAAGAATCTCGACGACTTTGAATTCGAGGCTCCGGGCCGGGAGCTCAACGTTGTCAAGTTTGTGGTGGAAGAGGAGCCCATCAGCTTCCATCATGCTCTTCACTACACTTTGTCATGGCTGATCGAATGTGGGAAAGCGATGCCGGTTGAGCAGCTCAGAGCGCTTCTCAGCTTCACTACTCAAGAGCTCAAGATGAGACCCCGCTCCATGGGCAGGAAGCTGTGGCCCAGGCACGACACCTATCAGCCGGAGGACTACCTGATGGCAGCATTTGATTTCCCACTCCGGGTGTGTGCCTGGCTCGCCCAGATGAAGGCGGGCATGTGGGTTCGGAACGGTCTGAGTCTGCGTCACCAAGCCGGTACCTACCGTGGCGTCAGCCAGAGAGACGTCTCACATCACCGCGACATCTTCCTCTTGCAGGTGTCTCTGGTGGTCTGCGATCCCAGCCGCGTGCTCGCCTCCATCGTCGACCGGTTCGGTATGGAGAAGTGGGTCAAGGGCTTTTTCGAGCAGAAGTCGAAGGCCCAGGATGACGCCCAGCATTTGGATGTCGTTGAGGACATGATACACCTGCTGATCGTCCTGCTGAGCGACCGCACTTCGCTCATCCCCAGTGGGGATGACCAAGGGGCCCACATCGCATCCATGCGCCGCGATCTCACCCACGTCCTCTGCTTCAAGCCCCTGTCCTTTTCCGATATTTGTCTAAAACTCCCGGACAAGTTTACGGAGCGAGAAGATTTTCATACAATCCTGGACGAGATGACGACCTTCAAGGCGCCAGAGGGCTTGACAGACGTTGGTACTTTTGAGCTCAAGCCACAGTACATTGAGAACGTTGACCCTTACATTGCGCACTACAACAAGAATCAGCGCGAGGAAGCTGAGATGGCTTGGCGGAAGTGCGTTTCCAAGAAAACCGGAAAGCCGGTGGAAGACGTCGTCTACGAGCCTAGACTGCGGCCCATCCCGTCAGGGGTGTTTGCTGGGCTGGGCCAGTTTACAAGCACCGGCATGTTCGCCCAGATCATATACTACTCGCTGCTCTACAGTCTCGTCTATCCCAATCTGACGCCGCAAGTGCCATCGACTCGGGTCGAGACGTACTTACAGGTTGTGTTGCACCTCATCCTCATTGCCATTGCTGAGGACAGTTCGGACGAAGAACAACCACAACCGTCGTTCATCGCCACAGCGCTTACCCAGCAAGCCCGCAGCAACTTCATGCCAGATGCTCCGCAAGCCAAAACGATTGTCGCCCTGCTCAACCTGATTGCCTTCAAGGATGAGTTCAAAGCGTGCCATCCCAAGGTTGGGTTGATTCTTCGGAGGATGCGGCAGAAGAGGCCCAAGGCATTTGAGGTCAGCTACGAGCGTCTTGGCCTCTCCGTGGACCGCATTGACACAGCTTCTCCCGCGGCTAACAGTGCAGATGAAGAGCGAGAGCGGAAGAAGCGGGCGGCTTTGGACCGCCAGGCCAGGGTCATGGCGCAGTTCCAGGCTCAGCAAAAAAGCTTCATGGAAAATCAGGGCGACATCAACTGGGGAGAGATGGATGATCTTGAGGACGACGACGACGTGCCGCCGATGGAGGAGCACAGGGACTTTTGGAAGTATCCGTCAGGCACTTGTATTCTGTGTCAAGAGGACACGGATGACCGCCGCCTATATGGGACGTTTGCCTACTTCACTGAGAGCAATATTCTCCGGCAGACAGACTTCCAGGATCCCGACTTTGTCAGAGAGGCGTTCAATACGCCTGACAACCTGGACCGGTCCGCCGAAGCAATACGGCCGTTTGGTGTTGCCCACGAGAACCGTCAGGTTATCCAGAAGGTGAACCAGGAAGGCCAGACGTTTGAAACGGAGCGTCAGCTCATTGGGAAGGGCTTCCCTGCGAACCTGTCTCGTCCAGGACCAGTCTCGATTGGGTGCGGTCACATGATGCATTACCATTGCTTCGAGGCCTACTTCGACGCTACCGTGCGGCGGCACGGCCAGCAGATTGCGCGACACGCTCCGGAGAAGACCAATAGGCTAGAGTTTGTGTGCCCGCTCTGCAAGGCGCTTGGGAACGCATTCCTGCCCGTCATCTGGAAGGGCAAGGAGGAGTCGTACCCCGGACCGCTGGTGCCATCCACCGCGTTCTCGTCGTTTCTCGAGGCCCAGCTTCACTCAGCTTACTACACGCTTGGGGCGTCGCGCCCGCCGGACCAGATACAGAACACGTTCGCTGCCTACACGGCCAACCACATGATCAACAGTCTGGCGGAGAAATCGTCGCAATTGCTTGATGAAGCTTGGGTCGACGTTGGAGCCCAGTCCGTCTCGAGGGCCGGGACGCCGTTTAGCGAGACTTTCTCTCTGATTTCTGGCCCAGAACCCACCCTTGCCCGAGGTGCCACCTTTGATGCCAACAGCACGATGAGGGAACTGATCAATGTCTATCGCCGTCTGCGGGATACACTGAGGAAGAATGACATCGCTTCGCGGTATCAACATGATCTTCCAGAACAAGATGCCAACGAGTTGTGTGGCAGCGACGCACTGGCGCGCTCCGTGGGATTCTCCATCTCGGCAGTGGAAATCCAGCAGCGCGGTGTCGAGGCCGAGTACGGCATGACTTTTCTCGAGAAGATCCCGGATCAGGTACTCACGCAGCTTCGCATCCTCAGCGAGACGGTGACGTCCTTCATCGCGGTTGGTGGCTTGCGCGAGTCCGGTGAAAACAGGATTGACACTGAGTACCGCAAGGATAGCGAACGCCAGCACTGCCAACTGTTCATCACGCAGTATTTGGGCGAAGAGACAGAGAACACACGGTCCCCCGCCAGCTCATATCCTCCGCTGCTCAGCCAAGATCCGTTCATCTTCCTGTGCGAGTGTGTCTTCGGCCTCATCCCGGCACAGGGTTACGAAATTGGCCACTTGGTCCGCCTCTGCTATCTGGCCGAAATCACGAAGGTGGCCTATCACCTCGCTAGAAACATGCCTGTCACGCTGTGGTTCAGCTATCTCTCACGCCGCGAGGATCTGGACCCCTCAACCGCCAATTTTGTCAACTTCTGCGAGGTGCTATGCGAGATAGACGTCCAGTGCGCGGCGGACCCCCTCGCGGGCATCGACCGGCCGGCGTGGGAGAACAAGGCGTTCCAACAGCCCACCTTGGACACGTGGGAGGCATGGTACGTCCTCCTGCGCAAGTATGCGCTGGCCTTCCTCCGCAAGTGCGTCGTGCTCCTGCACGTCAAGTACGGCGTCGACTTCAACAGCCGCGTGAGCCCCATCCCGGAGCAGCGCGAGCTCGAGCGCCTCACCGAGGCGCTCCGCGTGCCGTCCTTGGACGAGATGCTCAGCGCCCTGACGCCCCCGCAGGGCGTGCAGCATGGCTGGCCCGCCGAGACGCGGCGGCTCGTGGCTGGGTGGGTCAAGCACCAGGCGCTGTGGCCGTACAACGGCAGCGACAAGAACCTGCCGCAGTCGGCGGTGCTCAGCCATCCGGGCATCTTTGAGCTGATTGGCCTGCCCAAGAACTATGACACGCTCATTGAGGAGGCTACTCGCCGGCGGTGCCCGAGCACGAGCAAGGATCTGACGGATCCCTCCATCTGCTTATTTTGTGGCGAGGTTTTTTGCGGTCAGGCCGTCTGCTGCGCCAGGGAAATCAAACAGGGCCGGACCCAAATGAGGGTTGGCGGCGCGCAGCAACACATGATGAAGTAAGTTAACCCTCCTTACACACTCCCTTACCGAGCTTCCTTCCCCTACCGCGACTCGAAGTGAAGTCAATTTGCTCACTCATTCCTTCTACATGTAGATGCCAGAAGAACATTGGCCTCTTCATCAACATCCGCAAGTGCTGCGTTTTTTACCTCTCGCGCATGTCGGGCTCGTTCAGCAACGCGCCGTACATTGACCGATACGGCGAGGTTGACATGGGGCTGCGGTTTGGCCGGCAGCTGTTCCTGCACCAGAAGCGGTACGATTCGATGCTGAGGAACTTGTGGCTCAGTCACGGCGTGCCGAGTTTCATCGCCCGGAAGCTCGAAGCGGATATCAACAATGGCGGGTGGGAGACTATTTAAATCATGAGGCATAGGAGCGTTGCCCGGGTATGGGAGGATGGGGGTTGGGGGAGGTTGGTGCATCCGGGTCGGGAGCAGGATGGTTATGGAGTAGGATTTGACGATGCATTGCGTTCTTATTTTTTGGGGTATGTATGCAAAGAGATTACATGACCATTCATCTATCTACCTTGAAGCAGGCATCAGAATGGGACAGAGTGGTTCAACTTTTATGCATGAAATGACTTGATGTCTATAATAACATTCTCATTCTGACCATGAGGAATCAGACCATTAGTTAGGGTTGCCTCGGCGAGCCTCTCAAACCAGGAGTAATGTGCCAAAGGCTTCTTCTCTTGGGTGGCTCGCCAGTGCATCGCGACTGGGCGTGGCTGACGGCTGAATATAGCATTTGGAAAGCCAGAGTTCTGCCGCTCAAGATCAAAGGCACTTATCGACCTACGACATTCAAGCAGCTAGGCGAAGGATAAAAATAATTTTAGCGTTAAATAGATCAAAATAGAATGAGAAGCGGAGGAAAAAGTGTGCTTATGGGGCTTGCATGTAAGCAAGGAAGACCAAAATAATCGATCCATCCAGGGGTCGAACCTGGAACCTCCTGATTACCGAGGAATCGTAGTCAGACGCTCTGCCATTGAGCCAATGGACCTATGAGTAATCAATTGATTATCGAACATGCAAGGACTATTATAAGCTACGGCATTCATCTTACCCTGCTCTGAAGAAGAACGAGCTTCCTCGTCTTCCACGAAATAGCATACACTTCCGATGTCCATCCCAAAACCCTTAGGTTGGTTGACGAGCCTTGTATGCCTGATACTTCGGCAATCCTCAGCCCTGTCCTCCCAGGAACTCAACGGGCACAGAAAAGCGGTGGGGAATACGATTTTATAAGTACATACCCGTGCTCAGAGTGACGGATATTTTGTTCTGCGGTGGACAGTCCAACACCTACCCTCTACCTACACAAATAGGGCGGCCTACTCGGTGCTACCCGGTCAGCCCTACCACATACTCTAACAACCAGCCTACCAGCTAAATTACCCAAGCGACCTAACCTATATATACCCTCTAGACTCAATCCACTCCTATTCCACCCAGCCCGCCTACCCCTTAGCCCAGGTCGCCTACGCTATACACCTACCCCCTCTCCTAGTACCAGTACTGGCCAGTAGGTCTTCAACCTACCTACCCTATACCACACGTCCCAGACACTTTCTCGGCCCACACAACACCATCTCGGTCATGTTGAGCTCGAGGCTCAAGAACCTCTTGCAGAAAGATCGCGAATATTTCACTCAACCATCTCGCTCCCCGCAACATCTGCTCCCAGCCCGACCAACAAGGCATCACCACCACATCAAATCTAACATCACAGCCTCCCCCATGGCCACCAGCACCACCACTCACACCCCGCGCACCCCCGAAACCGTCTCCGCCATGGCCAGCGACGTCATCAACCTGCTCCGGGCCGCCAACCAAACCATCGGCGTAGCCGAGTCCCTGACTGCCGGCCTCGTCATGTCAGCCCTGGCCGCCGTACCCGGCGCAAGCGACGCCTTCCGGGGCGGCATCGTTTCATACGCCACGCCGCTCAAACACAGCCTCCTAGGCGTCAGCGCCGAGCTGATCGCGCGCGAGGGCGTGATCCATCCGGACGTGGCAGCGCAGATGGCCGAGGGCGCGCGGAAGGCGACTACTCCCGAAGGGGAAGAGGCGACGGCGTGGGGCGTCGGCACGACGGGCGTGGCTGGGCCTGATGAACAGGACGGCAAGCCCGCCGGGACTGTGTTTATTGGCATCGCGTCGCACTGGGGCGGGAGCAGGGCCTTGGGGCCGTTCCTTTTTCCTGGGCCGAGGGAGCGGGTGAGGGAGGCGACGGTTATGGAGGCGCTGGCGAGGTTGCGGGAGGAGCTTGTTGCTGCTGCTGATGGGGAAAAAGAAGGGAAGGGGGGGAGGAGACAGGCGCTGTAAGAAACTGTGGATTGTCGCACCAACCGTTGCATCTTTGATTTGGCGTTGGCGTGACGTTGTTGTCTAGGACGGCGTCTATTTAGGAGACTTGCGTCGCGCTCTTGAGAGGGCATCCCAAGTCAACCCATGTCTTGAAGAGACTGGCAAGCCTCATACTGGCAAGAAAGAATTGCCAAATTGAGAGGAGAGACCATGCAAAGCACGCGCCCGAGATGGTTCATGAGGGTTACGCTCCACTTACAACCAGCCGGTGATCAGTCCTCAAATGTTGATACTCTCTAATGCTACTCGACTCGGTACCCAGCTAAATATTCGCTCTATCGATGCTCACCCATCACCCTACTCCGTCCATTTCGCGCCAGAAGTAAGCCTTTCAACCTCCCCGGGCTCTAACCCGGGAAGCTCTGTCTTCCAACTCAGCGCAAACTCCACGGACCACTATACATAGCCCGCATCAAGGCAACATCCTCTCCCCACCCGTGAAGCCCACCACGCTGCTGCCGCTCCTCCCACTTAACAGCACCACCACCACCACCACCAACCTCATCAAACATATTCTCCTCATCATTCCCACCAGCACCGTCCCCACCACCAGTAACACCACCCTGTCCTTGCCGCCCATCAAAACCCTCCCTATCATCATTCCCCTCCCGCCTCATCCTCGTCCACTCATACCCCAAAAAGGCAGTCCTCTTCCTCACCTCCAAGGCAACCTTCTTCGTCCCCTCATCCCTCAACAACCGATCCCTCGGCCTCCTGCGCTCCCTCTCCCGTCTACTATTATTCCCATTCCCGCCAATCCCACAATTATTACCATTGCCAGCAGCAGCAGCGAACCTCTTGACAAACTTTCTCAAATGTGCCCGCTCGGCGTCCGTCATAGCCGTACCGGCGGCGGAGGCGTCATCGTAATGGTCTAGGTACAGCTCGAGAGCGGCTAGCTTGCCTGCCTTGTCGTGCGGCGGCGCGGCGAGGACCGTGAGGGCGAGGGTCTGCAGGTGGTAGCGCAGGGGACGGAGGAACGTGAGTTGTTCTTGGGTTGGTAGTAGGGTTGGGAAGGAATGAGGAAGAGAAGAAGGGGGGAATTGGGGGAGGATTGACGGGGTTGGTGTGACGGGTGATTCGAGGGAGGGGAGCGGCGGCGGGATCGAAAAGTCGTCTTGTGTTGTGGTGGTGGTGGTGGTGGTGGTGGCGGCGGCGGCACAAGGGCTGTAGTTCTGGGAGTAGTCCCACGGTTGGTGTTGTGGGTGATGGTGAGAGTTGTACGTGAAGGTGGTCATTGGAGTCGTCATGGAGTAGACCGCCGGAGAAGGCCAGGTCTGTCCTGGAATTGAGCAAGTCGGCGAGGGGAACAGCAGGCTTGGAGCCTCAAGAGCCATCTCGGCTGCGCCGTCATGGGCGTCTCCCGCGTTTTCCTCGCAGCCGTCTGCGTCGCTCTCCGTCCCGTCGCTCACAGAACCGCCGTCGTCAAAATAATACGTGTCGTCGACCGAGCGAAGCCTGGGCACCAGCGGCGGGTCCAGCTCGTGCAAGCGCTCCCATGGGACGTTGCGGAACCACTTGTGCGCCTTGATGTCTTCGGCGTCGTAGGGAAACACATAGCGGCCGGCAATGTCGCGCATCTTGGAGTTGGCCCCAGACGACGATGAAGACGACGTGACGAGGTCCTTCATGCGGTAGCGCTCCGAGCACAGCCGATACTCCTTGTCCGTGATCATGGACAGCATCAGGTGCTGGCAACGGCGGGACACAGTCGGCCGTGGCGGGAAGCCAAACGTCTCGTGGTGTCTCAGGATATTCTCCTTGGTCTGGTGCCGGCCCTCATCCGATAAGAAGGGCGTATGGCCGTAAATGCATTCAAACAAAATGACCCCGACGCTCCACTAGTCGCACCGGGCATCGTATCTTCTCCCCTCAATCACCTCGGGAGCCATGTACTGGCTCGTGCCCACGACACTCCTGGCCGACCTGCGGAGTCCGCAGCGGTTGCGCCAGTTGAGCAGAGACTCGCCGTCGTGCAGGTCTTGCTTGTCGTGCTTCCTGATGCTGGCCATGATGCCGTGGGATCGCTTCTTCGTCGGCTCCAGGCTCTCGTCCCTGTCCTCCTCATCGCCGTCGACCTGGATGCCCAACTTCCTCACCAGGCTCTACCGGTGACTATTGTAGTAAGTCGTGTCGTGAGACCAGTGTCCGTCAAACGCGAGACCAAAGTCGCTGATTTTGAGGTGGCCCGACGCCGAGACGAGAAAGTTGTCGGGCTTGATGTCTCGGTGGATGCACTTTAGCGAGTGTGCCGCCTCGACGCACAGGATGATCTCGGCGATGTAGAAGCGTGCCACGGATTCGTGCAGGATGTTCTCGCGGATCAGGAGATTCAAGAAATCGCCACCGGGCATGTACTCCATCACCAGATACAGGTTCGAGAGGTCTTGGAAACTCGCGACAAGAGGTACGATCCTACCAAGGCCGGTTAGCAAACTACCCAAGGCCTCGTGGTGAGAAGAGGAAAAACCAAAGCTTACCATCTGGACCCCTCGCTAGCCACCAAAAGATCCCTCTCAGCCCTCAAGTGCCCCTCCTGGCTAGTCTGCAGCATTTTACCCTTCTTGATCACCTTCATCGCATAGACCTGGCCCCGCCGGTAGTCTCTCACCAGCCTGACCACGCCAAAGCTGCCCTTGCCCAGCACCTTGACCGTCTCATAGTCCCTCGCCTGGGATCCCCCCCCCGTCCTCGACGCTGCGCCCAGCAGCACCTTCAAATTCCTCGTCTTCATCGCCCGCATTTCCCGCAGGTGCTCGCTCTCGCGCCGCCAAAACTGGGCGCGAGCCATCTGTCTCTCGGCAGCGCTCAGCGGCATTCCCCTCTGGCGCGCGGTATTGAACAGGTCCGTCTCGAGGATCTGCTGCCTCATCTGACGCGGCGATGGCCCGGAGGCGAGCAACTCGTTGAAGTGGGTTTCGAGGTATATCTTGGCGGCGGCTGCGCGCTCGACCGTGGCGATACTTGGCGGACACCGAGCCAAGAATGCTTCTTGAGTTGCATCGAGGTTTCTGTGGGTGGGGACAAGTGTAGCTCCTTCCGCTCGGGCGTCTAGGTTACGGCGCGAGCGTTGCGGGCTGTGGCTTGCATAACGGTTCCGCTCACGACCTACCGTGTTTGGATCTGCGTCCCTGAACATCGAGTCCAGCGAAGTCTTGCCCGTCGAGAGCTGGGTGATATTGGCCGACTTGATATCAGAAGCGGTTGTTTTGCTGCAGGCGGTGCGGGAATCGCCACTCTGGGCCGGACTGGTTGGGGATACTGACGCGGTCGGTGACACTGCAGTTCCAAACGTGCCGCTCAGCAGCGGCCGGTTTTTGGCGGATGCCCTGCGGACAACGGTGGGCTCCAGAGGGCGAGATATGGCGTTCGACATCTTGTGTATGAAGGCCGACTTCGTCCCGTGCTCGGTTGGAGCTGGGCTTGTCTGTTGCATGACCACGGGCTGTTCAGAGGCTGGAGAAGGTAAAGGTCAGCAAGAGCATGTGAACACAGGAATTGGCCACTCACAGCTGTTGGTCAACGATTTGAGGGCTGAGATGACCTTGACTCCGTGCCGGCGAAGTTTGGCGGACAGCGCAGAGCTAGACTTGCATGCAGCGAGAGAGCTTGGGCCGGAAACAGGTTCCGGGGTGTTCTCAAATCCCGGAGAAGAGTTACCCGTGTGACCTGGATCTTGGTCAAGATGCTCGTTCATGTCCATTGGCCCAATCCATGGAGTGTGAGAGGCTGCTGATACTTCAATATTAGATGTCGTTGCGCCCCGAAAGACGATAATAAGAGTCGGGGGAAAAGTCTAAACTACGGCCCAAAGAGAGCCTCAAGCAGCCGAGATGGTCGAAGACTGACCAGGACCCAGATTTCCGGGTGAGTGGGAAGGGATGATGTGAAAAACGTGTAGCTTTCTTTCCTTCGGATCTGAGTCCGTGAAATGCCGATGCATAAGACATGTCGAGCAAGAGGGACCGTGTCAGCTCGCCTTCCTCGAACCGAACCCTTAATTCACCACAATGCCCACGGGAACGGCCCTGAGCAGCAAAAGAGTAGTAGGGTGGATGATCAGGTAAATCTCGAAATTTGCCGAGACAATATTGCACCTATGGACAGAGAAAGCAGGACATGACAAAGAGAAAGATAACCGTCCCAACGACTTTTCAGTTCGCCGACCCTGAAGCAATGTAGACCTCGTCATCCCGTCAAATGAGCCGTCTGCTCCCCAAAAAGCAAAGGGTCCTCCCGCAAACCGCGCCAGGTCAGAGGTCCGCAGGGTGCTGTGTATTGACCCACCGCGGCGACAGTAAGATAGAAAAGAGAATAGGCGCCGACCCTCTTGAGCATTAGTGAGCCATGAGAAACAGAACCCTCATAAAGTACAAGGAACCCGCAACGACCGACGCCGCGCTCAGGATACCGAGAGATGGCAGATCCTGCCAAACCTCCAACAATTGCTCGAGTTTGAACACTTTACTTGATCTCAAGGAGCTTGACGTCAAAGACGAGCGTGCTGTTCGCCGGGATGCCAGGCATAGACCGGCTACCGTAGGCCAGGTGGGCGGGGATGGTAAGGCGGCGCTCGCCGCCCACCGCCATACCGATAATGCCGATGTCCCAGCCCTTGATGACCTCACCCTTGCCGATCTTGAAGGTGAACGGTGCGCCCTTCTTGTTGGCTGCGGTGTTCTGGTCAGCGTCGTACTCGTTCCATACGGCCTTAGCTGAAGCCACTTACCGTCAAACACCTTGCCGTTCTGGAGTTTGCCAATGTAGCGCATGCCGACCCTGTCGCCGTTCTTCACGGTACGGCCAGTACCAAGCTTGCGGTCGTCAATAGTGACGCCCTGTACAACCTTCACACCGAGAGTGCCCTTCTTGTCACCCTTGTTGTCGCCCTTGTTCTCGGCCTTGTCCTTAGCCGGACCGGTCGGGCCCTGCTCCAAGTTCTTGGCGAACTGGACCTTCTTGTCACCCTTGGCCGCCGGAGACTCCTTAGCCTTGGCCTCAGCGGCGACGGCCTCGCCCTGGTTGTTTTTGAGCTTCTTTTGCTGCTTCTTGCTGAGCTTCTTCTCGTCCTTGGCCATCATCTCGTCGAGATTCTCGGCATCCTCGTCGGCGGGACGCTTGTTTTTGCCTTTCTTGGCCTCAACAAGCTTGGGAGCCTCCTCCTCCTCGTCAGTGTCGATCTCCTCGACACGGGCCGCGCCGTCCACATGATCCAGCTCGTCGCTCATCTCATCCGAGTCCTCGTCCTCCATGCCAGGAGGGAGGTCGTACTCGTCGTCCGACTCTTCCTCGTCGTCGTCTTCCTCCTCGTCCTGCGGGACGACGTAATTGCCAGTGAGATAAATTGAGTGGGTGCCCTTAACGCTGAAGAAGATCTTCTCGCCCTCGCCAATGGTGATGTCGATGGGTTGTTGGTAATTCTGCATCGAATGTTAGCCGAAATGATCTTCTCGCCCGAGAAAGCCGAAGTGTCCACATACGCGCTCGGTGTCGAGAGTGCACACAACGTATTCCTCCATGTTGAGGTCCTCATCCTCGTCATCCTCATCACTCTCCTCGTCCTCTTCGTTGGCCTTGGCCTTGCCCTTGTTCTTGGCACCATTGGGCTTCGCGTCGGCATCCTCCATCTCGTCGTCCGAGCCTTCCTTGGTGGCCTCGAGGAGCTTCTTGATGGCAGCCTCCCGGCGGGCCTTCTTAGACTTGGAGGGATCGCTGGGGCCGCCGTTGACCTCCTCGTCCTCCTCGTCTGACTCCTCATCATCACCACCGCCAAGGAGCGACTCAAAATAGTCATCATCCTCCTCGTCATCAACAGCGGCCTTGTATATTTTCAGTGTCGAGCGAGGGACTGAAGGGACGTTGCCCTGACCGTCGGTCTCGGGCTCCGCGGTGGGGTCAATGGCCGCCATAGTGATGCGAATCTAGATGGAGTTGTTAGCCATGACTGCAGCCGGGCGCTGCAGGCAATGATGTACGCACCGTTGCTGGGAACTCGATCTCGGCGGGGACCAGCACTCCGCCGGTAGGGACCTCGAGGCCATACACGGCGACAGGCAGCAGAGGCGACATCTTGAATACAAGTGTGTTCTTGTAGCGGTGAATTGAAGAATTACTTGTTGGAAAAAAAGGACAATGGCCTCTGCCGAACACCGGTAAAAGAATGTCAAATCAACGGCCAAATCACGCAGCTGCGAGGAGAGGTATGAAGATGTATGGAGGAGCCAGTTCGAGTCGGCCTACTTCACAAGGCGATTCTGCAGAAATACCCGACACCACCTGCTTCGAGGCCAGAAAATTTTGGAGCCGCCCCCACAGTCCGCCCGATAGTCACGTCAAAGCTTATCGCACCAGTGGCTGCCCGGTCAACGGGAGGCGACCCCACTTTGGCTGTCACCGCCTGCTGCTCTGGGTTTAGAGAAGTTTGTGAAAGGTGGAGACCGGAATTTGCGCTGTTTCGTCCCGAACGTCATGGCTTTCAACCATAACATCATCCGCATCCCTTCAACAATGGTCGGATGACATTTTACGGAAGGGAAGGTGGAGAGTGGGGTGAAAATTGCGAGGATCAGAACGAAGAAAGCAATTCAATGGCTGGAGTCTTCTCATTTCTCTGTCCACGCCCCTTCTCGATAAACACCTCGAATGATGGAGACATGATCACAGTTGGGTACGCTTGGCTACCAGGTAACTACAACGGCCCCGACCACCCTCCTTCGTCGTACTCTACTCGGCCTTCATTTTCCCAAACCCCATAAATACAGCCTTCAGAATCTGCCACACAATACCTGCAGTCATGGTAAGCTTCCCTGTCTCGTACCGTTGCGGCCGATCTCCCGTCTCGGTCATCATCAACCCGAACTCGACCACCGGTCCAGGGATGCGGCCGCTGTGCCTGGCATACGCGGCGACCAAATCATTCCCGTTTGTGATGCCCCCTTGGTTGGCAGTTAGCCTCACATCTGCCACTCACGAGAGACTTGAGAGAACGAAGGGCTGAGCATAACAGGACTCACCACTACTCCAGAGATTCCCATCCCGCACCCACCTCAATCCCTCACCAACCCACTGCACCCCCTCAAACTTCTTGGCCAAGTGGCCCTGCAGACCCCGCGGCCCGCAGGCCTTCTTCCCTTTCAGCAGGCCCGCCGCGCCGCATAGGTAGATGCCCGTGCAGATGCTCAGGATATCCGTCTCGGGTCTCGCCGCGTGGGCCGCAAGCCAGTCCGTCGCGTCCTTGATGTCGTCAAAGTTACTCAAAGGGTCCGGGCCCGGGATCATAACGATATCGAGCTGGCCTGGTTGGACTTCGGTGTCGGAGATGTGGTGCGTGCAGATGACGCGGGCGGACGAGGTAAGGGGGATGGGCTGGCCCGGTTGGACTCGTGAGATGTCTTTTCCAATGTGTGGGTTAGTGACATGGATGTGATGAGAGAGTGAGTGAAAGGGGTTGCACACAAGAGATGCGGACGCTCGGTGCGAGGTCGACTATCGGCTGTGGAGCGAACTCTTTGACCCATGTGAGGTATTCATAGCTCATAGACCCAAGGATGTCTACACAGGCAAAGTCCAGGAGCTGGCATTCTATGGGGATGAACACGCCGATGCGGATGGTCTTCCGGGAGGTGGTCGCCATGGTCGTGTTTTCCATTCACGCAGAGTACTGCAGTGTTGGATACAGAAACCTCTCGAGGAGGAAGACATACCTGCATCTTCTTTAAGTATAACGGTCGTCCTAGAAGGAACACGAACGGGACCCGAGAGGCACCGGAGCCTTGGTGAGGCCACGGAAGCCCAGGCTTCTTCAATCCGGCGCTGGCGGCTTGTGGACGGCCGAGTAGCGTCCCGGGCGATATTCTGATTGGCCGCGTATGAGACAACCTCCGAGTGCCTTCGGCACCGAGCTGGTCGGCCGGCAGGACGCATGGAACCGAAAATGTGACGGGGCACAATAAGTTTGAGGGAGATTTGAATTGAGATTAAACATTCTGGCAAACTTACAACTACCTGTTTAGCTCCACCTGCTCGCCTTGAGCCTGAGGGAAAAGGATGCGGCATTTCACCTATACCTCAGGATTTTTTTTGTCTCGAGAAGATCCACGGCATTTTGTAGTCGAAGATCATGTCTTGAATCTCTATGTTATCTTACCATAACCCATCATAAGCGCTGTCATTTGAAGGGCACATGCTCTCTTGAAGCCTTGCATTTGCTAGCTTTAAGTCTAATTCGTATGATCCCGAAAAGCACGAGCAAAACGCCAAGTTCAACTCAACGCTATCACGACCTTGGTTGCAGAGCGGAATCAGGTTACAAGTATCTATCTGCTTTGCCGTATCAATGAAAACCCGGCTACTTCGAAGTATCTTCCTAACAATATCCAGATTCCGTCTCATCTCATCTCATCGCCCAATACTGTTGCCAAGCCACCCAGCCGCACAGCCACAGCCAACTTCCTCGACAACTCCACACACAAGAACAAACCAGCCCAAGCCGCGTCAGCGGTAATAATTCCCTCGCTCTTGACTTTGCCTCTACTTTGTCCTGACCCAGTATGATGTACAAAGCACGGCACAGTCAGGACAAAATCGCTTCTAGGGAAAATCAGGATGACCTCGCCAACGCCATGATTCCGCCTTGGCTAGGTATGGAGTACATATGAGTAGAAAAGCCAAGGCTCCAACAGGTGCTCTTCCAAGCGTCAAGCAAGAAACTTTGTTCGTCGATGCTCATGCGGCAATGAGACTAGAGTGATAATCTTATACAATTCAGGCCTTGTTTTTTGTTAGTGACCGTGGAACTTATGGATTCACATATTTTTCCTTTCACTTTCACTTCCTTGTGTTCTTTTCCTTTCCTCTTCCTATTCATCTTCGTCTTTGTCTTCGTCTTTCTATTCCATTTCCTCTTATTTCCATCTTCATCCTCTATGTCTTCCTTTCTCTCTTCCTTTCTTGTTTCCTTGCCTTTAATAGACTTTATTTTCCCGTTCTTGTCCGGAGATTGGGAGTACCCCACTGCGTGCCAGGCTCACCAATCTGACATCAGCCAAAACGATATATGCACGTGTAGAGATTAACGTCGTCCGCTCAGCCACATCAGCGTCGTGTCGATATCTGACCTGCTGTGCACTCAGCCTGTATATTTGCACGTCAGACCCGAAGGACCGGATGTAACCGAAAGGGGTTACTTATTCAAAGTTCAAGGGCGAGGCGAGTCAGCCTCGAAACAAACTGCATGGCTCCACCGCGCCCGGGCCGTGGTGCGTCAACAGAGCCAACAACCCGCCCTGTCTCCCACGTGTAAATTGGGACACTGTGAATCAGGACCACTCAGCATACTTATTTCACATGCCCTCTATTAATGGGAATGCTCGCTGCTCACGAAAAGCCGAGAGAACAAGGCACAGTGACGCAGAAAGTGTGGGTATGCGCAGGCTAAAAGCGAGCGTGGTGAATGTATTCTCCTCCTACACCAATGCCATCATATCGGCTCCATGACCATGACGATACATGATAATAACAGTCGGGGCACGGCACCCGGCCCCATGGGCCACCAGTCCTCTCCCCCCTTCCGGATCCAGGTAAAAGAGACATCACACTCCCATCCACCTCCTAGTGTGGATGCCGTGATGTGCCTCCTCGTCCGTGTCCTCCTGGCTATGTACATGATTGTATGATTAAATATTAGGGGCTAGCAGTGTGTTGATATTAGGGGTGCCCCTGGGATACTTGCCGCCCATCCCAGCCACGGATCATCGGGCCCCAGAACTGCCGTCATCGTCTCTTGCCTGCTGTCCGCTCTGGGCCTAGCCATCCCAGGCGGACAAAATCCAGAACCCCCTCCACTCCGTCTCGTCTCGTGGTCGTTCATCCCTCTGACTCGGCTCGTGTCATGAAAAGACGTGCGTGTGCCTGTGCCACTCCAAAGCCGTGTCATCCCCGTCTCTTTCTTTCCTGGTATCTAAGCGAATGGCGCCAGCAGGCGGGATATCGTCCGTGATTGATGCCCCGCGTCCAAAAAAAATCCCTGCCGGTATAATGGTTCGCTCTCCTCTTCCCCTGCTCCACGAACTCCGGTGAACCCGCCCATTAAGAAACAAGCGGGAAAAAAGAAAGATAACAATAAAGTCGAGCCTCCGTATCTAGATGCCAAATAACCGATGCCATGCCATGCATATCAACATCATGTCCTCTTGATTTACACACGTGCGCCTTCTTCAAAACCAGTGTTTAAAAGCAACAAAAGGCCCAAATCGACGAGCGGCACAGGCGTGCCACTCTCGTTTGGACATATAAACAGTTCCCAAGAAGCGCAAATAGCGGGTTCGGCACTCAGTTGTGTGGTAATGGTCATGTTGTGAGGCGTAGCTGATTCCACGAGCCATCGTCAGGAACGGACGGCGGCACCGAGTCCTGGAGGGAGGATCAGTTGACCAAGTCGGGAGAAGGATCATAGTGCCCAGAATGGAAACGGTCAGAATAGTCGTTATCGCATGCATGCGGCGTTATACCAGGGCATCCGCTGTTACCGACTTCGCTCTCCTTCGGGTGACCTTTTTGCTGACCGTGTACACCAAGTCCAAGGTCCAGAAGTGGCATATTTGCGCTTGCGCACACGGAATCGATCCAAAAATCGGCGCAACCAGCGGAACCATGACGTAGTCGATGAAGTTGGTCTTGACCTCTCTCCGAGAGAAGTGCATGCCCTTGAGCAGGCCGGCGTCGCCCATCTCCTTCTCGCGCGACTCGACGCAGATGCGGTGGAAACCTTCGTACAGGAAGAGATAGAGAGCGACCTCCATGAAGCCGAGGGTTCGGAGGACGTTGCAGATGCTAAAGATCCAGCCGACTCCGTGCACGTCGGGCATGCCTTCCGTCACCCACATGTAGAGGGTGGACGCAACAACAAGGATGGTCATCTGGACAGGCAGGAAGTGCGCTTCGAAGAGGCGATGGAACAGAATGACGATGCGCTCCCAGTCGGGTTCCTTCAGGGTATCGGTCACAACGTCGGAGAAGATGCCGCTCTCAGGGGTGGCTTCGGCATCGACAGAGTCGAGCTGCGACTGCGGAACATAGCTGTCCAAATCGTCGTTCCTTGGAAAGATTAGATAAACGCCCCGTCTCTCCCGAGACCTGTCATCATGGGAGGCAAACTTACAGAGACGTGTGCAGCGGCCGGAATGCCCTCGAGGTGTGCTTCCTCTCATTCCAAACCTCGACTACCTTCCTCAGCGCATAGCCGGTGTCAAGTGCGCCCCACATGTGCCGGAGCGCCTGTTTGTACCGTGCACGAACATCGATCATGACGCCCTGAATCCCTTTGCCGCGGCCACCACCCGTGACATTGGTTTGGCTCACAGGGCTCAGGACAGTTCGCGAAGTGAGGTTACCGTTGAGAGCGAAGAAGCACTTGAGATACATGTGCAAATCCTCGCCAATGGCCTCGGAGTCACAATCCCAGCCGCCGACACGATCGACCAACTCAAGGGGCAGAGAGTAGACCGACGTGGGGGGCGCAATTGATGAGCCCTTGTACAAGCCGGACATGCCAGCGGCAGACCACAGGACGTCGGCGACACGGACAATGGCGGGAACATTGTGGGCATTGCGGTCGAAGATGATCGGGGCCGAGTAGAGCGTTGTGGTAGCCGTGTCGGGGTAGGCCATATGCATAGTCGTCACCTGGGCAAAGTAGTTGGACGACAGGTGGCTGTCAGCTGCATGAGGGAGCCAGATTGGTTAGCGAATCCTGACGTGCATGCGCAGCCAAGGCCAGACTATTCGGGTGGAGCAACAACTCACCATCAATGCCCGTGACAATCACATCCTTCCGCTGCCCAAGGCTGTACTTTTCGCTCAACTTCCTCGCAGCCCACGCCATGTTGCTGCCCTTGCCGGCAAGCTCGCCTGGAATGTCGGAGGGGTGCACCGTGAAGTCAATTGAGCGAAACTTCTTGGAAAACTCATTTGTGAGCCTGGTCGCCTTGGTCTCCGCGTTGTGCTCTCTTTGCTCCATTGCAAGGTAAACCTGATTCATGCTTGTCAGTCTGAGTCTGGAGAAGCTGTGGAGCAAACGCAAAACCGGAAATAGACGTGTCCCCTGAAAATCCTTACTCCACTAGGTTGCCACTTCAGCCAAACTATGGCGTGGAGCCATGAGAATGCTGCCAGCTGGCTTGGGGAGGAAAGTGGTAAAGTAGACAGGCGTGCGAGACTCACATCATAGGTATTGCGTGCCTGCGGGTGCGAAGCCAGAACCTCCAGTGTCTCCCTCAGACTGTCGGTTTCCTCCTTGTAATTCGGAATGACGATCGCATGGATGACACGGTCGGGCGCGATGTCGGCGTCCATGTAACACTCAGTGTCCTGATCGCCGGCTTCGCTGCTTGACGTGGAGCTGACGTCCCGCGACGAGGTTAACGTCTCAGAGCTGGAAAGTGAGGTCGACGAACCACGGCGGCGGTGTCCGAATTTAATGTCCCTCAGGGCCCTCGCCCGCGCGGCCTTCTTGAGGCTGTTCGTGATGGTCAAGACGGCCCAGCAGGAGCGCAGCGGGAAGATAAAGACCAGCAGGTGGATGAGCAGGCAGTAGTACGAGAATACCGCAACCAAGCCGCTGCCCTTTTTCGAGCTGTGACGCGGCGCACTAAGACTGTTGGTTGACTGATACTTGTAGTCATGCCTTTGAGCATCCAGCTCGCTCGAGATAACCCAGTATGACAGCGCAATGGTGGCCAGCATCGCTAGGCCGCCAGCGCGTCGGCTGCACCATGCATAGATTGACATCGTGGTGACTGCACGAAGAAGGCGAAATCCGAGACGGTCGAATTATTAGGCCAATTGGCGGGGCAGGCGAGCGTGGTTTGCTGGTGTTTCCTTGCGAATTGGTGCGCCGAGTTAATTGACCGAGTCGGCGGAGAGAAACCGAGCGTCTAAGGACGAGGTGAGGGCGTCGTGGACCGGAAGCCCGCGGACAGAGGGGACGCGAGTCGAAGAGCACTCGGCGTGTTGCTTCCACAGGTCCACAGGAACTAGGCTTTGGGCGGGGGAAGGAGGGATTGCGGGAAGAGAGGAAAAAGGGAAGAAAGGAAAGAGGGAAAAATCGGGTTGGGATGATGGCGGCGAGGCGGCGAGGCGGCGCAGTAGTTGTGGTGTGCTAGGCTAGTCGGGGGGACGTGCTGGGACCAAAGAGCTGAGGGTCCTCACAACTGTCGATGAAACCCACGACCAGGCAGGCCATGGGCAGAAAAAAAAGGGGGACTGCAGCTTGCCCGCGTGTCCAGACCCAAGCCCACGATGCAAAGTGCTAGGGTGTGACATTTGGCTTGGCGTGCTGGATGCAAGGGTTGAGCCGGACAGAGTACCCAAGCCTGCACTGCTCCGTAAAGATAGGTTGGCGCTTGCCAATCTAGGCAATGAATTTCCCACTAACCTGGAAGGTAATGCTTGGGCGGAAAATCGCGCCGTTCAACTCGCGTAAGGTAGAAAGAAAACCAACAATGTCCGAGTAATTGTTCTCCTTCGACGTTGCCAGACTACCACTTGACAATGGCATAGGGTCCAGCACTTGTTGCGGCAGATCCCTGTGGCTTGTGTATGCGGGGCAATGTCTTTTGTGGTCACTACCTGAGGTAGGGTGTGCGTTTGCAGGTTGGAGAGGCGCTTTTCTCACATGAAGATCGCGGGGAACGGATAGCAGCTTACACGCTTGAACGTTCCCTCGACCCTCTCTAGTATTCTACTAGTCTCATGCAGACGGTGTCACCATGGCACTACTTCTCGCCTCTTCGAATAGCTAGCAGCTCATACATGGTCACTTCGACAGCGTTTTGGGCCCCGGGTCGTTGCCAAGGCAGCGGCAGTTAACCGGACTGCTCGTCGCTTACAAGTTCGGTGCCCGCCTAACAGCAATTGTGGGAAAAGGCATCCGACGGTTTCTTACACCAACGAACGAAATCGCCAACCACAGAGCCTCGTCGAGACACACGTGGAGCTCAAGGCCCACTCGCACGACAGCGGTGTGTTCCTCAACACAGACGATCGCCTACACTCAGATACCATCCGACTCGAGGCACCGCTCGTCGAAGTTCCTCGGAGTCATAATGTACTTGCTTGCCATGTCAATACAGCCGCGCGTCTTCGCGGTTGCAAGCACGCCGGAGTCGAGAATGCCGACCGGGTTGCGCCGCAAAGTTTGATGTGGTAGGGGCGCAGGGGCTCACTTTTCTTGTCACCAGATCTGACCACTCAAAATGGGAAGGAGATTCCAAATGTGGGGGCACTTCCCCAAGCATGACCCGCATCCACTTGCATGCTCGTTGCCCCGGCCGTTGAGAGAAAGATTTGCTGCCGCTGGGTGGGTTGGGAAACGAGCCGGGAAGTCGGCACACGCCGTCTGTCACAACAAAACCTTAGTACCTCGGAAAAACGGACTGTCTGCAACTCCATCCAAGCCCCTCGCGGCCATCCACTTCTTTCCGTGCCGCTTGGGGTTCTGACCAGTTCCAAGCCAGGTCGCAGCTTTGGTTGGTGGGTCAAAAGCCACTTTGGGGAAATTATGATAGGGGCTTCACAGCTCACTGGCAGGTTTGGCGAGAGTCTCGATATGCCATTGGCTTGAAAAAGACGCCTCAAGGACCACTCCACTAGTGGTATCGTTGTACCGTTACTGTTTCCGCGTAACCATATCTCGGCAGGATATGGATGGAAGGTTGGCTGACAGGCAACTCCAGAGTTGGATTTCGAACAAACTCCAATGCCTCCATGTTGAGGTCCTTTCATCGCTGACACATTACAAAGTACTTCTTCGTCTTAACAATATCCCAGGACCGATCGCGAGCCGGTTTTTGGGGCACTATCCGTCTCCGTTTGTCTCCCAAGTCAGCTGCCCACTGCCAATCCGCCGTCTGGAGTTGCGGTAACATTTCATTACGCCAGTTACCCGAGAGGCCTCACGCATCTTCGATGCTTGGCGGCAATTGCACGATCCGCCATCTCATTTTAATCGAAGAAGCGCTGTATGTTCACTGGCGGGCTCTGAACTGCAGTCTCTTTTTCCTTGTCTTACCCCAAACAGTGAGATTATCAACAAACCTTTGAAACTTCTTTTTATTTCAGCCTGGTGTACTGCTGTGGTACGGTTTCTTGGCGTGTTCTACGGGAATCACTTCGCTTGACCCGTTGAGAGTGTGCCGAGGGTTGAACTTCACAAGACTGTAACAGTGATGGTCATGGAGTGAGACATCTAGACGTCTCAGCGGAAGAAACCCAGTCATCTCGGCCTTCTGCGACGCGGTAAGCCCGTCATAACTCAATGTACTCCGTATCCCGCCCACCCTTACGCGTAAGATTTAAGATTGCTTCACGGCGTCGCGTCTTGGGCGCGTTTTTTAGGGCTCCCACTAGGCGCATATCCATGTGTGCTTACGTAAACCAAGATGGCTTATATAATCAACAAAGTCGCATCTAACGCAGCATTGCCCCGCGCCTTCCATCGCATGCGAAATAGACTTTCAGAAAGCCGTCCAGCCGCCGAGAAGACCGTTGAGTCGTAAAGGCACAGCCTCGAGGCTTTGCATACGAGTTAGCTGAGTCGAGCAAATCGTCACGTGACTCGAAGAAGCCCTCGGGAAGGCGGCCATTATAGTGCTTTGGTGTTGACTTTTGGCGCTGAATTTGGTGCTGACTTTGGCGCTGACTTTCGCGCAGGGCAATGCTGCGTTAGATGCATCTTTGTTGATTATATAAGGCATTTTGGTTTACGTAAGCACACATGGATGTGCGCCTAGTGGGAGCCCTTTTTTAGGAAGAGCTTACGGAATTCTCAATTTCCGTTTTATTGTCAGGGACATGCCCCCAGTCTGTCACATCCTCCAGTCACCAACGGTAACGTTAATGAGAAATGCAGGCTGCCGAGGGTGGGAGCAGTTGCCAGGCCCCGGTTGCCCAGCGGCCGAGAGCCGCTTGATTGCACAACACCAGGGTTACTTAAGCTACTGGTTGGTTGCTCTGCCTTTCTCTGTCGTTTCAAATCACAACGTGTAAGACCAGAACGCATCAGGTCCGGCCGAAGCGTGGGATGCAATCACCTCGTGGTAATTGCAAGTCACCGAATCAACAGTGTGTCGGCTAAGTGTGCTACCACGGGTTATCGGTCGAACCCGATCGCTCCACATGGCCGCCTCCGGAGGCGGCCATGTTAGTTAACGGCCCGGGCCATGGTGGGGACCGCTCAACCGGGAAACGCCTTCCTCTCGCCATGCCCAATTTCCACCCCAATCCCTTCCCTCGCCATGTCCTCTCGGGCAGCTAGGCGAGCATTCCGTACTCCTCTCTCCCTGTCCCCTGACTCTAATCCATTGCCTTAGCGGGCCAATTAGCCTCGGGACCCCACGTTCTTGAGCCGTAGGCTGGCAGCTGGGCGTACTTGTGAGCCTCTCCGACTCAGCTTGGGGCGTCCAAGGACTTCAGCATGAGTTCTCTCCAATCCAGATTTGTACAAGATCTGTAACCGGAAATAGCGCATGCACCCAGTTGAATGTTTCAAACCACCTTCTCAAACATCTTCTGGATAGGTTTGGCAGCCTGTAAAACCGCGGATATCAGCATGTATACTCTAAACTCACAGCTCCGACAACGACCCACGTCGATGAACTTCTCCAAGTCCCTGTCCAGGTTTGCCAAGTCATCCCTGCGCTTCTTGTTCTCTGCGATGAGCTTCTGCTTCCGCTTTTGCAGCTCCTGCCGCTGCTGCTCGAGCGCCTCACGCTCTGCCCGTTCGTGGTTGATGCGCGCCACCATCAGGGCATTCTCGTCGGCGTCGGCGTGCTCCGGGTGCTGTGCCAGGAACTCCTCCACCGGGATCAGCGGGAGGAGTTGGTAGGTGTGGCTGGACAGAAAGCAATCCGCGTTAGCCAGGGGCAATCCGATCAATGCATCGCGCTATAAACCCAAGAAAAGACGCACTCAAACCCCTCGCAGGCCGCAATCTCTCCCTCGAGATGGTGTTGCTCATAGTACAGGTTCTGTAGCTGCAGGTGCAGCACGTCCACCTCGTGCCGCGCCTCGGCCGTCTGGCTCTTGGTCTCGCGCGCGCGGAAGTGGGCGGCGCGGTGCAGCCCGCGCAGGTGGGCCAGGCTCGTGTTGAGCAACTTCTGCTGCTTCGAGATGTCGGTCAGGGCATCGGCGGGGATGGGACCGTTGGCGTTGGCAGCCGTCGCCTGACTGATCAGGTCGATCAGAGTCTGCGCTTGCTCACGCGCTGCTCGGGAGGTTTCGATGACGGAGGCAAGGGACGGGTCGGTGATGTGCGCATCGAGGGTCATGATTGGGATGATTGGGATGCTGAGGAGGATTGGACGGGGGATGTCGGCGCAGTCGATGGTTCGGATGGTGGACCGCAAGCCAGTGGTGTTGTTTGAATTGACACTCGTCCAGCTTTGTTGAAGTGGAGATGCCTTCCTACCAATTGATAGTGGCGTGGTGATGAGCTTCCTTGCGTTGGTGTCCTTGAATTCTCGACCGGGTGCTCGGCGGTAACCGTTGTCACAAAAGGGCCAGGAGGCCAATGCATCTGCTTTGCTTTGTTGAACTGCTCTGTCGCTCTGTCGTTGAGCTGCGTGGGGTCGTGTGAGAGCAGCAATTGGCTTTTGGGTGCTGGCTTGATGCGCTGACTCCACCTGGCCAGCGGACGCTTTCGGGCTCTCGCTGTGGAGGCGGGTTCGTGTCTGTTGATAATCCTCCGACGCCTTTTCCCCAATTTTCCCGACTCGAGGATTTACTCTCGAAACCGTCATTTGACCTGGGACAAATCTCTAGCGCAATATGGTCGGATGAAGAGTACTCTTGAAACAACTTTCTCTTAGAATCCTACTTCTCACTCGCCTTCCCTAATTCCAGAACTCCCCCTCAACGATTCGCGAGTGGCGACCAACTTGCAAGACAGAATCATTGAATTTCGCTCACCAAGGACCGAGCCATCGCCGCTCGCTGCATTCTGCCCCGATACCCTCTAGGTTAACGTCCGCCCGGCCGCCGTCCCTTGCTTGTTCCCCGTAACGGATTCAATTTTCGGTGGTACCGAACGTTGCTCGGCCCAGCTATTTTGGGCTCGTTTGGGGTTTGTCTGTCCAACATGGATATTTCATCCAACGTGGGGTGCCCTGGCCCCTTCAACTTCAGCCCCTGTGACGATGCTACTGAGGGTCTTTCCTCGGGAGCTCATGTCCAGGGCCGGCCCGCTGCCCGGAAGCGTCGCCCCTCTCACTTCGCGCAGAGGAGGAAGTCCATTGTCAACCAGATAATGGACGGGGAGGACGAGCTGCTCCTCAAGTTGGACCTGTTCCTGACCGAGCTGGAACGGCGGCTTGAGTATTGGGAGACTTACGGAGAGCTCAGCCTGGATTCAGGCATTTCGGCCGCTCTCGACACCCTGCAGGCCGTCCGAACTCGATGTTCCCAAGTCTCGGGAGAAGCCATGGGTGCTGGCCGTAGGAGGCTGCACGTCATGGTGGAAACCGTCGAATCTGCGTATCACGAGGCTATGGCCGCCGCAGGTTCGCTAAACGAAAAAGCCAAAGTCGGAATCGAGCTGCTCAACGAGGTGCTGCAGGACCTGGAAAATCAGGCGCTCAAGTTCCGAGAGAAGGGCTTGGCGAATGCCGCCGAGAGCCTCATGGATGAAGCCCATCGCGTGGTCGACGAGGGTATCGGGAGGGCACTCCGCGCGGCTGAGTCACTGGAGGACCACGTCCAGCGAGCCATCGCTCGCGCCAGAGAGCATGGCCTCCTCCGCTACGACGAGCTGCCGGTGCCGTGGAGGATAAACCCACACATCATCAAGGGCTACCGCTTCTCCGAGACAAAGTTGGCCTGTGTGAGGTCGGCCTTTGGCTTCTCCAACGAGCTTGTCAACATATGGTCCCATGCCATTGGCCTCATCCTCGTCCTTGCCCTGGCATTCTACTTCTACCCGACGAGCTCCAATTTCTCGCTGAGCTCGAAGGCCGACATCTTCATTGCCGCCATCTTCTTCTTTGCCGCGTGTCAGTGTCTGGTCTGCAGCGTCATCTGGCACACGATGAACTCGGTTGCCGACGTCAGCCTCATCTCAATGTTCGCCTGTGTCGACTATACGGGTATTTCGCTTTTGATTGCGGCGTCCATCATGACTACTGAATACACCGCCTTCTACTGCGAGCCCGTGAGCCGCTGGATCTACATGGTTACCACGGCTATCCTGGGTGTTGGCGGCGTCATGCTCCCGTGGCAGCCCTGGTTTAACGCTCCGGACATGGCATGGGCGAGAGTTGCCTTTTTCGTTGCCCTATCGGCGACGGGCTTTCTCCCGGTCCTTCAGCTCTCCGCCACACGCGGCCTGGAGACAACCTTTGAGTTCTACACGCCGATTGCAAAGAGTCTTCTCGTTTACTTCGTCGGCGCGCTCGTCTACGCCAGCAAGGTCCCGGAGCGTTGGTGCCCTGGCATGTTCGACTACGTTGGGGGCAGCCATAACCTTTGGCATATCGCAGTGTTAGGGGGCATCCTCTTTCATTACACAGCTATGCAAGACTTCTTTTCGCATGCCTTCAGGCTCGCCACGGACGGATGCACGGCATACTAAGCCCCAGCACCCATTCGCTCTCCGGTTACAGTCGACAGAGGTAGGACTGGGCCATCACATTGCTAGATTTTCGGTTCCAGCAACCGGCTGGCAAGAGAAGATATTGCCAGAGATTCCACCGCAGCATCGCCTCCCTCCAGCGCACTGAGATGGACAGTCCAACAGCGTTGATTTCACGATCCATCCATTTCGCCATCTACCGATTGCTCCCCGCTGCCGATTGGTAGAAAGATTCCAATTTCGACCGCCGAGCCTGCGTATTGAGGTTGAGTCGGTAATTTGCTGGGCAGACCGGATTCTGTTGCTTTCGGGGCGTCAAGCTTGTGTTCTTGATGCACTTGCGTCGGCCTCCGTTCGCTAGAGGTCGGAAAGGATCATGTTGCCTGGTATTTCGAAGCCCGCGTTCCTGGCGCACGCTTCTAGAGTTTCGCTCTGCGCTGTCGGTCAGCATCGTGCTGCTCTTGGCAGGAACAGCGCAGATATTTACGTCTGAGCAGCAGTACCCGGCAACCGGCGCACACCATGTGCCCTTCCCACAATAGTTGTTGTCGACGTCGCAACATGACTGCCATCGAGTCAGCCAGCGGTCTTGGGCAGAGCTGGAGATGGCAACCTACGTGTCCCAAAGCCGGACTATAGCAGGATCTGCTATTCTAGGCTCACATTGTCAGCATGCAAGCGCCTTCCTCTCGAACGAACAGCGTATCATACCGGGGCCCCGCACGTCTCCCACCCCTTGCCGTACGTCTGCTCGCACGACATATACTGCTTGGTTTTCACGGGCTGGTCTTGTTGTTCGTCTCTCCCTGGAAGCGCCGCCGAGAGCACCCCGCCAAAAGCGAGGAACGATATGATGATCCACCGATGCATTTTCTTTTCGACTTTGCGTGTGCGTTCCTAGTTGCGAGCGGTTCAGGACTCAGTTCTCCTGGTCAGCAGCGTCAGCGCTCGAACGGGCATCGCTGTTACACAGTTTGATGGGCGTGAGGACCAGGGGACGAGTGATGGAGAAGACGCTGGTTATCGTGGAAGGGGCGGAGGGGTATCGGTTTTATAATACCAGTTGGACGCTGTTGGGATAAATGACGCCGATTATCTCGTGCCAATGGCTGAGGTAACGAGACACAGAAGCGGGCGGCCGATGTGGTGACGAGGATGCGTGGCATGCAGATGGGGTCAAAGGACGAAAATGCTTGTACCAGAGGCGAACCAAGCGGGAATGCGGAGTTAAGAGAGGATTACACGGATAGATTAGACGACGCCTGGATAGACTGGGCCCCGAGCGCGGTGTTCCGAGCGTATTGTATTAAACAGAGCGGCTAGATCATATACTGAGGGCCAGAGGATGAGGAGGACAGCAAATGGCTTAATGGAGGCACAGCATTCTACTTTTGATATTGGTCATGGCGTTTGCCCACGACAGAGGACAGGATCCAACAACCAGTATGTGCAGCGTCAAAATCCCGACTGTTTCACCGACACGGCGAGGGATAACTAGTGGAGAAGAGAACGAGCTTGTCAACAAAGGAGGACGGGGGTTCCCAACCCAAGCTTGTAAGTATAGTATATTGCGAGACGTGTAGACGCATCGTTCCCCAGCCCATCCATTCCCTGAAACTTCAATGCCATTTTGTTTGAATCTTCGATCTCCAACCGCCAAACAGTTTTCACTGCTCCTCGGTCAACAGAGTACAAGCTGCAAGTAAACGGTTAAAGAGCCCCAGCTTGAAACACCGTTTATGCAAGGGCTGGTGAAACGCCAGGTCAAGGCCACGCCGAAAGCACGTCTTGACCGATAGGCTCTCCGAGTGAATAGCACAAAGAGTGAGAGTGGCGTGCTCCTGAGTGGGATTCAACTTGACCCTTCTTGATATCGAGGCATAAACGGGCCCCAGCGGAGTTGACACGCTTCTTGCATAGCAGGAATCATTGATCAACAAACTCTCCAGGGCGGCTAATTCCTGCGAGAACACTGGCACCGACGCCGATTTGACCGGGTAGACCCAGATGTCAAACGATTTAACTATCTATTATCTATCCGCGGTCCTATGGATTGCATTTCCCGCTCCCAAGCAGTCGGCATTATTGTCGCGTCGCATCCTGTGACCAGTGCGGATAGGTTGTCTGCGGCGATGTCACTTGCCACGACCCCATCGCACAGCTCCCTACGAAGGGGACCAACCCGTGGCGCGAACGCGTTCTATAAGGGCGTCCCAAACCCCTTCGTGACTTTAATCGGCGCGGCTGCCCAGGGAGGAGCTCCTGCGGGAACAGAACGTCGTTTGAGCACCCAGCTGCCTCAGATTTGTCGATAACCCCCAGGTGACTGGAATGGAACTTGCCTGGCACCCCGGCCCTTGTCCCTTATCCCTATATAAACCGCAGCCAGCCCGCAACAGCCCGGCAATGCCTTCTGCGCGCTATGCCGTTGCAAACCTTCCGAGGCCAACAGCTTGCGGCTTGAATTTCGCCAGGGGCCAAACCATCCATCTCACTTCTCTTCCATCTTGGCGCGTAGGTGAGAGATCGCCAGCCGGGGTCTCGACGCTGCTGATATCCTGTCCATCTTCACACGGGATCACGCGGTTAATAACTCTAGAGTAGGTGGCTCGTTTGGTGTCGTGGTAGTGGTTGTCGTCGCGGAGACGCATAACGAGGCACTGCTCTGGCTAGTGACGTGACGCGACGTAGGCCATGAAGGCAGTACCTCGCTCACAGCTCCACAAGTAGTCGAGGGTAGGCGCCATTCCCATCTCTGACCAAAACGCGGTAGCCGAATCGTTTGCTCGAATTTCAGGTTTAATCGGGTTCCGGGCAGGCGAGGTGAAAGGGTTTCTCAACCTTAACTACCGGGCGTGAGCGACTATCTCAGCGTAGACGTCGTCGGGAATCATTCGAATTATGGCGAGCGTGGTGTGCTTGATCTGGTCGGCCTGGAGTGCCGGGAAAGACCTGAGGAGCTTGTTGGGACTGGAGCCCGTCTGTTAACCACTCTGTGCACGGTAGGGGAGAGCTGGGATATGGCATACCTAGCGGATCCCATGATCTTGGTGCGGATCATGACCAGCTGCGCAACAATGCACAGAATATTGAGATGTGGTCCGTAGGCAAAGAGAAAATCCCAAAGGCGCAGCACCTCGGGCAGCGGTGGGGTGCAGGCGCAGAGCGTCAGGACAGACGGGAAGGCATAAATCTCGGCCGACAAATTTTTGGAGAGCAGGTGCATGCTGAGCTTGGGGTCCACGATGGCCAGCACTTTGTCGACCAGCGCCAGGCCCTTGTGGACCCCGTCCATGGCACCGCGGATGTATCCGGGGCATTCCTTGGTCAGCAGCTGGTGGAAGGCGACGTAGGCCTCGGCCTCGCTGCGAGCGGCGTACAGGAAGGGAGCGGCCAGCACATTCATGCCCTGAACGTAGGTGCCTGCTTCCGCAGTGACGCTAGTGACGGAGCCCTCGGTCGTCAAGGTCAAAGCACGCGCTCTCTTAGCCGTGGGCGACGAAGCCGGGCTCCCGTAATCGCTTCCATAGCCTGTCCCCGGCCGACTGCTCGATTGGTCCAGCGAATGGCGTGTACTGCTGGCCACACTTGGATCTCGAGTGCGAACCTCACGAGCGTCGTGTAGTGTCCAGGCGAAGGCATTGAGCAGCCGTATGAGGCTGGCCTCGCTCACGCGGCGCCGGAAGAGAGGATCGGTTGATAGGGTGCGAAATGTGTCGTTGCGGATCTTGGAGTAGGCGGGGGAGGCGCCGCGGTGGATGAGGGCGAGGTAGGAGTCGGTGTCGAGCATCGGGGCATTGAGCAGGATGAGCCATACGTAAATGCGGAGCGACGACTGTGCATTCCGAGTTAGACACCTGGAACATTGCTGCCAGCTTAGGGGCCACCGGGCAGTGCTCACCATGCCGTCGCTGTCGGACCTGATGCCCTGGTCGAGAATTTTGAGACGCGTGCTCTCGAGAGCGCCTTCGATATCGCCGTTGGGAGGACCCTCGCGGAGGAGGCGTTCAAGAGACATGGCGTCGGCGGCAAGCGACCGCTTGCTCAATGCCGAACGGCGCGTTGCTGTTGCTGCTGTCATGGTCGCGTGTGTCGTGGGCTGAACAGGGGAGACGTTGGGGATGGGCGGTGCGTCGCTGTTGGCGCGTGCTCTCTGTGGCGATCGGTTGACGCTCGCATGGCTTCTCGGTGCCGGGGCAGGAGGGTGTTTTTGGAGGTGCTGGTTCAGATTCTGGAACTGGTGCTGTTGTTGTTGGAGCTGGAGCCTCTGCTGCGAAATGAGCGAGGGCTGGGCGGCGGCCTTCGCTCCCAGGCTATGGGCCGACTGCAATCTCCTAAGCGTTCGGTGAATGCCGGGAGAGGGAGGTGGGTGGAGCTGCATCGCCGGCGAAAGAGGGCCTAACCGAGACGGGGCCTGGTTCTCGCTGGTGGGACTCGGCATTTTGTCCTGTAATGATCGATTTAAATTTCGGAGTGTCATTGCATTGAGATTTTGACGCTTCAAACAATGGGAAAAAGTTCAGGACCATGAAATCGCGATGCCACTGCTTTGCTACAATGCTCGGGCTGTGTCGTTGCGCGTTTGAGCCAAATTCTGGCGGGGAGGTTGGACGAAACCTTGGACGAGGTGAGAGCCTGATTCAATGCAGCCCAGCTGCAGGTATCCTGCCGCTGATACTTCGGCGGTATGCCTCGTGTTCATTTCGCGACACCGCGTCCTCAGCCAATTAACTGCACCATCTCCGCGGCAAGCGTGATGGTTGCCGAACAGCAATCTAATAAGTATTATTTGCGCTGAGGTGCGATACCATCTAGTCAAACTTGTGTGCTGGGGTTGTATGCGGGCGAGGCGGGCTCTCTTTTGGATGCTTGCATGTCATTAAGAACCTGTGGAAAGTCTGTCTCGCCTGTCAAGTGTTCGAGAATGGTGAATCGGCCACCTACAAATGGAAAGCCCCATTCAACCATGCATCCCCACACCGGGCCCGGGCTCATAGGTAACCCAGTTCCCCGACAATGTGGAACCTAGGAATTAGAACCGAGATGGAAAGATCCAGTGCCTATCCGTACTTCAATTTTCCATCGAACCGGTTCGTACGAAGTACTTTCAGCTAACTGATTGATCCTTTTATGTATTGATCTTACACCGCAAGCCCCGCCCAGTTAGGGCAAGCGGTTCCTCCGCGCTATTTTACATGCAAGGCATCAACTCTCATGCTGCGTCCGCGCGCCCCTACATGATATATATTCCTCGAAATATCTTCCTTACTTGTACTGTAATCTAGTCTAACTATACTTTAGAAGGATGTCTCGTCCTACAGCGTCGGCGGCACTAGAGACTGGAATCCTTCGAGAGTTTCTTCGCTTCGGTGTCTTCGTTACTCGCCCTTCGCTTGTTCAAGGCTCGTTTCCTTATCGTTGGGGGGCTGTCCCGTCGGGCATATCCGTCGCGGTTCACGCAGCGTTGTCAAGATCCATCGTGTCGCACGCCGCGCGCTGATTGCGCTGAGCACGTTCCCGTTGTCAGAATTGATTTTCGAGCTCTTTTGAGCGAAATGTCGGTCTTGCTAAAAGGCTAAGCCTTCTATTTAAGAATTTCTTGAAAATATATAGTGCCGAAATCGAGCTCTTTATCAAGGCGCAGATTACGGATATTAACAAGCTCGAGATCTTCCTTACATTCAAAGCTAGAAAAGTGATATAACCCAATTGTTGAGGGATGGGAAAAGGGGTATATGTTAGCTGAGATGTACTTCATACCGGAATTGGGTTTTCGTGTGCCAACTGAACACTAAGAGAACTCGCTAGAACGACGAAATAGGCCAAAAACAACCAACCAAATGCTCAAAAAGTCCAAACGAAAAAGGCCAAAACATCCTCCGTTGCAAAGCAGACCGAACCCAGAACCTCCCCAGGGACTCATATCTCATAAAAGTAATCCTCATCCAACCCCTCCCGACCGGGCACCCACCCCATGCCACTCCCCCGGCCGCCGCCTTCTCTGCCGTCACCCCCGGGGCCGGCGTACATGTGCTCCAGCCGGACATTCAGCAGCCGGATTTTCAGCCCGTAGTCGCCGACCAGTGTCACCAGCTTGTTCGTCTCGGCCGTGATGGGCGCCTGGTTCAGCAGCATGAGCAAGCCGTCGAGCCACTCGGACGCGAGGCTGTGGTTGAGCGGGTAGAGAGTCAGGGCGGGCTGTTCCTTCGCTTCGCTGTTTCCGGGACCTCCTCCTGGTGCGGATGTTGTTGTTGTTGTTGTTGTTGTTATGGCCGTGTCGGGGTTGATCCAGGGGGCGCCGCTGGGGGTTGTGGCGTCGTCGGAGAAGGAGTAGATGGTGATTTTGGTGGTGGGTCTGGCGACTGCGGCGCCGTTGTGGCGGAGGGTTGGCGTGCTGGAGTTGGAGCTGTGGTCGGCTTCCGGGTCGGTGTTGCCTTCGGCATCGGGGTTGGTTGACACGTTGGAGACCACGGAGCTGATGGTTCCAAGATCGACTTTCTCTGTGAGCGCCTCCAGCCCGGGATCGTAGGGCAGCTTCTCGGGAAAGTCGGCGTAGTGGAGGTAGCGCCGGTTGTGCGAGAGCTTGGCGTACCGCCAAGGCTGATACAACCGTCGCTTGGTATAGCTCTCCTGCCGGACGTGCGGCATCGGCTTGGTGAACCAGCTGCCCTGCAGTAAGCAGCGGATGCGCTGCTCCTTGACGAACTGCAGCGCCTCGTGCTTGAGCTCCTCGCGTACCTGGGAGAGGTGTGGGCCCCATTGATCCTCAAAGGATAATTCGAGAAGCTGCATTTGCAGCTGCCGTAGCCTTGCCGCATCGTACTCGTGCAGTTCGTCCTCCACCTCGAGGACATCTTTTGTCCTGCTCGACTGTCCCACCACCTGCTCGATAAGAACGCGTACCAACTCGGCCACCTTGTCGAAATCGTCGCGCTGTGCGCCGGTGGACTTCCACAGGCGGAAGAAGGCTTGGAGTCCGGCAGTATGTAACCGAGACCACTGCAGCAAGAGGGGGCGAAACAGCTTATCGTGGGTTTTTGGGTCGTTGAGAGCCAGGTGGCCTCGGGTGTCCTCTGGTTCAGACTTGTCCACCTCGAAGTGCTCGTAGAGGATCATGGTGACAGCCAAACTCGCCCTGGCCAGGGGACACCTCTCGTTTAATGGCCGACTCGACTGCTCCAGCAGGAGCTTTTGGAACCCATCTTCGTTTTTCCTCACGTAGTCGGTGAGGTCCATCATGCCGAGGAACCCTGCCGTCTCGAATTCGAGGGCCGGTGACTCAGTCTCAAAGCCCAGCCGCCGCCACTTTTCCGGATTATGTCTCCTGCTGCCCTTCTTCGCCCCATCCCCATCTTCTGCACCAGCAAGCACCCAAGCGACACCATTCGCATGCTTCCTGTCGGGCGCGCTAGCAAGGTGCAGCCCCTTAAGCGCTCTCCGATGCTCGGGCCTCTCCAAATCCACCCTGACCTCCCTCCACTTCCTCAGCAGCACCTTGGTGAGCGACTGAAACTCTAGCAGCGGATGCGCCAAGTCCTGCAGCGCCGAGCTCTGCAGCAGGTTATACACGGCCCGGATCAGGCCTAGATCCTGCAGGCGCTTGATAAACTTGCTCCACTCCTCCGCGGCGGCCGTCCCGGGGCTCCTCGCCGCTCCCGCGTAACTCCCGTCGCTCGAAACCGCATCCCGGATCAGCGCGTTGATCAGCATCAGCGCATTCGCGCACAGCGCATGGTCTGCGCTCTGCAGCTGCTGGATTACGAGCTCGAAAAACTGCGGGTACACTGCCACGGCGGGTTTGAGAGCGCGGAAGCCAAACGTACCCGGCGGCGCGCGGAGCGCCGTCGGAATGAGGGGCGAAAGGCCGGAATTCCCGCTCCCACTCGGCGCTGGGGACGGCGACTCAAGCACGCCTACGGCACCGACCCCGGAAGAAGACTGTGACCGCCCCACGAGCGCGACCAAGATAGACATGGCTCCCCTTAGAATGTTGACCAGCGGGTTCGTGACGATCAGCTCGACCACCCTCTCGACCAAGTCGCCCGCCGAGGGTCCCTCAAAGATGTCCCACCCCATGTCAACCTCGAGCAGGCGCGTGAGGCTTTGTAGTGAGTAGGCGAGTGTGTTGCCCCCGGCAGTCATGATTAGGCGGCGCAAGATGACGAGGCCGCCCGACGAGATAAAAACGTCGGCGAAGGCCGGGTCGTTAATAGAGGACTGCAGCTTGAAGACTGCCATTTTGCGGGCGCCGTCCTCGTCAGACGCGAGGCGCGAGAGGAGGGCTGGAATGTCGGCTTGGTCCATTTTGACGGTTTTTTGCTCTTTGCGCCAGTTCGGCGACTCGAGGGGATCGAGGGTTCGAAGACAGGGGACTCGAGAGCGGGAAGGGCGCGCGCCCTGGGCGTAGTCAGCTGCGCGCAGCAAGTCGAATCGGGAGCTTAGTCGGTAGGAGTAATTGTCGAGTCGGATTGGTTTTGCGATCCATGTGGTGATTGTTGCGACGGCTGATTTCTTGCGAGTTCGAAGTCAATATGAATTTGGCTGTTCTAGTTGCCCCGTCGAGCCCCTGGCCGGGTGGGACCTGGGACTTCTAGAATGGGATGAACACTCCACAACAAGATGGAAAGGTATCAGCGCCAAGAGCGGAGCATGCGGGACAACCAGCATGACTGAACTGGGGCTGCCATTGGCCAATGGCTTACAGTTTGGAAGTTGCTCTCCTGTGAGTGAGTGTATGAAACAGGCCACTGCGAGAACCTGGGGAAGAATCCAAAACCCTGAACGAGCTTACAAACCAATTATTGTTGTACCTAACGCGCCCTTCTTCAAGACACCTGTCCTCGCAATTCCTCTGATCCAGTCTCTCATCCGGCTATGGACTACCGACTCACCCAAATCCAGCCCTATCCAAGATATATAAATCCCAGCGGCTAACTGAGAAATAAGGTATCAACGCTAAGATCGGAACAAGAACCATGTAATCAGTAAACCAAGACCGAATAAGAAACCATTCCGTTCATCGCCTCCTCCACCTCTCAGCTACCACACCAGGCACCCTCCGCGATGTATTGCCCGCCCACTAAGAGGGCGTCCCATCTCGACTCGGCACTCTCAAACCCCCTTTACTTAGAAAGCTCCTCCTGGTAACCGACTTGGTCGATTTCGGACTGTCGGGCAACCCCAACCGGCCGCCGTCCTCCCCACCAGACGGGACAAACCCGCTCTTGATGGCGACCGTGCCCTCTCCCACGGGCAGCTGCTTCTCTATGCCCGAGTTGGAATCGTCCACAAAGTACAGCGTCTCGCCCAGCGGGTGGTCGCTGCCAAAGGTATGGTGCTCCTTGGCCTCGACCTTGAACTGCGCGTCGGGCGTGCACTGGATGCGGAACGTCTCGTCGAACCGGACCGTCCCGGCCGACGCCTTACGGTGCTTCGTCTTGCCCACCTGCTTGGACTTGCCCTCCCGGACCTGGGTGATTGTGACATAGACGTCCGTTGACGGCGGAAAGCCCGAGGCAGAGACGATGGTGAAGGACGCGGTGCCCGACGCCGCCCCAGGGATAATGGCGCTGTGAATTGATGATCCACTAACGCTCTTGTTGCGGTTGTGGTGGAGCGGCATTGAAATGCCGCCGTTGGCGGCGACTCCGCCGTCGGGCGGGGCTTCGGTGGTGATCCGCGGCACGTCGACCGAGCTTCTTGACGACACGCTGCTAACATCGTCGTCCTTCTTGCCGCGAATTCCGCGCATGAGGAAGGATGCACCCTTGCCAACCCCGTGACCCACCGCTCCCACGCCCTTGAGCGGGACGCCGGCGACCCCAGTGACAATCCTGCCCGGCACCGAAAAGGTTCCCGCCAGAGTCGATGTCCCTTGTCTTGTCCGGGTGACGTAATCGGGCGTGAAGAGCATGCGGAGACGGAGGATGCCTGACTTTCCGTCCAGCTTGTACGTAAACTCCTGTCCCCTAAATGGCTCCAGCTCGTTCAAGCTAATGTCGGTGCCTCCGAGGTAATCGGGCTTGTCTGCAAAGTCCCAGTCCCATACGGTGGCCCTGAATTTGGCAGCCACCCTGGAGGGGACTGGCACGTTGAAGAACTCGTTCCATTCAGGGTTCAGCGTCTTCTTCTGCGTCTTCGTTTTGAACACCTCCTGGCCGTTGAACTCAAACTTCACGTAGGGATCGCTCTTGCCGTTGGCGTCGGCAGAAGGGAGATGTTGGGCGTTTAACACATCGACTCGGAGATTGCCCATGTTGTTGATGCTCTCGCTTGGGTCTAGCTTCATTTTGACCGGGACGTACTTGAGGCTGACGCGGATCGAGTATACATTGCCGTCCTCATCCTTCATTTTGAGGATAGTGGGGTTGTTCTGCCGTTATTAGCCTCAATCCAATGAAGCACAACGAAATCAATGCTTACCAAGCACTGCTTGAGAGTATCGAGCGTGTTGCCTGACAGACGAGCCAGCGTGTGCTGCTTGCTGCCCTCTTCCTGCTTGTCAGTCCTCTCCGAGACCTTGATGGTCAACTTGGAAAACTCGAGCTCGCGAATAAAGCAGTCGCCAATTTCATCAAACTTGTGATGCCGCGATCTCGCTATGGAAGAGACGTAAGACGGGAAAGCCATGTCGTCGACAAAGACCTCGATACGGGTCTGGCTCTTGGGTAGGTCTGCTTCCATAAGTCGGAAGATGACCAAGCCGGACTCGTGTCTGAGCAGCTCTTGTGGCGTGAGGTAGACTTTGGGCGGCTCCCGGTCATCGCGTGACCTCCTGGGAGAGACCCCGGAAGCAGGGCTTGTCGGTGTGGCTGGTGTGCTGGGTTCTTTTCCGTCGTTGGGCCTCACATCCAAAGATTGCCTGACGGACGATTTCGCGTCGAGTGATGGCCTGCTCAAGGAGAAGTTGTCCTTCTCCTCCTCAACTTCCCTGTCCTTCTCTGGCTCCTTCTCTTTCTCCTTCTCTGCCTCCTCCTCCGGGTCGGCGACGTTAAGAGTCGGGTAGAAGGCCACAGTATAAGTAAGCACGCCCTTGGCAACGCCCTTGCCGTGCATGCGCAGGCCATCTTGCCGCTCTTCCTTCTTGTCGTGCACCAACCACTCGCCTATGTCGTCCTGAGCCATATAATCGCCAGAATAGATTTCCGTCAGGCCCAGGCTACGATCCTTGCCTACATTCTCGGCGTCCATGACCTCCAGCTGGAGGCGCTCCCTCGGCGAATGAACAGGCACGTACAGCACTTCGTCCCAGTCGGGGTTGAGGTTGTTTTTGAAGGTAACAGTGCGTGCCCTCTCGATGCCGGACATGACGACCCGTGCGTACGGATCAGACTTGCCCAGAGCCTCCACGTTCCGCAGCTGTCTCGCATACTTGAAGTGGACCCGCAGGACACCGACTGGTGTCACGTAACCTCCAGTGCCAGCAGCAATGCCCGAGATAGCCACCGGCCTCCACTGCGCTATCATCTTCACACGCCCGGTCTTGGCGCCGGCAAGGTTATACCACTGCTGTCCCTTGGCCATAAATTCAAGCATGTCGTCCAACTTGATCTGGTAGGTTCCGATGAGCTGGTCTCCGGCAATATCGCGGTCATCCTTGACGGCCACGCCAAGCTTCGCGCTCTTCCTATCCGTAATCAGAATTTCTTTGGATCCGTTGTCCCATATTGGATTGTTCGTTCGCTTGAGCTTCTTGGTGGTGTGGACTTCTTTCCCGTTCAAGAGGAGCATAGCGTAGGGGTTGAGCAAACCGATCATGCTCTTCGTACCATCGAGCTCCTTGGCTTGCTCGACAGTAAACCGCAAAATACCTTGATTTGACTCTGGGGGCGGTTCCGTGCTTCCGTCCTCGAGCTTCTTTGGTTCCAGGACTGGAAAGAAGCGGACATCGCAGAGCAGCACACCTCTCGCCTTCCCGTCGTGGGTGAGCTCAAGCCTTTCATTCTGGTGCTCGTAGACTTCTTCGAGATTTTCCAGGGGAAAGGTCGCAGAACCGAGCTTCTTGTCCTTCCTTATATCGTTGAAGTCGTATATATCAAGGGTGAGGGCATCATTAAGGGAAGTGACAATGACGTAGTGAGTCTCGTTCCAGCGAGGGTTGGCGTTCTCTTTGACCACCTTCGTCTGTGCAAGCGGCTGCCTGCCGTTGATGGACACCACAGCATACGGATCAGGCGTGCCGGAGAATTTGTCAGTGTTTCTGAGACCTTGCGCACCGTGTAGCGTGATAGCGACTACGCCAATGGCCTGGTCCACGGGTGTACCGGCCAGCATCTTGGCAACCTCGATCGGAAAGACGTTGGGCGCATACATCATAGGGGCCAGGGTGCCGTGAATCTGCTCCTGGATGAAACTTTCAAGACCGGGAATGAAGTTGATGTCGAAACCAAATGTCTCGCCTCCAAGCGGCTTGCAGACATAATCGATCGTCGGTCGCTCCAGAAACGACATTTCGATTTTCTCGACGTGAGGAAAGGGAATCTGCAGCTTGATCTTGAGACGCATCAAGCCGACGAAGGCCATGTCCTCAACGATCACGTCTAGACCTTTGCTCACCATGGCCTTGCCGATTCTGATCTCCAGGATGACCTTGGGGTTGATCTTGTTCTTCAGCTGGCGGGCCGTCATGTCGGCCGTGTCATTCGGGGTGAAACTGAACATCCAGTCCATAATCACAACGTCGTCCTCGGCCTTGGGATAAGTCTTGACATGCTCCATCCTGGGGGGCTTTGAACCCAGCGTGAATGTCTTGAGCTTCAGACTGTCAAGGAAGGACGGAGTGGCGCCGCTTAGGACCTGGTCGACCGAGTTGATGACGGTCTGAGCGAGAACAGGCTGGTAGATGGGCCAGAACTTGACAAGAAAAGAGTTGATCCACTCAACAGGCTCGTTGTCCGTCTCCAACTTCTTGAGGGCCATTTCGCGCGTGATATCGTCTCGGAAATTGCGGCGCACCCGTCGAAGCGAGGTGCGGTAATATGTCGAGCAGATGGCCATGACAACAAAGACCCAGGCGAGACCTCCGCCGAGCACGGCTATTAGCCACGAGGAGAGGCAAGCAAAGGCAATGACAGCCGCGTTGTAATACCAGTCTGCGGGGCATAACCGTCAACCTCCCACATGTCACAAGGTGCGCCATGAAGGACCCTACCTCCAAAGAACTGCTCAGACAGCACCGATTCGACGAATGTTGTATGGTCCAGCAGGCTCTCGCCTTCATGCGCAGATTCCGTCGGCCAACCAAATTGGGGAGCCCAGCCTGTCTTGCTCCAGCCGTCCTCCTCACCTTCGACCGGTTGGCCGTTCGCGAGAGGCTTTCCGTCTTCGTCCTTGGGGACCTCGATGGCGCCGGCTTTGGAGGGAGGCGGGAGGTCGACATCGGCCTTGGTCCCGTCGTCGATATCGCTAACGATCGCAATGCCTTTCGGTCTGCGGTGAAAGCCCTCAGGAATCGCCTGCTCGAGTTAGAGGAGCGGAGGAAAGAGCGGTGTACGTCTGTAGGGGGATGATGGTTCGACTTACAGCGCGTGCTTGAGCCCTCTTCTCCTCTGGGCTAGCATTTGGGTCAAAGGTGAAGGCGGTCACGCCGGCTTGTCTGCTGTCTTCGACAATCTTACGCTCCGCATCTTCGGCCGTGACGTTGCTGTTGGGGTTGCGGGATGCCTCAATAGCTCCCTGTTGCTTGAGCTCATTGGCGGCTTGAGCAGTCGCCATGTTGACCGGGCGTTGCCGCTTCCTCTGCAGCTATGTGTCGGCTTCCCAATTGGTTCAATTCAATACGGGCAAGCACGCGGGCGAGGATAATCGCCAACAGGAAGTCGGCCAGACCAAGCACCAACAGAGCCTTTTGGTGACCGGAACAGGTTGCGAGCTCTGCCTCAGCTACAGGGGGGGGGGATGCGGCACAAAGGCCCCGGTTCCGAGATGCCGAACTCGAGTTGCAGTCTGAAGAATGGAAACGGAGGGCAAGTGGACGGCCTGCGAAAACGATACAATTGGCAACGAAGTATTGGCCCTACCCCAGATTGAGTCTGGAAGATTGGGGGAGCGTAGAAAGAAGAGCAGGATAGCCTGATGAAGATGTGTTAAAGTTGGGAAACCGAGTTGTGGATCAGAAAGTTGGTGGTCTTGGCGCGGGTCCCTGGAACCGATGAACCTGGTCCAGCTGGGCCAACATCAGCAAAAGATCGGGCGCTACATCAGATCCTGGAAGGGGTCTGTCGAGGGGCGGGCAGAGCCTGGTAGACGCAGTTGTTCCATGCGGTGGGGAAGCAAACTGATCAGAGTGGTCAAGAGTGGCTGGTGCATCGCAGATCCAAGCTGTAAAGTCTCGCTGCCAGCTGAACGGCGCAGGACAGAGAATGCAGACCCCATCAATCTCATGTCGGTGGTCCCTTGGACAGCTGTCGCTTAGGACGCGCTAACTGTGAAGTGCAGCGCTGTGGATTGCGCAAACTTGACGGAGATGTGCCATGAGTCGCCAGTGGCCTTTTTCGGTGTACGTGTCGAATGTCCAGGTCCCGCGAACTGGCCCGTTTCCAGCGTTACACTGCAGCTCTTTGGCAACCTAAGCGTGCCAGAGGACACAATGAGCTCTCCCATACTCCGTATATGCTCATCAATCCGTTGCAGACTCTCTAGCTGATTGTCTCGTTGACGCAAATTGCACCGTACCCGGACGGACATTGGAGATCGACGACAATGCAACAGGTGGGTGGATCTACCGCCCAATCCCTGCGTGCATCTCGGCACCCGTGTTCCCGCAGGACCACCAGCCTTTTGGTTTTGGAAGCCAGGTTACAACGCAGGAGAGAGATTGAAAATATTCCGTAGGGACTGCATAGCGGTTAGTGTACGGAGTAAGCAATCAGGACCTGATTCCCTTGCAGCCCAAGTCAGATACCATTTGGAGCATGTAACAACCACCTCTTTGGTGATCTTTTCCGATCATCTCCCCAAGGTCCAATTCGTCGCAATTACCGGCCACGTGAGCGACTGCGCAAGTGAATCCGACCCCACCTCCATCAAAACTACTCCGAGAGCCGTTGCGGCTTTACCACAGGAGCAATCACAATTGTGGTGATGCTTTGAGAGCTTTGGAAGAGAGACAAGAAGTTCCGTTTGGTGATAGTCCAGCTCCGTTTCCGTTCCATCGCTCAACAGCTCCTCCTCTAACGACGCTTTTCGGGTGACCCTGGTTTGCGATAGGTTGATGTCGGCTCTTTCTCGCGCCGTGGGGTGTGACAGCAGCATGTCTTACAACTGGCAAGCCAACTCAAGTTTATCACGTTAGTTTGATGACACAAACCTCCATTGGCTCCCTCAGCCATCTCGGCCGATGGTGTCTCCGCGCGACACGCCAGAGATTTAGTTCGGGCTACAAAGGGGTTCTCCTCCTTCGACTAGATGCAATTGACGGGATGGTGAACTTGTTGAGTGTCATAACTTTGATCAGAGTTTCCCGTGTCAGGGTGCGAACGACCCTGATTCTTCGTCAAGGGAGGGTGTACCACAGTACGGATGCGGTGATGGGTACTCGAAGCACAGACCACCCGGACTGACTCTTGGCTTCTGGAACCTTCAGCCACACTTTATCTGTCAGCCTTGCCTTGGCAAAGATTGGCCTCGTTCCTCAGCCAATGAACGCCCTTGAACTCAGAGTACAGCCATCCGTGGCAAATGGCCATTTTCTTGCCATTTCTGTTTCCTTCACGTCGCCAAACCCCAATCGCGACTACGCTTCACGAGCAAACCATCAATCACATACTCAGCAGTTGCAACTAACCGGCGAGACATCACCAAATTGACATTTGGTGTCATTTATACCGGCCGTTTGCATCACATCAACCGGAAACCGGCGCCGCTAGCATGGCCAATTTCCTCGCCTCCATCTTCGGCACCGAGCAGGACAAGGTCAACTGCTCATTCTATTACAAGATCGGCGCCTGCCGCCATGGCGACCGCTGCAGCAGGAAACACGTCAAGCCCTCGTACAGCCAGACGATCCTCATGCCCAACCTGTACCAGAACCCGGCCTTCGACCCCAAGAATCGCATGAACCCGTCGCAGCTGCAGAACCACTTCGACGCCTTCTACGAGGACATTTGGTGCGAGATGTGCAAGTACGGCGAGATTGAGGAGCTCGTCGTGTGCGACAACAACAACGACCACCTGATCGGCAACGTCTACGCGCGCTTCAAGTACGAGGACAGCGCGCAGAAGGCCTGCGACGCCCTCAACAGCCGCTGGTACGCCGGCCGCCCCATCTACTGCGAGCTGAGCCCCGTCACCGACTTCCGCGAAGCATGCTGTCGGCTTAACAGTGGCGAAGGCTGCGTCCGCGGCGGCTTCTGCAACTTCATCCACCGAAAGAACCCAAGCCCCGAGCTCGAGAGGGAGCTGGACCTGTCCACCAGGAAGTGGCTCAAGATGAGGCCGCGGTCGCGCAGCCCGACGAGGTCCCCCAGTCCGGAGCCTACAAGGAGGCGGTATTAGAATGTTTGGCTGATACGGGTTTGGAGGAGCGTGCGGAGTGAAATACGTACCATGGACGAGCGGGAGGTCTGTGTGTTCCATCATTTTCTCGGGTTGTGTCGTTGAGCCCGTCAAGAGGTAGCACGGGTGGATGGCGGTGTTGAGGCGTTAGCACTTGGAATTTGCCACCAGGGTCTTTTACTGTAATTTCTCTGTATACTTGGGGGCTCTTGGCATCGCTGCGCAGGACCCTTAAGTGAACAGTAAATCTGCGGATCGCATACCGGCCTAACAGGTTGGGCTCTGCTTGTTGATTTGCATTTACGGAGCACATGCGCCACGATGAAGCGCTGCATCTAAATGTGACGTGTGATCCAAACAGTTCACCATGCCTACAGACATAGCACCCTTGCCGTTGGACAACACAAGCTAGATTCTAGCGGGTATCTTGTGCTATCAAGACAATACCCGTCCTCCGAGATGCAGGCTCCTCCGCTTCTTGGGCTCCCTTTCTCCCTCGATTGTCACACTTCCCAATTCCTGAACCTCATGTAATCCCCTTGATCTTTGGCAGCCGGTGTCCCTTGACCGGCGCCGGGAGGCAGGCTATAAGTTTATCACGTTCTACACCACCAGTTAGCCAAGGCATCAACCGTCGATTACATCATCATTGAGTGCGTTAAGGAAAATACTCACCCGCCTCGTTATCAAACAATATGGAAATGTCATCGTGCTCCCCCGGCAGCTCCGGCAGATCCAAGCACAGGAAAGCCGCCTCGGCCGCCTGCTGCGCGCCGTCCGCATCCGCGGCGAGCACCCGCGGCAGCGGGAACTTGGCGTCGTCGATCTTGAGCCCGGCCTTGCCGCCCCGGCTGAACGACTCGAACACGTCGGTCCCCTTGAGGTGGAAGCCCATGCACTGCCCGTGGCTAAAGTCCTCAAAGAAGGCCAGCAGCTGCGCCACGCCGTCCTGCTGCACCACCTGTATCCTCGTCGCGCCCGCCTCCCACTTCTTGTGGATCGGCACTACCATGCGGCGGCGCGAGATGGCGAATGCCGAGGCCACGCCGTCAAACAGCACCTTGAATCCGGTGATGGCGGTTTCGAAAGCGTGGAGTTCCGCGAGGCTGGGAAACATGAAGGTGCGGATAGTAGCGGATTGTTTCAGGCTCTCCAACGCCTGGGCGAGGCCCGCCGAGAGGCCGCGGGAAGCATTGGCTTCGTTGACAGCGAGGGTGACGTCGGTTTGGGGCTGGCGGAAGATCATCATGCAGCTGGGGTTCTGGACGTCCAGACGGAGCTTGAATTCTCCCGGCGCGACGTTGATGCGGTCGGTGAAGGTGCCGTCTTTGAACTCGTAGACGACCCGCAGTCGGTCGGCGAGGACGCATGATGGTTTGTCGCCGTCGTTGTCGTAGTTAATCACCCTGGCTTTATTCCATGCCAAGGTGGACAGAACTTGGAGGCCCTTGTCACGGGCGTCACCATACCTCTCTGAGAACCAGGCGCCTTGTAAGGGAATCTCACCAGAGATGCTCTCGCCACGATCGAGGGCGGTCCCAATCAGCAGGCTGTGCATCCGTAGCCTTTCCGTTTCGTCGGCGAACGACAACACCATGTTCCCCTTGTACCGCCCGTTGTCAAATTTCAGCGATAAGGCAGGATCATTGGCCTCGCTGCGCAAAAACCCGAACTGGATGGGCGTCTGAGGGAGGTACAACTGGTTAACACCACTCAATGTCTTGATCCGGGGCCCCGTGACAACCGCAACGCGGTACCCCTTGTGGTACGTGCGAGGGCCTGTCGCCGCCCCCTCTCTCAAGAGACGCTCAAACAGGGCGACTTCGCAGTTGGGCGTCGATTCCTTGGGAAATTGCCTCGATTGCGGGTCATTGTCAAAATACTGAAAGGCTCGGAGGGTGGACCGGAATATGCAGCTCTCGTCTTGCCGCGGGTAGAGACTAGAGTGAACCTTTGCGCTGAATTCATACATGCTGCACAGCGTGTTATATGACTGCTGCGTGCACTGGATGAGCAGCATGAAGCCCCGAGGCATTCTGACTTCGAGGTTGCAGGTATCTGAGCGCCAGCGCAAGTCTTCCCAGACGGGGCCGGTGTTCTTATTTCCAGAGATCTGAAGTTGCACCGCTCCGTTCTGGCTGGCGAGAACAAAGATGATGTCTGGCTGTGCCTGGGGTCTGGTGCAGGTCAAAAAGCACGGGAGAAATAGCTGTTGCGACTCCCTCCCCTGTTCCATCAGGAACACGTCAACGTGAAACCTGGCAAAGCAGAAAGTGGTTGAAGAATCGCCTAGCGGTAGTGACTCGAGTATGGTTAGGGCAGGAGTGGCGTGGCTCTGGGCAAGAGCAGAACTCGAACCCCAGAGCAGAGACTTGATGTCTTGAGATAGCGGGGGGTAATCGAGCCAGATAGTCCTGTTGACTGTCTGAGGAAGGAATGCCTCTTCTGGAGGCAGGAAGCCGTTCCGCTTCATCGACACTGCTAACTTTCGCAGGCTGGAAAGGAGCGTGTTCCGCACAGTCTCTGCCTCCTTGTCAACCGCACTCCGTCCGCTGCCGACCACTTCAGGCATCGCTTCTTCTAGGAGCCAATAGGCTTTGGCCAGGTCAGCGTGTGCCTGCTGCTTCGCCATTTCGTTACTCCTTAGCGACTCGGGAGTGGAAGGGCGATCTCTGATGGCAACCTCCAATGCCGTCCGGCCGGTCAGAAACCACCAGACGGCAGCCCGCGCAAGGTCGTGGGGTGTGGAAGAGACCAGCGGCCGTACGCTCTCAGCATGAAGCCGAAATAGCTCAAACAAATGGCGCGTGCGTGCCACAAACGTGTTGAGAGCGTCCTCTGAAGCAGCTGCTACGACATCATGAAAACCCATGGCGCCCAGCTGCTGAGAAGGCGACGCAGAGTCCTTCACTGACATCTTGCTTCCTTGCCTTGACGCCGCGAATGGATGCCGGAAGGTGGAAGCAGCCGAGTATAGGGATGCGGGGCTGTTCTCGACTCTCTGGGCCCTCTTCGACTGCTCGAGTGAGTTGGACGACAGGCTGGTCGAGGTGTAGGAATCCTGGGATGGTGGTGTGTTCCGCACTTCTTGGGAACCCGGCGGGATCTGAGGTAACTGTGGTCTGGGCGCCCTGGCAGGGATAGGGGGAGGCATTTCGGATTGGGAGACTAGTTGAAGCGGCGGCAGCTGGGGAGGCTTTTCGAATTGGGAGACTGACTGAAGCGGCGGCAGCTGCGTCGAGTCTGGCGAGGCGGTAATAGGCGACTCAATATCCTGATCAGGCGAAGGGGGCGAGACATCCCCCGGCCTGTGCTCTTGAACCTGGTCTCCCGAGGCCGCCCGGACAGCTTCTGCGAAGGCTCGTCCTTCAGCCTCGCGCATCTGAGCCTGCTGTATCTCGATGATCGATCTTCGTCTCTCGTCTTGGGCAGCAGTTGGAGTTCCCAGAAACCGGCGTGCTGTGCCAGTCCCCAAGGACGAGCCCGATTCCTGGGCGTCAACACCAGTGGCAGACGAACCAGTCTGGCTGCGCCGCAGCCCCGGGCTGAACGGTGCCGTGCTCGCCTGCGCGTCCAAGTATGCGTGTTGGGAGCTGGCACCGGAATCGGCAGGTCGACTGGGTGCCATGGCTGGGCTGGTTAAGGGTCTTTGTTTCTTGCGTTTCGAAATTTCAAGCGTAGGAATCTCGCATTCGTCTCCGCCATCGCCAATGATTTCAGGGTATGTGTCGACAAACCTCACGGGCAGCGCCTTCTTGGGTCTCCTTGCCGGTTCGCGAGGGCGCACAACGTGTTCTTGTGTCTTGGGCTCCTTGCCCGCGCTGATGTCAAGCGCATTCGGGTACCGGGTGGCAGTCTTCGTGTCGATCTTGGTGAGAACCGGTGGGTTCGAGTGCTTAACTTGCAACTTGTCGGTAGATGAATTAGATCCATGCAGAAAGTCATCCAGGTTTCCGTCGTCGCGGGTCGTCTTTCGCTCGCGATCTCGGCCAAAGAGCTTGCCCATAAGACGGCCTCTCTTTGTCGTTCGACCATCGTCGTGCACGGCCAGGGCAGGGGGCTCGTTCTCTGTCATTTCGCTCGGTCTCCGGTGCTATAGCGAAGCCAAAGTCTTCATGGGGTTGTCTGGCGTTTCAGCACTGGCGTGGAACAGACCGAGAGGAGAGGTTGTGTTGGCGACCGAATGGGAAACCAGGCATGTGCCTGTCTCCGCTGTCCGCCTGGCAGCCCGACAATCGACTGCAGAGCTGCCAAATAGGACCTTTTGCTGGGCTTCAGGTGTCGCATGTGTAACCCAACTAAGCCAGGGAAAGTCGGGTTCGTAGAGCGAGACGGGATGTGAGGTTGATGGTGAAGTAGAAATGATCGGCGGCAGAGGAGAGAGAGCGCAAAGTGGTTGACTGTCCTGAGGTGGTTCAAATGTGTGCACCGCCCTGCCGCAGCAACAGGACAACTCAAGGGTCGTGTTCGGCGGGGCAAAGCAGGTTAAAGTGGAGGGATCGACTTCCTAAACAGGGTTGGAAGCGCCGAGTCCTGCATTGACATTGGATGCTCAGAGTTCCGAGTCGGATTGCAGTCGTAACCAACGAGACCGAGGACGGGAACAATTACTACTTTATAAGGTGATCATGAACCTTTTTCCATTTGTTCTCATCTCCTCTGAAAGCTGCCGTACCTGATTCTTATCTGACGCAGCAGACCGTGATGATTTCTCGACGGGGTTCAAGTTAGGTAAGTTAGTCGAGTTTCAGACTCCATGACACAACCCTTTTGCGTCAATGTCTCTCCACAATGCGGGCGGGAGTGACCGTTTTACGATGCCAGCTCCCGACCTGGCGCACCCTCAACATCTCGTTTTTGGTGCGGCATCGTGGGTCCGCTCCGCCAGACAACCTGAACTCGTATTGCAGCAGCAACTGTATTCGAGGTGGCGGTAAGCAGGAATTGATCGACTGGTGATGTTTGTCTTGGAACTCGTGTCCCGAGGAACGAAGTCTCAATGCGGCCCGAACAATGCTATTTAACGGCAGCGAACCTGAATTGACGGGCGCCATTCCATTCTTCTCTAAGCAGATCGGCGGTATGGAGCCTGACGGAGCCCACACAGGTTCCCTTAGCTTGTGCTGCTAGGCGCAGGGCAACACCACAACCAACTTGGAGCACATGCCATACATTGCACAGGCCAGGCCGGCGTACCTGATCCTGGGACTTTGAGGAACAAACAAGCTCTATTTCAATCAGATCAAGCCCAAAGGCACAGAGGATCATTATCTTCGGCGACGACGTGAGCTGTTGGGAATGTGGCAGGGGACACACTCCGATGCCTCAACTAAGGTACCCTTGCCTCTTTACGGGTAAGGTCGGTGGGCGAAATTCGGGCGTCGGCTTAAGCGTCAACCATCTGCTCGGCTCTCTGAGAGACCTAACGTTATATCATTCTCAGGTTGCGGAGGCGGAGACGATGACTTACTGGCCCCTTCCGCCCCACGTGGAGCAATGGGAAGGGATGAGTGCTCCGTCCTCCATACTCTGTCCCTGGATGGCCCCGGGCCCGGAACGAAGAGAAATCCGTCTTCGAAGGTCAGCTGGAAAGTATAGTCTCTCGTGCTTGATGAGGCTCCATATCGCAGGCAAAACTATCAACCATCTCGCGTTCCCACCTACTCCCTTGATTTTGTAGAAGGTAACATTTCAATCCAACATCTTTCGACGGTTCAGTTCACCAACTGCATGACGTTCTCGGGGCTGACTGTCCGGCAGATGATGTACGGTTTTAGGCTTCCCAAGTCAGGACCCCACGTCATCGCTCCCCTGTCTCGCTTCCCCCGCTATCCCGCCCGACCTCGCTACCTTGCAGCTATTTCCCGTCAACTCCAGAAGAAATTCTCCAGCCCGGTGGTGCTGCCTTGTTGACGACGTAACCCTTCCGCCACCTATCCTACGTGGTGCTCCAGGCACCTTTCGAGCTTTGAAGCGTTCATGAACTACGGAGACTAAGTTTGCATCGTGACCTTTGCCGTTGGAAAACAGCTGTCCAGGTCCCGGCGAATTGCTTCCCTCCCAACAAGATATCTTCTCGCACTCTTACCCCACTTTTTCCTCTAGCCTTTTATCAAAAGTTTCACACCACGTCAAGGGGAGGGCCATTACCTTCTAATAATGTTAGAGCACGTCAAAAAGGAAACAATGAAAGGGCTTGTGCCTGGCCGCCGCCGCGCGACCTCGAATGCCAGTGAGTTGAGCGCGATTCTGCGTCCTTTGGCCCCGTTTGGAGCCCCGAATCTCGGCATAGAGCAGCCCGGTTAAGGTCCTCCGGCACAAGATCTATATCGTGCTCTGCAAGAAAGCTGTTTTTGATCGGCGCTAACCAGGGCATACTTGAAATCCAGGCAGTCGATCTTCAACAGGCGAAGCCAACGACTCCTTCGAAGATGACACTCTCGTGGTCGAGCCAGATCAGGGAAATGGTCCGTCACCATACTCCTCAGGAAAGCAGAGGCTAGGCCGACGCTGACCTGGCATAGTCCTGTCTCACATCATCTCCCAGCTGAGGCCCGGTGCCGACCTCAGCAAGGTGGTCCTCCCGACCTTCATTCTGGAACCGCGCAGCATGTTGGAACGCATTACCAAGTATGGCTCTCAGGACTCGGTTCCAAAGGCACCCGTGGGCTGGAAATTCGCTTCAGGGGCTAATTAGAGCGTGCAGTTTCATGTGCCACCCCGAGATGCTACTTCCGATTCCCGAGATTGACGACCCCCTTGCGAGATTCGTCGCTGTGGTGAAATTCTACCTTAGTGGCTGGCACATTCGCCCCCCGTGAGTTTCTCGCTGTATTGGCACCACAGCCACTTCTAACCCTGGCTTAGAGGAGTCAAAAAGCCCCTAAACCCCGTGCTCGGCGAGATCTTCACGTGCTACTGGGACTTTCCCGACAATACGAGGGCATACTACATCTCAGAGCAAACATCACATCATCCGCCAAAGTCGAGCTATTTCTACATGGTCCCGGGGCACCACATCAGGGTTGACGGGACGCTGAAACCAAGGAGCAAGTTTTTGGGTAACTCGGCCGCCAGCATGATGGAAGGAACGGCAATTTTGTCCATCTTGAACAGGGGCAAAGACCCCTTGAAAGGAGAACGATAGTGAGCATTCCTTAGCAAAGAGTCGGGTGACACCAATACTGATGCGCCGTGACAGCATCCTCACCCAGCCCAACATGTATGCCAGGGGCATCCTCTTTGGGAAGATGAAGTACGAGCTAGGTGACCACAGCTTCGTGCGGTGCCCGGAGACAGGGCTATCAGCCGACATCGACTTCAAGACCAAGGGTTGGGTCAGCGGCACATACAACGCCATCGGGGGTTTCATCAAGAACGACCATACGGGCGAGATTCTGTACGAACTCTCGGGGCTGTGGAGCGAGGAGATGTTCATCAAGGATGTGAAGGTGCGTTTGGACAGGTAATTCCAAGCAGACACCAAACTGAGAAGGAACAGACCGGACAAAAGGAGATGTTCTTCAACGCTTTGAAGTCGAGACCCAGTCCTCCCATCTGCCGTCCCCTGGCAGAGCAAGAGGAGCGGGAATCACAACGACTGTGGGCCAAGACGGCGCAAGCCGTCAAGGACCGCAACCACGAGCTGGCGACCGAAGAGAAGACCAAGATCGAAGAGGCGCAGCGTGAAGAGGCCGCAAAGCGGGCCAACGACGGCGTCGAGTGGCACCCAAGGCTATTTAGGAGGGTCAGGGGCGGTCCAGGCGGGCCCGAGGAAGGCGAGGAGGATCTGGAGTGGATTATCAACGCGACAATGTTGGAGAAACCTAGACCCCCCTCTTTCGCCGATGGGGCGTGACATGCTGACGGTGTGGCAGAGACGGAGCGACTCCAGAGAAGCAGGCGGCGCAGATCATGGCCATCTACCCGATCGTCAAAGGCCAGATATTCAACCAAAAAAACGCGATACCCCCTAGGGCCTCGCACGACCATAGTGGCCGACCCAAAGACCTCGACGGTGGCCAATACGACCTGATAGACTTTGGCGACGACAGCCCGGCACAGCAGCAGGCGTCATCCAGGAAGCAGTCGCCGAGTCAGGGAAATTCACCGCCCTTGGACCCTTCACACCGCAGCACTGCCGAGATCCAAGAGATGCTCTCGTCGACGGGAGCCCGCGCCAACGAGGGGCCTCTGATCGATTTCCACGAGGACGTGAAGAAGGATCTGCCGAGCAGCATCAAGCGGCCTGACTCGATCGAGTCAGATGACGAATTTGTCGACGCTCAGGGGTGACATACTGAGGATAACACTCGTCATTGGAACGGCATCCCTTACAGTCTTGCGGCGTAAGGGGACACCGAAATAAGGGGGGAACGCTTGGATTAGGAAAGGGTTGGCAACCGCGCCAGGGTCCCAGGCGCTGTGCCGAGTCGGCGAGTGGGCGGTCGGTCTGGGTTGGGTTGGTAAACATGATACCTTGGTTGGCTGCATATTTCTCTGGCGGCAGTGGCATCTCGATATGCGCGGCCTGTGGCCCAACCATTTTTGGGCATCTGGTTACTGGTATGGTTTGTGCATGGGATCACTTCCACATAGCAATGACGATGAAGCACGACATGGGTAATCTGGCTCTTGGTGGCTCGCCCGCTCGCTCTATATGCGCACCCTACTCCGGATAGCAGTCGTGCAACGAGGCTCCCCAACCCGATTGAGTGTCTTCTGCAACAGCCCTAACATCACTCCCACCCCCAAGCCTTGTACATCTCACCCAGCGTCTCCCTCGCATACGTCATGGGGAAGTCGTGGCCCCCCGGAACGACGCTCCACCTCACCCGTTCCGTCCCGCCCACCAGCGGTAACGCGTCGGCCGCGTACTCGTCCGGGTCGATGATCTCGTCCCCTTGGCCCAGCACGACGGCCGTCGTCCCCGGCGCCCGGCCCGCTAGCTTGGCCCACGCGTCGTGTTGCCCGACGAGCGGGGCGTGTTGGATGCATGACATGAAGGCCGTCACGAAGCCGGCGTGGTGCGAGAGCTGCCAGTGGACGGTGCGGAGGACGCGCTGCTCGAGGGCGTTCCGCGGTTCTGGATTTGGGGGCTGGTGTTTGCCGGGGTTGAGGAGCGGGGTGGTTTCGGTCAGGGAGGCGGTGACTGGGTCGGGTTTGCTGGTTGTGCTGGATTCTGGGTTGTTGTTGCTGCTGTTGTTGTTGTTGTTGTTGTTGTTGTTGTTGTTGTTGTTGCTGTTGCTGTTTTTGTTGTCGTCGTTGGTGGTGGTGCTGCCGCGCTTGCCGCTAGAGCGGATGGGTCGTTTGAGCCGGTGGCGGGTAATCCAGTGCAGGAGCCTCGGCGGGACCATGCCGGAGGTGAAGACTGCGCGGGTGAGGGCGCCGAAGGACTGGGCGCGGATGAGGCCCGCCGGAGCGAGCAGGACGAGTGAGGAGACCAGGTGCGGGAAGGAGGTCGCAAAGTGAACGGCTATGCCACCCCCGAGGGAGTAGCCAACTAGTCTAAAGGCTTGAGGCCCGGTCCAGGAAAGGTCGGGTGATGAGGCGAGCGCGATGAGAATCTGGGTGACATAGAGGCGGTCGTCGTGCGGGAGGTCAGACGGATTGTCGGAAAAGCCGCGGCCGAACAGGTCGAACAGCATCACGCGGCACCCTCTTTCTTCAACCAGGGCGTGGGCGAGTTTGGTTAGGGTTATGCATGAGGTGCTGATGCCGTGGACAAAAAGGACTTTCTCCCCTGTCAAGGGGCCCCATTCGTACACGCGGATAGAGCCATACTGTATCGTTGTTAGTCTTCGCTGCTGTGGATGAGGGCGACGGCAGACCTACCGGCGTCTCAACATCCCGGGCGCCGGGGAAGTTGTCGGGTTTGTACTCGAGCTTGTCAAAGTCGTCTTGCGAGAGCTTGGGCAGTAAGCTACGAAGCGGCGAGCGGACTATCTTAGGCTGGGTTGGCCACAGGTAGCTGTGGAGGAGTGAGATCGACACAGCAGTCGCGACGGCGGTGCCTGCTACAATGAGGCCGGTGTTGCCCGCCTCGGAATTCATGGCATTTGACAGTGACAGTTACCTGAGAAATGAGTGAATGAATCAAATAAAGGTCTACTTCAAGTACGGCATGCGCCAGGTAGAACCAACACAGAATGAGCGGCACAATACTTGTAAGCGCGTAGGTTGTCAATCACGGAAACAATCCAACGCCGACCGCTGACAGGTTGGGCCCACGTGGTGGGATTCAGGCAGCCCAGGCTGACTCCCGAAGCCATGTGCCTAGGATCTCCTGTCATTGAGGCGACCGTGCCTGAACCTTCGTTTGAAACTCACTCTGCGGCGTCTGCGCCATGGGAGAGCCTCGGCATCAGAGCATGACAAAAACCGACTGTGATCTGTTGTCTTGGGATGAACTCATTGACTGATGAAAGTTAACGTTAAGTGACTGACAAGATCAGGACCTCGGCATAACGTGTAAAGTAGGGTTAGGGCTGTACACGTCGATCAGGTCTGTTGGCCATCACCTAACTGCAGCACAGCGTTCTTCAAGTTCCGGCTCCGACGTTGCAGTGACGAGAGAGTCGAACACATTCATGGGAACCTTGGGGGTGAAGTAACGGAACCCGCCCGTACGTGAAAGACGTATCGAACAACTATCATGGCTCCCGACCGAGTCCGGAGACGGCACCGAACGCGTCTCTAGCCATCTTGGCACTCCGAGGTCGGCAACCCCACGCTGGAAGGCAATCGGTGGTGCAACTGCCCGGGCTGTCCCACGGCTAACCCTCTCCGTCGGTCGAAGAGAGGTAGCCAACTACGAAATCCTCGGGAGGGTTTTTCGTGGGAGGGCGCCCGGCGGGTCGTGGAGTCGAACTGGAGAGACTCACCACCAAACAAACCCTGGGAGGGCGACCACCGCTGTCGACCGTTAGGCCATTCAGCAGTGGTCGTTCAAGTTGGGGAACGGGGACCTGGTACCTATACCAGTGGCTGGTGCCCACCGAGCATGTCTTTCATCTGAAATTACGCCGGGGACTGCCGTCGAGGAGTGAATGCCGGCGCGGCGATAGTTGACTGACACGTCTTGAGGGGAGTTTGAAAGATTGTCGAATGAGAGACGTGCTCCATCAGCAACAGTTACGTTAAAATGACGGGCGGCCTGGTTAGTTGATACACGATATGGCGTAAGCATGGCCTTGTCGTTGACATGGAAATCGGCACTTCATAATCCAACTTTGAATTGCTACCAGGAGGGCAACGGCAGCAATCAGGGGTATTATACAACAATATGCCAGCACAGATAAACCAACGAGTAAAAACCAAACGACACAGCTCGACAAAACGGGTGCCTGGTGGTCGGCGACTTGCGCCTCTGTCTCGTCCCCTTCCATCCACAATCGCTTCCCATGTCAAAGCACCAAGTTCCCAAGCTCCCGAAATTCCCAATTCACAAAGGCCAGACAAAACACGCTCAACCAAGCAACAACAACCAAGCAATAACTTCTTATTGAGTAGCCTCGGTAGGCATCTCGTTCGCACTTTGGGGCGCCTTGGAGGACGACACCTTCTCATTTGGCGGGGTGCCAGGCGCACTGCTCCCGGCCTTGCTCCCTTGTTGCCCACGGAGCATGGCGCTGTCGGCCAGTTCCTGGTGGCCGTCAATGCCGTGCTGCGGGATGACAACGACGCCGTCTTCTCTCGGGTCTTTCTCGGCAGGGGTCCAGGCCAGGTAGTCACGGCGGACCTGTGTAAGGTATGTTAGCATCCGAGTAATGGTAAACAGAGACGCAAACTGAACAAGACATACCTCGACGTAGTCATAGGCAAACTCGCCGTGCTGGTCGTCATCCATGCCGAGGAGTTCCGCCTCGGACGAGGCACGCAGGTGCAGACCCGGAACCAAGTCGATGAGCTTGGCGATGACGGCCGACATGACAAAGGTGTAGGCGCAGGAGGCGACGATGTAGGCGATCTGCACGTACAGCTGGCGCCAGTTCTGGTTAAGGAAACCGCCCGTCATGGTCATGTTGACGCCGTCGAGGCTGATGATGTAGTCGGCGGCAAAGAAACCGTTGAAGATCAGGCCGACAATGCCGCCGATGGCGTGTTCGGCAAACACGTCGAGTGCGTCGTCGATGCGGATCATGAACTTGATCTTGGTGCCAAAGTTGCAAGCAATGCCCGACACGACACCCAAGACGATGCTGGCCCAGGGAGTGATGACACCGGAAGCCGGAGTGGCGGCGACGAGCCCCGAGATGGTGCCGGAACACCAGCCGACGAGCGACCACTTCTTGGCCAGACGGTAATCGAGCAGACACCAGGTCATGGCGGCAAACATGGCCGTCAAGCAGCTGTTCCAGCAGGCCATGGTCGCACGGAGGTTGGCGCCGAACGATGAGCCGCCGTTAAATCCGAGCCAGCCGAACCACAGCAGGATCGTGCCGAGGGTGATGAGCGAGATGTTGTGCGGGCGGAAGTTGAGCATCATCTTTTCGTTGCGGCGCCCGAGCACCCACGAGTATGCCAGAGCCGACATGCCGGATCCGATTTCGACGGGGCCGCCGCCGGCGTAATCGAGCACGCCGTACTTGAAACCCCACCCGTTAAGACCCCAGGCCCAGTACGCGACCGGGCAGTAGACGAGCGTAGCCCAGAAGAAGGTGAAAACCATGGCGGGGACGACGCGGCCGCGTTCGGCCGTGGCTCCGATGACGAGGGCGGCAGTGACGGCGCAAAATTGCATCTGCCAACCCCTGTTAGTTCTCCCCGAACATCAGTTCCCCAACATTCACATGGCATGTTCCCATACCTGATAGAACGAATACAACAGCTCCGGGATGAGCGGTGATCCGGGGCTCGCATCGCCTAGTGTGTTCCGCAGACCGAACTTGTCGAGATTCCCAATAAACCCGTTGGTTGCTGTGCTGCTCAGAGCCAGCGAATACCCCCAGAAATACCACTGGAACACGATGACGCTGAACGACATCATGACGACCCAGATGAGCGAAAGCGCAGACTTTCTCCGCGCAAGGCCGGAATAGAGGAAGGCGATGCCGGGTATCATGAGTAGCACCATGGCCGAGGACACGATAATGTAGGCCTGGTCGCCCGCATTGAAAGGCAGGTTGAGGTTCACCGGGCCCTCCGGGACTTCGGCTGTAGAGTGGCCATTCTCGTTAGTATTTGTCTCGTTTCTTCCGTCGTTTCAGATTTGCTCTGGCAGCGTTGCGGTGGTGATGGCGTAGGCTTACTTGACTCGGTGTCGGACATGGCGGGCGACGGGGGTCCTTGCGGACGATGTTGATCAAAGGCGTTGGTTATTATGTCAAGGCGTGATGGCAGATGGGCCGGACAGGAATAGGACTTTGCGGTTCGTTCGAATGTGCTATGCTAAAACCCCGATGGATGTGCAAGGCACTGAAGCGAAGGGGCGTGCGGTTACGGCTGGGGATCGTCACAAGCCGGCCAAATCAACAAGACTGAAAAGATGAGAAACCATGTGGCCACTGAGGTGGGACAAGAGCGCAGGTATATAAAACGGAGGACGCAAAGGGGGCCTATCACTTGCATGGGGCGACCTCCCTCTCCGTCAACGCCCTATCTGTCCCGGAGAGTGGGGAGCAGGTTAGGTTCTAGTCGGTGTTCGGCAGGCGCGAGGAAAGGAAGAAGGAAAGAAGGTCAAAGGGCCCCTTGCAAATCCCATGTCCCATGTCCCATGTTCCATGTCCATGCAAGCTGCAGTGCGGGCGTGGAGGCGATGCGTCGCCGGATAAGCACACCAAGGTGCCGAGCTCTTTCGCGTGGGAGGATGGGCAAGTTCTGCTTGCCATTGGCCCTTTGCCATGTTGGAACCCTGTGCGATAAAAACTCAAAGACAATTCCCTTGCCTGTTTCACTCGGGTGGAATCGCGGGCGCCCTTGAATGGAAGCACTACATGGGTTCATACACATTCCGCCCATCCGTCTGGGGTGACCCGGGCACCTTATCCAGACACGCCGAGAACGGCTAGCAGACCCTGATGGGTGGCGTTGCAGCATGTTGGAGGGCACCCGCTCCCGAGCGGACTCCTCGTAACCTCCGCGGGTACGCTACGACGGGAACCATATGTACATTACCCTTTGCCGTTCTGGGCAGCGAATGCAGAGTCGCATGTTTGCGAGTTTGAAGCCAAATTCCGTCGTTTGGCGCATCGGGGAGACACTGGCGCATCGAGACCCTACAAGGTAACCTGCAAAGCCATGGCTAGAACGAGAACTGAGACTTCAGATGATGGAATCACCAAGATTTGAAAACCCCCAACGCTTTACTTAGGCTTGATATCATGGAGGTTTTCGTCTGACCATTTGAATTGCCCCATGATTTGCCAGCGAATCGTCACATGTATGTTTGAATGCCAAGTTATCTGTTTTAGAGAGTCGGTCTCGAGAATGTGTAACACGATACGGATAGACAGCTCGATCTGGCATGCTCTGCTCGTCTCGGTGGGGGTCGGGGGCACACGAGCAGCCGTCGGTCGAGCTGAAGGTGTTAAGATCCTCCATCAGCCAAGCGTGCATAACATCCAGTGGTAATCGAGGGATAGTGACTATGCAATTTCGCCCACGCCCAGCTCTGCATTGAGGTGGTGTGAACGCTCCCGGTGAGTCGGAAGCTCTAATAATCAACCTCTGTGCGATGCGAGGCGGGATTCCACGTTGTATGAAAGCACAGGGCTGCAGCGCCCTCGATGTCGTCACCCGTGATGGCAGCCCTACAAACGTATCCGAACTGTATTGCCAAAGTCGTTGGCATCGCTGGTGGAACAAACGAGCTGGGGCTGATGCGTGATACCCTTCCATAGAGTAAGGTGTCGGCGCTCCCGCCCGTAGAGATGTACCTCGTACACATTCGGAAGAAAACTGCGGGCTGTTCCAAGAACGCGGAAATCGACGTTGCGGAGTGGAGAGGCAGGACTGTCCCCACAAAGCCAAAGAAAGCTTGGCGATCGTGGTTCCTTATCTCCAGCCTTGGCACGCGCCAGCCTTCGACTTCTCCTTCTCGCCCAATCGAACTGGTTCCCTCGTTTTCATGGCTGATAAAGCTGCATTCTCGGTCAACCATGATCATGCTTCTCAGAACCACAGATGCGTTGACGGCGGGACATGGCATGAGCTTCGAACCCAGAATTGTCGTTATTTTTCCTATCCGACAAGCCTAAACCGGGGAGCTCAGCGGCAGTACCGAGCCAGGCACCAAGCCGGGAAGGCGTGGGGCCCAGAGGTTTTTGTTACAAATCGTTTCTGGTGAGGCTCAGCCTTGGGCTCAAGGCGACCAGCTGGACGAATCACGTTGAAATTATCCCTTATCTGTTGGCCCACTATTTTCTAGAGATCTTCCACGCGGTTCATGCATGTCGCGTTTATCTGGTGGAGTTTCGCAGGCCAGAGCCAGCATCTCTGTGAATCACTGAGCTGACTGACGGTTTTCTGAGTGGTTTTTCACCCATCACAGCTTGTTCGTCCAACTGCCTCGTCGCAGGCGAGCAATACTTCTCGGTTGTTACCCAACACTCGATCCAGGATTAGGGCTTGGTCGTTGAGCCCCTGCCTCGATCGGGGAACGACGATATCGGCCGCAGATGTCGCCCGACATAAGGTACTTGTCAGTCATTCTGTAGTCGATTCGGAACGTGTCTCCTCCGTCTTCACATCAATTCTCGAATCAAGCTGCAAACGAGGCGCCGAGGATTTGTTTGCATTCTGCGTGGCGAGCGTTTCGATGAGAGGATTGATTGTCGCATGCTCCGATTCCAACCCCCGGAAGAGGATCCCTGCAAACCAGCTGAAAGTCGGATGCCAAGCTGCCAAGAGATACCGTTCTGATATGAGCTTGGCAGCCAATGGGACTCGCGGGAATGAACAAAGTCGAATTGTCAGCTAGCCAGCATGCTTTGATAAAGTGACCTCGAGGTTGAAAGCGCGTTGATGCATCGACCTATGGCTATCAAGGATCGGGCTCACACCATTTGCTGAGAAACAGAGCTGCCCATTGCTCGGCAAAAGCAGTCACATTCCAGCTTGGGGATTCCCAGCATTATTTATGTTTTGGGAGTTGTCATGACTTTCCAGCCCGAGCCGGTATCCAAAGATACGGTTCAACCCGATCCCCACTGTGGATCGCACATCTCCGGGGCATCACATCGTACCGGCCAAGAACGCGGAAGACGGGAACAAACCTCTTCCATAGCCGGAAAGTTAGGTATTGGTGAAGCCTGTGTGCAAAACTGGCCTTCTCTATCCTCCTGAAAGACGGTTCAAGAGTTCCATATTCGCCTGCTTCTCAATGCACGACTGTAGTCCAGCAGAGACTTCCCATCGCCCATCGATTACAGCAATCTGATGTCCGAGGCGAAGACCAAGATCTCACAACGGTTGAAAGGATGCTGGATGGAGATGAGCACCGCTTCCCACTTCACCCTCCACATTGGTGGAAGAGTCCCTTTATGCACCTCTGAATCATGGGAACGCAATGGGCCTCACGAGCTTCCCTTGATCCCAATCCGATCTCCTTAATACTCGGTCGTCGCGTACGGAGCATCACGGGGAGAAGCCTCGGCATGGTCAGTCAATTGTGGTAAGGATATAGAGAACCTTGGGTCAGACAGTCGGGCGACATCGATCGCCATCTATAGACTGGGTCGGGATGCCGCAACGTGGCAAACCGCTTGTCCTAGACGGACCCGTTAGAGTCAGTTTTTATCAACGCCGGCATCTGTGAAGCTGGCCAACCAAGGGGGGCACTCTCAGGTTGAGCGCTGAGGTTCAGCACAATACCAGGTCTTGCTGGGACTCGAGCTGGTCCCAGGTAAGGAAGGCAGTCTTACCACGTAACTCGGGGCGAGGGTAGGGGTACCTGTAGTATGCCTCTGTCCCCGCATGAGAAGTCGAGACTTCAGGCCTGGACAATTGCCCTAAGGTGTAAGTACCTTACCAAGTCTAGGCATTTCGAGATTCGGTAATTCGAAGAGCACGATATTGATAGGCAAGACCCTACATAAGAATCTTCTAGACACCAGAGACTCAATCACAACACGAGAAGACAGGACCAAGTCACAGTTTCACGTAGCAAGTGATGTAGGGTAGACGAGCTTGTGACCAGCTCGCCGAGGGCTTCCTCGACCTTGGGATAGAAAGTCTAGAACCGCTATTTGTCTTACCCTGCGCTGGCCCGAGCCCCTCGAGAGCCCGAAGCATCACTTGGAGACGTGGGAAAGAAAACTAAATTCTGGCCGTTACTCCCAGTCTACGCCATTCCCCATGCATTGCCATATCGCACATCCTGCCCGAGATGGCACTCCGCCGGGCATTGTAGCAAATCAAGACCAAATTCTCCCCGAGCCGCAACGCCGTCCCCAACCCCGACGCCAAACGAAACGCCATACTGGTTGGCCCCATGATCATGTCAATCATTACCCCTTGCCGCCATCGGCCAAAGACAACCCAGTTGTTCAGAGTCCCGAACTCCAGGCGCAGCCCGTTGCCCCTCGACTCAGAAGACCAACAGCTCCTCCTGGTCCGCGCACCTGGCGACATCGTACATGAGAATGGTATGATCCTTGTAATGCAAAATGAGCCTGTACATCACCGGCCCCGCTTTCGGCCGCAATTCCAGTCCCTTCCCAGCCCGGCTCGGCGCAGGCGACATGGCAACCCCGATGAGGGTGCATTCCGGACGCAGCTTCTTGTCCTCGTCGGCCTTGCGGGGCAGCACACAGTCCACGCGGAACCCGTAGCGCACCCGGGTCAGGTGCAGCCTCTTGGCCGTCTTGGTCAGCGTGATGAGCGCGACACGCCCCGTGGGCGAGCCGGCCACGACAAGGTTCAGAGCCGGCACGTGGAGGAGCATGCTGATGCGCTCCGAGTAAACGGGGTGGAGGTCCCAGGGCATGTTGGTGGCCGGTCGGGTGTTGTTGGTGAGCAAGTACTTGCACTCAATGCAGGGCGCGTCGCGGTCAAAGGGCTGGAGCTCGACGTCCGTCGTCGAAGTGCGGAGGAGGCAGTAGTTCTTGGCAAGGTGGCTGGGCAGTTTGGCCTTGGAAAACTCTAATTGTCTTGTTCTCTCCGCCCGATTGTTCGCCGGGTTGAAGAGCGCCCATTGGGCTTCGCTGACATTAGGCTGCGTCTCGCCGAAGCTGGGGATGATGCATCGACTCAGTTGTGTCTCGTCTGACATGTCGTCAATCACCAAATCCAGCCTCTTGCCTGAGAAAGGCGAGATCGACAGCCACCGGTCTTCTTCCTGATCCGCCGTAAGGGAACAGGACAACTTGCCAACCGTGTCCGCTGGCTTGGCCGTGCAAGCGGGATCATATTCGTCCGTGTCGCTGCCACTGTCCCATGCGTCGGAGAGATCGTCCTCGTGACATTGAGGGCTTGCGGCATGCGTTCTCGAGTAGTCAATACGGGCGCGGCGATGGCGAAATATGGCATCGGGATTGGATGTGTACCCCTTGATGTAGTACAAACTGCATGTGGTATCCAGCCATACCCTGCTCTCCTCAGATTTCGTGACGGCAATGACTTCACCCCCAGGCAGCCCGAGCGACTCGCGGATGGTTTTGGCTGGCTTGAAATTTCGATACGGAATCACCAGCACGCCCCAGCCTTTGTAACTGCATTGTTGGTCAGCCCCGGGTTCAGTCAGAGAAAACCATGCGAACCTGCATACGCGTGGATCATGTGTTGGTCCCTCATCACAGGGTCCGCCCACTGGATCGACGAGGCACCAATCTTCCATATATCGAGGAGCCATACGTTGCCAACAACGTCAGTCGCAGCGACCTTCTCTGCTTCACCCAATTCGTCGTCGATGAAGTCGAGGTTAGGCACATTATGTCCCGTCCTACCGAGCGGAAGGATAATCCTCCACGTGCGTGTTCTCGACTGGAAGTGCCTCTGGAGTTGAAACGCAGTCTGGCCGCATTCGAGCAACGGAGAATCGTCCACCTCGGGCATTTTGAAGCCGGCGTTTGTATGGGTAAGGGCGAAGGCGAAGACGGTAACCTCGTGGAGATTAGAACCAACGGCAATAAGCCGAGACAGCTCGTGGATGGCGAGCCCCCAGGCTGACCTGCCCACGTTCTCGTGGAAGAACGGCTTCGGGTGTGCTGTGTGGCGGATTGGAGATGCCGCAGGGCTGCGTGCCTTGTCGCTGTGTCCCTTGATGCAACGGACGATGGCCTTGGTGTAGTACGCTATGACGTCGCCGTCGTCGTATGCGAGCAGGACGATCTCCGAGTCCCCCAGGTTCCCCACGATCAAATGGTTGACCTGATGTGGGAAGCGCCGGTCCAAAACTCCCCCGCGCTCCTGGCCCAGTTTTGACGGTCGCGGGTGGAGGATGAGCGATGGAGACGGCAAAATCTGGGGCGCTGCCCTCCGTGGCTGGTAGACATATATTTTGTCCTGGTACGCCGCGAAATAGAGCTGCGTCACGAGTTTCAGGTCAGCACACTCGGCTACCATGGTGGCCACCAAACGAGATCCATACATTGTACTGTTGGGAAAGCGCCGTGAGATTGTGCCTCGTGGTTGCAATTCTGGGGAAGCCGTGCTGCGCGTGGTTTGGATCTGTCTCGAGCCCGCTGTTGTTCAAGGCCAACTCCCATTCGTGGGGCTCCAAAAACACAAGTCCCGCGTCGACCCAGTCCTCTTCTTCATCTCCATCATCATCGTCTTCGTCGTCCTCGTCCTCGTCGAAATCCACGTCATTAGCGTGGGATGTTTCGTACACGAACGCCTTGAGGTCGTCCAGCACATCGGGGCCGAACTAGGCGAAGCCACCCGCGCGTTAGCGAAATCGTCATCCAAGCGCATGGTTAGCCGTAAGCACAGACAGCTCTCTTTTCCCTGGCGCAATGTGGATCCAGAAGGACGGGCAACCATAAGGGTATCTCAGAGCGACCCTTGAGAACACACGCACTCACCCTGTTCTCGGCAGTCTGGACAAAGCAGGTCGGGCTGACATAAAGCTCTTCGTAGGCTTCTATAACGCCTGCGGTCTCCGAGTCCATCGTCATGTTCCGTTGACCGATCCCACGATTGCCAGGAGATGGCGGGACATTGTTCGCGGAACAACCGAGATGGCCGACGATGGTGCGGAGGGTTATGTATGTGCAATAGGTAGCGCCGGAGCACGCCCTATGTGGTATGCGACTCGGGTTGCTAGCGGGTTGGGACCGAGGTCGGCAGCCATACCACAGCTAAATGCTTGACTTTACTGTGCTATGTAGCGTACCTGATCACGTTGGGTACGGGGAAATCGGCGAGTTTGATGAGTGGGAGCGGGTTGTTGATAACGCGATAAGCGGGGGAAGGCAGCAAGCCCCCTGCTGTGCAGCAGTCGACGTCAGCGCTACATCCGTACGCTGTCGTTTCTAAACTTCAGGTCAACTTTTTGGAACAGGTACTCCGTACTATTTGGACTATATTAGGTTAAACTCGAGAGGTAAGCAGTCAGCTACATGGCCCAAAATATTATATCACTATTGTAAGCGACGTAAGGCACGCGCGCATAAGGCAACTTCGGGAGGTCGTTACATCGAGGCTCCTGAATTCGACTTTACTATGCGATTGATGATGCGCATAATACGCGAAGTGTTCTTGATAATGTCTTTTAGGTCCCTAAATCTCGAAGATATAGGCCAGAATCTACATAGTTCGCCAAGAATTGTGGGCTTCTCAAACGTCAGGATATTCCACTTACTCGAAGGACGACGCCAACTATAAAGATTAAGCCGCAAAATAGATTCATCTAGTACTGTTCGCGTGTTGCACGTAATATCAATCGTTTGGTAGAGTCGAGCGTAGGAGCCTCAATGTAAATACCTCCCAAAGTTGCCGTCTGCGTGCGTGCCTGACGTCGCTTGCAATAGTAGGATGCTATTTTGGCTCTCGGGGCTAACCGCCTGTTTCTTTGAAAAGCGCGGTGGCAGCGAAAAATAAGTGGGGTTGACCTGACGCACGGCGGAAATCACAGTACGGGAATTTCACGCAATAATACCTCTCAGCCACAGGCTCCCGTTGCCGGTTGTTCTACCTTCGACATCATATGCACGCGAAGCAGTTGGTCCGACGGAACCATACGTATAGGTATTCAGCTAAAAGATTCTATTCTAGGATCTGTAACGCCCAGGTTGTGGTATCGAGGATGCACACAAACAAACCAGTGACTTTCAAGCCCTACTCCCCTACCCAACGCCCAACCGTCATAGCCCTCCCTTACCCATGTCCCCTGACAACGCCTAAGCCCCCAATGACTCCTTCAGAAATACCGTCCGGCGATCGTGATTCCACAAAGGATGGACTTGGATGTCGGCGCTCAGAGCCGATTAAGGTGCGAAGATGCCAACTCCCGAGCCACAAGCGCAACATTCGTTCACCTATCTCCTGCCTGCCCGTATCAACTCGGTCATGTCCTTCATCCTGTAGTCCAGCACCGGCGTGGCCCAGTCGTCCTCGAGTAACGAGTATGTCTCCTCCTCGTTGTCCTTTGGCTTCCTTGGGTTGATGGCCCAGTACCCGAAATCGGCATCGATCGCCTTGAGATAGCGCAGCAGGTTCTGCCAGTAGTTGGCGTCGCCCTGGCCGGGCTTCCCCGGCGCTCCAAACTCGCCGACCCAGACCGGCGCGACGCCCCCCTCGACGAGGTACGCCCAGTTCTTGCGCATCGACTGGACGAAGCTCGGGTATGTCCGCTTGGCGTACCGGCCGCCCATACTCCCCCACCCGCTCCACGAGTAGACATGGGCCGAGTAGACCACCCGATTCGGCACGTCTAGCACCACCGGCCGCCTGGCCACCCCGGAGAGGTCATTTTGCGACTCGGTGCCGCCCACAAAGATCAACCAGTCCGGGTTCATCCTGAGCAGCCGATTGCCCGCCCTCTCGGCGGCCGTCGCCCAGCGTTCCCAAGTCATGGTCCCCCACACCCCCCTCACCTCGTTCCTCAGGTCCGCCCCAATCACTAGGCTGTTGTTCACAAACCTCGCCATGACCTTCTCCCAATGCTGGATCCACTCTTCCTCGGTCTGCCTCACCCGGCACAGCATCGCCGGCAGGTGGTCGTTGGCCCACCCGGCATCGCACGGGTCCGCCCCGCAGCACCACGTCGCGCTGGTAATGTGGTTATTCACCACGACCGCGATGCCCTGCGCCGTCAGCGCCTCCACGACCGCCGCGAACACGTCCAGCGCCCTGCCGCCGACAAGGTCCGAATTCGCGCTCAGCAGGTGCGGCAGGATCACCGGGTTGGACATGACCAGCTCGTCCGAGTACGGCAGGCGCACCGAGTTGAACCCCATGGCGCGGATCGTGCGGGCGATGTCGTCGCGGTGGCGCACGTCCAGGCCGCCGGGCACGAAGAGCTCGTCCGAGCCGCCGTACCAGTTCACGCTGGCGAGCTTGAAGCGCGTGCCGTTTGCATCGACAATGTCGCGCCCCCTTGCGCGTAGCGGGAGGGTGTATCGTGGCGAGGAGAGGAAGGTGTCGTCGAGCGGCGGGGGCAGGGGCCGCTGGGCGAAGAGGCGGGCTGCGGCGGTGGGGATCCAGGGCGCCGAGAGGGCCGCTTCGGCCTTGTAGGCGTAGACGATTACTGCGCCCAGCAGGACGCCGAGGACGAGAAAGAACATTTGTCGACGCCGGCGTTTGAGATCGTGGTGTGCCCGTGTAGGTGATGGTGGTGGTGATGACGAAATCGGGAGGGCTATGCGGTTCCTGCGCTGGAGACAAAGCATTGCGGAAGACGGCCCGAGCGCAGGGGGCCAGGTCCCGAGTCTCGACGAGCTGGGCGTGTGGGTTACGGTGGGGCGGGGCAGAGCACGGAGCTGAGTCGAATACCAAGCTGAACAAACAAGCGTAGACAAGCGGCAGAGTAGAGCATGTGTGCCTACAGGGCGTGATGGTAAAGGATACTTTGAAGAGGACGGGAGGAGCCGCGACGATATTGACTGTTGTTGACGACTGGTTGATATCAGCAATGACCGGCGTCAGACTCAGCAGCAGCGGACACCGCGACCACAGTCTCCATTAGATAACCTGGAAAGCAGCTGCGGTCCTCCGACCCCTTCCATCGGCGAGACACCCCTCCCTAATTCACTGGTCGTGTCGCTTCTTTATAAATACAACAACCCGAAGCCCGAACGGAAAGCCTCGAGGTTTCCATGGCATCCGAAGCCCGAGCCGCCAAGAAAAGACAAACATGGCGAAAAGAAAAGACCGGAAGAAGGCGGGGCCCTGGTTCAACATGGAACTCCCGGAACGCTTGCAGTTGAATGAAACCAGGCGCTTACTCAATGCCGATCTGCGAACTCTGCCAGGTGACTGGCCAAGGCCGAATCAGGGTTCGCCGGTCTCTGGGATCTGCCGGCACTCACGGCTTCACTCAGCGACAGGGCTGCAGCTGAGTCGCGTGCAGCTCTTGGCGTAGAGTTGCTGATGAAGCCGTACCCAGCTCTTCTGAGAGACGGATGATGAGATGATAGAGGTGGCACTCGTAAGCATCAACAGTTGGAAGCCTTGCAAATGCAACCAGGGAGCGATGTGTAAGAGATAGGAAACGCCAAATTTTGGTATAGAAGAGTCGTAGCCGCCTTCTAACCATCCGAGAACCGTAGTATGTTATCGACAAATGATACAAGATAGGATTATAAAAATCTCGTTGATTATATACCAAGATCCACCACAAAAGCCGGCGCCGGCATGCACCTGAGCCCGAACCGCCGCTTCCGGCTTCTCCGAACTTCCACCAAAACCAACCAAAAATTCTTTCACAAAGCGCGACCACGACCGGAAACTTCGGATGCGAGAGTTCTGCATCCTCGTCGCCGCCAACCGGCACCCAATGGCACGGGTATAGGCGCAGGTCAGGATCGCGACATCCCGAACTGACCGGCGATAAGATTGTCGCGAGGCTGGGAAGAGCACCGAGCAGCCCACTCGGGGAATGGTAGGCTTCCATCCCACCCACACGCATGGTCGACTCTCCCGAAAAATCCGAGGGACCCCACCTATCGACCTCTGGTATATAAGAGGATCTTCCGGGCACAGCTTCTAGTCCGATGGCCATATGATTCCATTGCCAGCAGCGGTGCCGGCCCCGCCATCTGTGCCCCTGGAATTTCCCGAGACTCCCCGACACCAACCGAATGCCGCCCGAGTCTATCCCCTCCGTGTGATACAGCACATGCAACAATTTCCGCTCTGGTCGATGTGACTAGCAATCCGGCGATTGGCGCGACGCGGCTTGATGGTGAAGGTTATGGGGCCCTCAGCCGCCGCGAATACTCGCCCTTGATCGGACGTCGTCCTATGTACAATGGCGGATCGAGGCTTGGTGGTCGTCGAAGTGCGTGACTCGAACACCTTTATGGTGGAAAATGCGTCGGTGGCCCGTTGCCGGGTTCGAATTGGGCAACGGAAAAAGGAAAAAAAAATCCGATAATTTTCGCGTGTCGTCATAACGGTCATATCCTGTTCATGCCCAGGGGGTTGACATATCGATCCTGCTGCGAATATGGCGACGTCGGCCTCGCGTAGGTTTCTCGGGCGTCCCAGTGTACCGTCTGGGGCGGGCGTGGGCTCGAAAACGATCTCGCAGGGGTATGGTACCGGGCGGTATTCCCAAAGTAGTCAGGAGTCCGGCGCCCATCGCTGTTGGGCATGTGAATATAATCGTGATTGACCGGACTCCCCGCCAGCGTCCTCGCGTGCGTCGGAGAAATGGGAGTCACTACGGAGGGTGTTACTGAATCGTCCATGGTCTTCCCGGTGTCCCGGGAGAGCATCTCGTACGAACGTGTGTCTTTTTTGAGATCGTCCAGCCGCGCATCGACTGAGACAAACTCCCTCTTGTTCCGGTTGGGAACCGAGGTGCACATGTCAAGCCAGCCAGTAGCCATGGACCAGCGGCCGAGGAGGAGGAGGAGCCAAATGCCGTTCATCTAGTCAAGACAAGAGTTAGCACGAGCATTTTGGGCGGGCAGGACGAAAGAGGGGCCGGATTTACCCCTAGTAGAAAGAGAACGGCGCCGACTGTCGGCATGTTGACACGGAGCATGCTAGCTTGATCCAGACACGGCACCTTGTTACCACCATTGGTAATCAAGCACCCGGCCCAGGGACGCACAAGATTCGAATTCTGCTTCACAGTTTCGATCGTGTTGTCCTGAAAAACGAAGACGACCGAGAAGAAGATGACGTCGGCGATGATGATGAGAACGATAGTAATGCCTCTCCATTGGAGAGCAATGACGCGGCGCACACGGCGATAGGCCTGTTTTGGTGTCATGGTCCGGATGCTGTTGGTGTACGAAGGCATGCCGGAGCCTTCGGTCGAGGCGCTGTTGTCGGAGAGCGAGGCGAGATAGACCTTGATGCAGTAGCCGAAGGTGGCGAATTGGATGATGATAGTCAAGCCGGCAAAGACCAACAGGGGGATCCAGAGATCGGCGAGACTGTTCTTGTGGTTGATATGGCACGTTTCGCCGAACCGGAACGAGACGCCGCTGAAAACAAAGGCGAGGGTAACACCAAGGACGGGAATGCCCCAGCCAGCGACCTGCGAGAACCACATGAAATTGCGCCCCACAACCAGTTGCCAGCAGATCTGAAGGTGCAGAGATACGGCGCGCAAGAAAACCCAAAGGACGCCTCCCCAGCCACCCATAATGAGGAAGAAGCCCGAAGCCGCGCAAATCGGAGCCGTATGCATCGAATGTGGTGTGATGTCGTCAAAGCATTGATCCGGATTTCCGGCCAGGGGAATGACGAAACCAAGCTGCCCAAATCGTAAATCAGTTTCTCGCTTGGTCAGGACAAACGGACGGCGTGCGGCAACATACGTTCATGAACATGACGGCTACGGTCAAACTGATGCTCAGGTAGTGCCTGTACGTCTTGTCAACGGGCAGCACGGCCCACGAGATCAGGAGAAAGACGCAGCATATGGTGCTTGCGACCGCCACCCAGTTCGCTGCCGTGCCCATGGTCTGGAAACTATCTGGATACGCCCAATCGGTCATGGGGCATGGCAGGCAGCAGTTCAATTCCCCAATCTCGCTGCAAAGTCTGCCTTCCACAACTACGTGCAGTGTCAGCAGCAGTTGCTTCATGCGCGCCCAACTCTTTGGACCACCAACTTACAGCCGCCATCTGTGTATAGGTGATCGGAGAGGAACGGCTTCGGACAAGAAGCCGTTTCGTTCGATGCCATCTTGATGATTCTCGTTCGGTTCGGTCGGGGCTCGTGCCTGGTGCCTGCAATTCGATTCCCACCCAAGCCACACAGCAATTACCTCCGCCCCGTCCGTCCTCGCGCAGTACGCCAGCTGCACGTTGGGCCTACTTCGATTCTCGGACCCGTCCCTCGATACCCAGCTCGAAGAATTCGTTTCGGTTCACCACGCTTCGATGTCGCACGGAGCGCCAGAAATGGACGGTCGATTCGCGTAAGGTTATGAATCCATTGGCGTGCTTTTGGGGCTCGAGGAGCGATACAACCAGTACACTTGCCGAGCCAGTGTCTTGTGGGCGTGGGATAATATTAGGGCGTTTCTTTCCAACGGTGTCTGAGGGATGTCAATGATCGTCCGTTGGTGTATCAACTGGGCGTGCCGATTCTCAAACAAGGAGAGGATTCGAGATGGTGCCACTTGAGTAGAGAAGCGAACAGAGACGGGGGAATCCAAGACTAAGAGCTGGGGACGAGGAAGAGCGGAGTGGGGGTGGAACATTATGTACAATGGCTCATCTCGATCTGCCATGGCTGTTGGGGATGTTCCCTGCCTGGGGGCGCGGTGGCCAGGGAGGGGCGACTGGTTCGTTGCAACGGGCGGGACGATAACACAGACTGGACACGTTCTGCCATTTCGCAAGTGGACCGGCCCAAGAGACAGGGGACGGTTGGATGCGACTTTGGGGCTTCCGCGCTCGTCCAAATGGTGCAACTCTCCCGAAGTTGGACCCGCAACCGCGGGCTCTCATTGGGGAGGCGAAACCCTCGAGTTGATGGACCGGGGCCGCCAAGGGTTCAGGGCGAGCAAGGAAAGGAGGGGCGGGCTGACGGGGAGGTGCCAAGACCTGCAGGAAGCGGCCGAGTTGTGGCAGCCACACTGCCTGGGGCCCTGGCTTAACCGGCTGGCCCGCTTTGCAGGGTGCTGCTCTTTGATTCGGTGGTTGGCAATGCAGACCCGGCACACTGACTTCAAGGGGCTAATAATGCACTCGCACTGTCCGACATCCTGAGCTTCCATCGTCTTTCCACCAGAGAAACCAGAGGATTGACGAGATCAGCAAAGATCTTGGCCTTTCTTGGATCTTGCAGACAGATCCGAGCGCATGACACTTATCACACGCCCGCCGATCAACCTCTGGTTCTTGCGTATGTCCAACTGCGCCGGGTCGGCTCATGCATGCGGGCGCCGCCGTCCGCGGCTGATGACCTGGCGACCGTTCATGCAATGGGAGGCCGTCGACTGCCGGGCGGTGAAAGACTATCGACAAGAAATCCAGCGCCGCCATACGGAGCGGCCCTCGTTGGGGGCTGAAGATTTGGCCGGCCGCTTGTCCGACGCCTTTTGTGTCGCCCAATCGAACGAAAACGATTGAACCATGTTGCATCTCGAGCCTTGTGAACTTGCCTGGTCAGGAAACACCGTGCAACCTGCCGGGGCGTCAGCTCTCGTGGCTCACACCAACGCATGAACGGCGAAAACGGTTAGTAATACTCTGTCACCTGTGAGTAACGGTAAGACGGTAGCGATCACAGGATCTCTCACGATCTGCCAACCACCTACTTGAAGATCGGTTAATCTCAACAGTGTAGCGCTGCAACCGAAGAGTGTTACCACAGTGTTCGAAGAAGTCAGGCAGTCTCTTTCCAATCGACTATCGGAACTCTCTTCTGAGACCAAACGCAGAGAGAGCACTTGTAGTGAGAACCCAATCTCCAACGGGCTTCGGAATTCGGGAAGCCAAGATGGCATGTGTTGCACCAGGTGATCAGACGCACGTCACCGCCCGTCTACCAAAGGCGATGCCGCAGCGCCCCGTCTTCGAGTACCTTTGTAGCTCGCGTGCGACGAGATGGAGATCGACCAACAACCTGGAGCCGCGATCTGGGCCCCTTGTGGTGAAATTTGTTAGGTATCGGGCAGCATTGGGTGCTTCCATTGTAAGGAGTAACGAAAAACCGCTATTGATTGAGTTCCAGTCAAGGTGTTTAGCGTGTCGATGGCCGGAGGAAGACATGGCTAAGTCTCCTGCTGTGGAACGACAGGTAGGTAGGTAAACAGCTGGGTGACGGTACACGTATATCCAACATACCCGACTCGGCAGGATCCAGCGAAAGCGACGAGACAGTAGCCGGTCGCACCGCCCCGCCTCGATACCGACCACCGACAGCTCCCTCCTGTGACAAACACGGGTCGGTGTCTATCCGTCACACCTCCCAGAATAGCTACGGTAACCTTGCGAAACTGTACACCGCTCGCGGTGTCATCTGCCCTACCTAAAAAGTAGACGGTCTGCGTAGTTTTCCATCGTCACACCGTCCCCATTCGGCATTGTCTCGCTTGGAGACCTCAGCTTCATCCATCCCGTCGGGTCGATTCTACTTGCTCCAACAGCGTCCAGAGCGCACCACTCGACAAGCCCATTCACCGACTTCAAGGCTCCGACGCCAAGTCACGCCGCCTACAGCTGCGAGTTTACGGAGTGCCGAGCAAATCGAAGCCGCTGTACCCCCAACGCAGAACCTTGATCTGTCCTCCATGCCAAGTGTGTCCCGTGCTTGCGATGAGGTTATTTCCAGGCGAGGGGCAGTGCTACCCAGAATCATCTCCACCGGTGCCTAGCTCTACCACAGTAGAAGGGCTCTCGAGGCCGGTTGGTACGTTCCAGTGGCTGGTAGGCAGGAAGAGGTCCGTGGCGTAATCATCATACATTGGTATTGTAAGGTATTGAGGTAAGGTGCCCCGGAAAGTCGCTGCGTCTTGGCCGGCATCTCGGCATGCGGATTGCGGGGTCAGGCTAACGTCGGTTATTACGGAGCTGCAGGCTGGCAACCACATCAAGTGTAAGAATTCATCTGGAGGCATCTCAAACGCAAGTGCCACTTAAAAAGACATAGTTCAGCTTCATCCAATCCATGTGAAGCCAAACGAAACAGTAACGAACCACTCCCCGCATCGTCTGGGTCTCACCTATGGTCCGCAACCGTCATCGCTCAGACTCTCACCACCTTCCCACACCTTCCCGGTTACCCCAGATTCCCCACAGCTAATGCAATTTCCCTAGGACCCGTTCGTTCGGGAACTACACGACGTTGTCGTGCAGAGAAGAAGATGGTCAGGAGAATTGTAAAGAGTGTCAAGCTTGTAATCGGGCCGCGGCCGCGTGATGCGACACAAGGTGGCAGATCACAGAGGTGCAACTATCCGAGACAGAACCGAGTGCCTGGGAGCTGGCGTCAGGGCCGGAGCCGTTGCCGACAAATTTGGAATAGTTAACAGCTGGCAGACGAGATATACCACGGTATGCAACTGGTGTTTACCTAGCATGAAATGAAGACATGATACTACTCGGTTGGCGAGAACACCATGCAACAAGGACGCGACGATGCCTACACGTAGTCGAACCTCCCGCAACGATTCACTATCCGTACGGAGATACATGTATCCGCACGCAGGGCAGCTTGTTGGCGGGCAAACACTTGTTCGGCCTGTTCCCTGCGCAAGGCGGAACGTGCCGCCGAGGCCGCGGTCTTCTGAGACCCTTTCACTGATCAGAGGGAAGCAAACTGGACGCACCATCCGAGTCGTCTTCAACGAAAGAAAATGCACGGCCCTCTTCGAAGCCACTGGCGCCGATCCGGTGGCGGCCGACGGGCCGGGCACAAGCCAGCCTTTCAGCCACCGACATCAGGGTAATTCCCTGCTCCACTTGCCCCTAGGATTTTAGAAGACGCCGAGAGCACCATCGCCCCAAACCTAGCAGGTCGGCAAGCCCAAGCGAGCAGTCCTTCGTCGCCTGAACGAACACTAATCTCACCTCCCGCAAGTGGAAGGCCGCTGCTGGGTCTGCCATGCACTTGCGAGGTTTTTCGTACCACTCCGACGAACTTCCGATCTTTGACCTGTGAAAGAGGCGATACGAAATCATAAAGCTCCAGCATGAGCTCCAGAATATCCGTAGGTATGGATACCTTACTGTGTCTGCACGCCTACGGAGCACTGCTGACGTGATGGAATGGCTACACAGTAGGACCGACAAGCAGAATACAACTCAAGCAATTAGTGCCATACAACGGGTGGAGGAGATGCTGCAAGGGTTCGCAGCCACCGGGCTCCGAATGCGTCAGCCCAACAAGGTCGGTCGAGCCCCATCTCCATGACCAGAATCTCCGGACTCCAAGACGTAGCCGAGGTAGCATACCATACTGTTAACATTATGTGCCTTAGACAAGAGTACCGCTATGGCAGGATCGTGGCAAAGCGTTAGCACAGACGGCCTCGCTCCTCCCCCTCTCTCTCTCTGGCACTTGCCGGAAAGGGGTTCCTGCGTATGCTAATATCGTGATATTTGGTGCAGAGTCGCATTGCATCTGGTTCCTGCAGATGGCACTACAATCTCAGTTCCCGACGCGTCAAGTGGCGAATGATTCGTTCGGAGAATTGAGAGAGATGGGGCCGCCCCTCGCAGGAACCGACGCGATACAGAAATGAGTTGGGGTGAACTGATGAAGGGGTAGATTTCAGCATCAATATCCTTTACTGTGTCTTGTCTGGGCAATCCGACAGTCTGCACTGTGTAAGCCTAGGCTGTACGGATACTTCTAACCCAAAGCCGTCACATCCTTCTTTGGCCCGAGATTGAGAACAACCCAAGACGGTCCCTTTGCCGTTCTCTAGGCAAAAATTCCCCGATTCTGCAACGTCAGGATCCGAGACGAAAAAAGCCTGCGACCCAACAAAAATGACGCCGGGACGGGACGCGCTAAACGACTTTCGGCTCCATCTCCGAGGCGTAGGGCAAGCCACCAAGCCGGGGGGCCGGGAAAAGACATCATCGAGATCATAATTTTTTCTACGCGAGCCAAGACGGGCCTTTGTGCTTTCTCCCTTCTTGGCTCTCTGTTAGGACCCTGATGCCTCGTGGGCGTCGCGAACGTGCTGTACTGTACGACGTCGAGTATTGTACACAGTACGTACAGTATTCGCCAACAAGGCTGGGAGACCCGCTTATTTGAGACAAGCGAGTCAAGAAACGAAACGCCGGGTTTGTTTTGGCATCATCAACGGGGTTGCTTGGGAACTGATTCCGGTCCCATTTCAGTCAGTGAATTGCCCTCCCGGTGGGCTGTCTTCGATTTCGTCCTTGCCCACCTGGGCTCCGTCTTCTCCGTTCTCCACAAGCTCTCATCCT